GCGACGTTTAATCGTCTTGTGACGCAGCTCTTCAGGTCCCATCGGGCGTACGCCCAAACGTACTTTGATGACATCTTTGTCCACAGTCGTGCGGAGCACGGAAAGACTGATATGGAGAACCATGTGGAGCACCTATGTGCTGTGCTCGAATGCATGCGTCAAAACAAGTTGTACGCCAACATTGACAAGTGCATCATCGGAGCGGAAGAGATCCCCTTCTTAGGGTGCTTCATCGGGAAGCGTGGCCTGAGGGCCGATCCGGTCAAGGTCAAGGCCATTATTGACTGGCCGGTTCCCAAGAACCAGAAGGATCTTCGCAAGTGGCTTGGCTTAGCCAATTACTTGCACAAGTACAGCGAGAACTACGCTGAGATGGCTCGACCACTCTCCAATCTCCTGAAGAAGGGTGCGCAGTGGTGTTGGGACACCGAGCATCAAAATGCGTCTGCAGCAATTAAGGACAGTCTCCTTCATGCGCCTATTCTGGCTCTGCCAGACCCCGCTCGTCCGTTTAGTGTCGTCTGTGACGCCTCAGACTTTGCCATCGACTGTGCCCTGCTGCAAGCAGACGCCGAGAGGCGCGAGCGCGTGGTGGCGTTCGAATCTCGCCAGCTGAAGGCTGCGGAGAAGAACTATCCTGTCCACGACAAGGAGCTACTTGCAATGAAGTATGCGCTCGTCAAGTTCAGGGTGCACCTGTTGGGCTCTCAGCCGTTCGTGATTTACACGGATCATGCGTCGTTACGCACTGCGACTCAGTCGCCTCATCTCTCGCAAAAGATGGCCCGCTGGCTGTCCTTCTTCGCGGAGTACAACTTCGAGGTGAAGCACAAACCTGGCAAGCAGAATGTCCTTGTGGACGCGCTGTCGCGCAGGCCGGATTATGAGCTGGCTCATGTAACGACCGTGACATCGTCATTAACGGATCTGATCCGAACGGCTTATGCCAAGGACGACACTTGTGTCGCGTTGCTAAAGGCTCTGGGGAGCAAGGAGCTTCAAGACGCGGACACGGAATTGTCAGCGCGGCTGCGCGCGCGGCTACACCGTTATTTCCTCGATGGAGGCCTGTTGTTCTACAACACTTGCCCCGAGGATACGCCCCGCGTGGTCATCCCTCATGATGAGGATCTGAAGTACCGCATCCTCTATAAGGCACATGACACGCCGCTGGCCGGCCATCTTGGCCGTGAGAAGATCTACAGCTCGGTAAGCACCCACTACTGGTGGCCAAAGCTGTACAAGTGGACGAGCACTTATGTGCGCACGTGCGAGACGTGTCAGCGAGTGATGTCGTCACCTCATGCTGCAGCGCCGTTGGCGAGTTTGCCTGTGTCTTCGGGCTGTTGGCAATCCATGAGTATGGACTTTGTGTTTGGCCTGCCGGCGGACGCGGCAGGCAACACTGGAGTCGTGACCTTCGTGGCCCGACTGAGCAAGATGGCTTACATTGCGGCTGAGCCGGACACCATCGATGGTAACGGTACAGCAACGCTGTTCTTGGACCGTGTGTTTCGACAACATGGACTCCCTGAGTCGATTGTCTCGGACCGAGACCCCCGCTTCACGGGCAACTTCTGGAGCGCGGTCTTTGCGGTGCTTGGCACAAAGCTGGACATGTCCACGGCGGACCATCCGCAGACCGATGGACAGACCGAGCGCGTAAATCGCGTCGTCGAGGACGTGCTCCGCAGCATTTGCGCCGAGACGCCAATGCGCTGGAGCGCCATGCTGCCACTCGTTGAGTTTGCGTTGAACAACGCCGTGCACGCCTCGACAGGCTACACGCCGTTCTACGTGAACAGCTTGTCTCATCCCCGCGTCCCGCTGACGCCGACACGTGGTGGCCTCGGGCTTGGTGGGGAAAGAGAAGCCGACTTAGCTGATCGGCTAGCCGATTTCAGCCCGGCTACGGTTCGTAAACAGGTTGACGCTTTCTTGTCAACGCGTCTCAGTGTCTTACGACATGTGCGTGACGCAATGGCTGAGAGCCAAGACAAGCAAAAGGAACATGCAGATGCCAGGGGCAGAGGCAATGTTGAAAGTTATGAGGTCGGGGACCTGGTGTTGCTTAATGCTAAGAACCTACCTACACATGCAGTATCAGCAGTCTTCAAGACGAAGTTGCGCCCGCGCTTCATCAGACCTTTAATGGTTGTGGCCAAGAAGGGCCGTGCGTACACGTTCAATCTTCCGAAGAAGATGCGGACGCACCCCGTCTTCTACATGGGCTTGCTCAAGCCGTACCAGGACCCGATGCAGGTGCAGATGGAGGCACCGAGGTTGACGAGGTCACAGGCACGGAGGTCCCAGGCGTCGAGGACGCGACCATCAACGCGGGCACCGCAGGCACAGGCGGAAGAATCGGCGCCAGAGACGCCGCGGGTACAGCGAGAGCCGCAGGCGCAGAAGGCGCAGCAGTCGGAGCCTGCATGCGGGCCAGGAGGTCGAGCTGACCCTGAAGCACAGCCTGCTGACACTGTAGCTCCCCGAGCTCACGGCCACGCTGCTCATCGAGATCGCGATAGTATCGCACCCAGCCCTCCAGGGCCCCAAGGCGGTCCCAGACCTCTCGAGGCACCTCGATCGATTGCGTCCGCTCGGCAAGCTGGTCGAGTTCAGTGGCAGTCCGGCCCACACGCGCATCAACGGCATGGATGTGATCCCGAAGGCGGCCCGCCTGCCGCCGCGTCTCCAAGAGCTCATCTTGAGTCGCAAAGGACCCCACAGCGGCCTCCACTGGCTCTGCTCGATGAGCATGGGAATCTGCATTACCATGTGGAGCGCCACCTGGCGAAGCGGCGGTGCCGGGGTCAAAACCAGTATCTGGTGAAATGGCGAGGGTACCCTCACTCCGAGAACTCATGGGAGTTTGAGGTGCCACTCCGCCAAGACTGCCCAGACGTCGTGGACGCTTTTGATCAGCTTGATCACCAGCGCCCCGAGGGCTCAAGGCCGGCACGCCGGTCGTCCCGCGCTTCCCGGCAATAAGCTGGGGAGCTGCTGGGTCAGCCACATTGCTCCGAAGCTGACCCTGAGCCACAGCGCTCACTCCATCGCGGGAAGGAGCGGCTGGAGTGCTCGAAGGAGCGAAGCGCGCAGCGCTAAACTGGGTCTGCGGCTGGGCGAATGCCGAGAGGCTGCGCTTGGCTCGGACCTTCGCGAAATCGAAGCGGAGCTTGCGTTCAATGCGAGCATCCACTTCACTGAAGCTGTCTCGGAGAGCATCCATGGAGCTGAGCTTTCGGCTGTGCTCGGCTCAAGACTCGAACTGAGCTTCGTACTCAATTGAGCCCTCCCCGGACTAAGTACCACCGGGTACGTCCGCATGGTGGGCACCGACTTCTGCTGGGCTTGGAGCCGCAGGTGCTCGCGATACTCCGCGACAGTCGTAGACGGTGGGGTGAGGAGTCACTCTCGGAGAGATGTTCGTAGAGCGAGCTCCTGGGGAGTACGGGCCGCGGGCCCAATGGCATGCACCGCGAGTGACTGCAGGAACGCCTGGCAACACGCCTCCGCGGGATCGCGAGGCCGGAAGCCGTAGTCAGCAGCGCTGGGATTCAGCAAGGGCCGCGGCTCAGGGCGCTGGGAGCGCATGGGCGCCATCTACACCGCGACCTGCTCGGACTGAGCCTCGTCCAAGGGGTTGGAGATGACGGGGCCCAGGGGCACGTCCTCGCCACAAGGCGGTGACTACCGTGGCTCAGTGAGCGCGCGCAGCTCCTAGAGACCAGACGAGCGTTCGGGGAACGGGTTCGGAGTGCGCAGCGGTGGCCACGGCTCCTCCCTTGATGGCGCAGTCCGCTCAGTGGCGAGATGGCTCGGCGAGCGCACAGGAGACGTGCGCGCGGGGCACTCTTGGTCGCGACAGCTCGGAGAGCCAACTGGGGCCGGCGAACCTTCTTCACGGCGTGTCGACAGCGTGGGCGAAACGTCGCTGCGGCTCGGGGAGCGTCGCGTGGCTGGGGACGCATCTCCTCGGTTCAGAGAACCCAGCATGGACTCGTCCACCTCGCCCTCTTCACCAAAGAGTTCCCTAGGATCCATGATCTGGCGGGTTGGTGCTCGAGGGGAGCTGGGGCTTGCGCGCTGCGAGCTGCGCTTCTGGCGGTGCGCCGCGAAGTACTCGGACACCGAGAGCCTGGAAGGCGTCGAGGGTGTGCGCGCAGGCGCCGGCGTTCGCAAAGGTGCGGAGGCACGCAGTGCAGCAGCAGGAGAGGAGCCAGGCTCCGAGGCGGATCTCGCGAGAGGCTGTCTGCGGTCGAAAGATCAAACGGCTTGATGACTTCAAGTCATGTGAGGGCGCGTTGCGCCGAGAAGTTCTCAGAGACGTCCACGCGGTGTGGATTGACTCGTTCGAGAAGAAGACTTGACGGAACAAGACCCGGCGGTTGACCGTTAAGCGTGAACACCCGTGTCCACGGTTTGGTGGGGGAGGGTGTAACGGGGTTACACGATAGTTACCCGAAGGGTTACGAAGTGGGTACACACTGTATAACCTAAATCAGTAGGAGAATCAGTACATGACTTCAGAGCCACTGATTATGCATATGACTAGGTTTCACTATGCTAGATAGTGAACCGGATACATTTACACCGTAGGCGGCTTTGCCGCAATAAAGGGAAATACATTCAGTTTGAGATTCACACAGTTAAGAGTTAAGGGTTGACTCTTGGAGTCCGTAAGGTGTACGGACTCACACGTTCTGGTATTAGAACGGGCTATCTTAAGCTGAGACTCTGCGAGTCTGTTACGTCTTCCTCTGACGCTAAAGCTACGGCAGCCCCGCTGCACCTACGTCCGGGTACGCGTCGCACAAAGCCAACAGCGACACCAGGATCGACGTCGTATGCTGCCACAGGTTCTCACAAAAGACCAGCAGCTGATGGTCATCCACGCATTCATTGGGCACACGATTCACACTAAGGTTGAGCGTTCCTACGTATGCCTTGTGCTCATTCTGCAATACACAACATATTTTGTCAGTTTTGGTAGATCTTCAGGTGAAGTGCGGTGGCTTGTTCCTTACCTTGGTGATTGTGCATGTGTCCGTGAACGGCTCTCGCCGGTCTGCAATACGCCACTCCACCTCGCCAATCCACTTGGTCGTGGGCATCACTAATGCGAATCTCTGACGCGCCTCGCGGATGCTCGCCATATCGCCCAGGTGGTCGAACGTTGCGAAGCCGCAATCGGGTCAGTAGGCAAGAAGATCGAAGTTTTGCTTCATCAACGGACAGCGGGCCGGCGACTTCAACTTAAGGCAATTCAAGCGCCTCAACCATCACCTACGAGTGAAATAGAGAGTAGGGGCGTCTAGCAAACCAGCAACATCATCAAATGAAGCCACCGCCTCCACTTTTCGTTCACGGTACTTAGCTGCCAGCTCCAGTGAGACTTCACGATCCTGCTTGGCTTGGGTTCGCTTCCGGTGGGCCTTGGTCATTCCGTTGATCACAGGACGCTCCGCAAATGTCCACGCGACTGCCTTCCTGCGTTCCTTCGGCAGCTCTTGTGACTCGGTAGATATTTGTGTGGCTTCGGTAGAATCTTGTGACAACGTTTGGGCGAAGTTGCCAACCTCACCTGCAAAAGTCGGCTTCTCCGGCTGTTGCAGTCTCTTCAGCAGCGGCAACATCGACTCCAGCTCCAGAAGTGCAGGGCTCCTCCTCGCTTCTTCCTCCTCAACCGTTGTCTTCAACTTTGATGGTAGATCCACCAGCTGCGAAAGCCACCTGAGAAAGCCCCGTGAGTACAGGAACCTCGCGCTTTGCCAAGGCGACTACGTTGCCGGAGTTGGGCGCTGAGTAGAAATCCTGAAGCCACTTCCGCGCGACCCAAAATGTCGGCGTCGACTGAAGAGCCATTTGTTCATTGATCTTCTGTGATATCGCCTTGGCCTCGACGTACATTGTAGCGCCTGGCAGTGCTCGTGTCTTCGGACGCGACGGACAGATGCCTTGATTCAAACCACCACACGGAAGCTCGCTTGAATCTATATGTTTTCTGAGCTGTGCACAATCCACCGTGTAGGAAAACGCTGTATTGGGGGGAGTACTGTTTCGAAGTCGCCTGTATTCCGGACGTATGTATATTCGAAAACTGCTGAAACGTCTCGGCCTGGAAGTCATTGAACGCGTCGTGGAATGGCTCTCACGAGTCTAACGTGGAGGGGAAGCCGTAAAATCCCACAGGCTTAGCTCGCTTCACGCGAAGGTCGTAAGTTCGGGATGTGCTTCGGTGAGAGTTTGGGTTGGGTTCGGACCGAAACTCATCACCTTCGTCGCCTTCATCACCGTTCTCTTCTTCTGCGTGTTCTTCAATCTCGACTTCCTCTGCGGCGTCGCCCTCCTTTCTGCGCCATTCTTCGTCGTCTTCGTCAGCAGTATTTTCACTCTCTTCACCGTCGTTTTCGTCAGCACTTTCACTCTCTTCGCCGTCGTCGGCGGCATCTTCGTCTGTGCCGTCCGCTCAATGTCAAACATCTCGCGTGCGGCACGTGTTTCCCACCGCTTGTACATGATAGGCTCGCGCGCATGGGCTCGGCCTTCTTCCTAGCCTCGCTGCGCAGCCTGGCGGTGGAACTCTGGGGATTTTGTGCCTGCCGTCCATCGCAAGCCGAATCTCCTGCTCGTCGTGGCGTGCGCGCGCCACGTTCGTAACCTGCTGCGCTTCCAGCACACAGCGATTGTACACTGGCAGCGGGGGAGATCGCGCAGCGTCCTGTCCGTTTCATGCCGAAGTTCACGCTGGCGCTGGCGCTGCCGACTCCGACTCCGCTCCGGCTCAGCACTGTCGCGCTGCGCACGCGTCACATGGGCGTCTTCGGACCTGGAGGGCGCTTCGACGAGCCAGGCTAATACACGCAAATGTCAGTAACACATATTCCTTACCCATGACTCGCATGTAAGCGTACCGTGCTAGGTGTGCGCGCCATTCTTGTGCCGGGACCTTGACTCTTGGTTCTTTCCCTCAACGGGGCCGATCGACGAATGCCATCCAAAACGGGAGGCGGGGAAGCGCTCGTATTTTTTGAAAAATCAGCGCCACCTACAGTAAGGTAATTTATTGTCGCCCTCTCCTGACAAGTTCAACCCGAACCTCGAAAACTGGCTATATCTGGTCTACCAAAGCTTCACAGGATTCGGTTGCTACCACCGAATTTAGTCTCGTCTGCCGAGGACGGGTGTCATGGCACTCGAATCCTGAAACTGAAGCGTGTCAAGAGGCCTAAAACCTCTAATTTCCCAAAACTAGGCCGATTCTGGCGTATGAGGGCCCATCGGAATGCTCTTGGAAGGCTGGGCGAGTCCATGGAACGGAAAGCACGCGCATTGGGCGTGATCTAGAGGATCGAAGCGATCATTTGGGGGGATTTTACGGATCGGATTTCACCCCCTCCCTAAACCCCTACCCCTGTCTAGGCATTGATGCTACGAGGCCAGATTTGGTAAAATTACTGTAAGTTTGACAAAAATCACACCGATTTGGCCCTCAAGATTCGGTGGTAGCAGCGTATTCCGGGGTGCGAGAGTATTTTATCGGTCCACAAGACTGAGCAGGCTTCTTGCACGAAAGTTCGCTAAGCTAGAAGGAAAAATACGTTCTCTTTAACATGACTGCAGCCCGACCGACACTGTAACAGGGTTACACGCACAAGTGGCTACAGTCACTTGCAACCCTAACAGACACGACGTCTGTTAGAGGTTCGAAAGACTTTCTCGACCTTGGTGTAGACACACCAAAGGCTACATACATTTACGACCACCACGACGGGTGGTCCATAGAGACTGAGGATTCCTATTGGCTGAGAGCAGCATCTCTTAGCCAATGAGCGACATGCATAGCATTGGAATTCTGCCAACCAGCCGTTGGCAGATTCCTATCTTAGAATATTACATTTAGAGGAAGTCAGAAACATAAAACAAAAATAGCAGTTCTCATTTTAGCCTAAAACATTATTTGGATCGTTTATTTAGATTAATCTATACTCGGAGGCCCGAGTATAATTAACTCTAAGTTACACTAAGCTACGCTTCCTCACATACACGCGCACACGTGTAAGCTAAAGTAGTGAGCCAAAGTAGGCCCATTACACGTGGTAGCACTTTGTAGTCCGTCCAACGACCCCCTACCTGAATTCGTACGTCACCGCACGAACGCGGAGCTGAGAACCTTACCATGGATACGGAGGTGTCCATGGAAAGCTCCACTACGCCTGCAACTCACGTTGCACGCGCTGACTGTCCCCTCTGTCGGACCCAGAGTGGGAAGCTCTCCAACGACTGTTAACAGTCATTGGTGAGGCGGCTGTAGCTACGATGCTGCGTACGCCAACGCCGACAGAGCAACATGGTGTTGCTCTGGGATTCATCATGAGGGAGCAGCGAGATGCTGCTTCGTTTACCACGGTGTCGTCGGGGACGACACCGCGCGCGCAATCGCTGAAGCTCAGCGTGAGCAATTACGTTGGAAGAGAGGGCGAGCCTCTCCTCCGTTGGCTTGTCGAACTCGACACTGCCATTGCGGCTCGCCGTATCATCGACCCGTTATCGTAGGTTGCGTTCGCCATGTCATGTCTAGGCAGACGTGCAAGAAGTTGGGTGTATGGACGCCGACTCTCGGATCCTACGTGCTTTAGCACGTACGAGGGTTTCAAGGAAGAGCTCAGACAAGCGTTTGAGCCCCCGCAAAACGAGTTCCGGTCGAGGGCGGAGTTCCTCGACCTGCAGCTGGGCAGGCATGATGTCCATGCTTACGCTCAGAGAGCACGGTACTTGGTCTCGAACATCGTGACCAATCCGATCGACGAGGCGACCAAGGTCGTAACGCTCATGAAGGGACTGCGAGATGGGCCCGTGAAGACCTATCTCTTCCGTGAGTACCCGAGTACTCTCGAAGCCGCAATCACTCTTGCAATGCAGGAGGAGTTTAGCCTGCGGCAGGCTAAGCTGCATGCACATGTGCCAAGGCCACAGCCTCACCGATAGTGAGGACGGGAGGCCCAGAACCCATGGACCTCTCGAGCGCTGCAACTGCTGGACCACAGCAGTCGCAAGGAAACAATGTGCGATGCTGCCGATGCGGTAGAATCGGTCACTTTGCTCGGGAGTGCACGGCCCCCGTGCACCAGCAGGGTGGCTATCGCGGCGGTGCCGGGCACCGTCGCAACCAAACAAAACACACTGGACGCCAGTAGGCGCGGGGCACCCTACTGGTAATGCCGTTCCGCGTGCCGACCTTGGACACGCGACACTGAGGACCGCAGCCCCCAGTGAGGTTCATTCTCACTGCAAGAACCAAGATGACAAGCCTGACCTTGTCATCCTGAACGTGAACTCGATGAGAGCAAGCGGCTCTCTCCGTGCTTTGGTAGATTCTGGCGCGTCGAAGAACTTGTTCGACTACGAAGTATATCAAGGCTTGACTTCGAGGATTTAAAGATACCTCGAAGTATGTTGGAAGTACGAATGGCAATGGGTGCACCGAGAAGCGCATGGTACGCGTGCGCTTCACGTATGAAGATCAAGAGTCTGTCGAGACCTTCATCGTCCTGGATCTGGACGATAAGTTTGACATTGTATTGGGCATGCCGTGGCTTGCACGGCATGATCCGGTCATCGATTGGGAGAAGCGCACTCTCGTGCGCTTCGGTCGAGCCAGCGGAACAGTGAGCGATGGCCCTGTTGCCGCTACGCACGCACCGACAGGTGCGCGCGACTCCCCACTCGAGACAGCGCCTAATGCCGCTGTCCCGGAGCGCCCTGGGCGCGCGCGAGCACGCGCGCAAGAGCACCAAGCGTCGGCGTCGCCGCCGACGGCTGAAGGAGAAAATGTGTTGATCTCAAAGATCGACACCCGCTTTTCAGCGAATCAGGAAGAGTCTCCGACCTCAAGGGGCACGGATGACGCAGACGAGTCACACGCCTCAGCCGTGGAGGCTGACGCGAATCTGATTGGATCAGGTCTGGCCAATAATAAGAGCCAAGGTGACGTAACGCCGTCGACTCCGGGAGTCGATGGCTTGGGTGAATTTGATTCGTCGGCTCGAGGAGCCGACGCACCCTCCGTAATGGAGGGCTGCGCCAATAACAGGCGTCGAGGTGAAGATGGCGTGTCGGCTCCGGGAGCCGATGCTGCAGGCGGTGCGGACGGTTGCAAACGTCCCGCACCGGAAAAAAAAACTTGCATGCTGTCGTGCAGCCGGGCTGCACGACGAAGCGCCGGGCGACCAAGCCGGGCTTGAAGTCGCTCGCCCGCGGGATGAACCCGTCGGCAGTACTAAAGAAGAACACCCGTCCACGGCTGGGCCTGGACGAGGTCAAGAACCAAGCGGAGCCGGGCTCCGCAAAACAAAAAGACGGCGCATGCGAAGGTCGCTGCGCAAGTCTCAGCCTGGGGCCGAGACGCTACAAGGAATGTCTGCCGGGCAGACGGAGGCTGAGAAGCCGGACGTCGAGACGTTGAACGTCTTGACGCGTACCTGTGCCGGGTTCCGGTACAGGGAGATGACTTTCGCTAACCCTCCGACGCAAGCTTCGGAGTTTACTTCGCTTCCAGTCATGAGCTGGAAGCGCTTCGCGCGTGACTTGCACGATGGACGCATCGAGCAAATATGCATTCTCTCGGACGCCGAGAGAACGAAGAGCGAGAATGAAGAACTGAGGCAGTTCTTCATGGAGACCACCACTGAGAGCGAGGACACTCTCAGTGCGAAGACGAAGAAGGAGCGCTTTGAAGAGCAGAGCTGGGACTCGTTGAAAACGAGTCCCTACTACGCGATCTTACGGGAGTACGCGGACGTACTTCCGGAAGAGATCCCTGCGGAACTTCCGCAGGACAAGGGAATCCAGCACGAGATTGATCTCGTGCCGGGCACGAAGTACTGTGTCACGCGGCAGTGGCCACTGCCGCGAGAGCAGGTCGAGGCGATCGACAACTTCTTTGAGAGTCGTCGCAAAGCTGGACAAGTGCGGATATCGAAATCCCCGCAGTGCTCCGACGTTCTGTGTCAAGAAGCCACATGGCGGTTGGCGCATCGTTCATGCGTACAACAAGCTGAACGATGCGACGATACCGGCGCAGACACCGATACCGCGAAAAGATGTCATCATCGATTCGATGGCCAGGAGCACTATCTACAGTGCTCTTGATCCGCGCGATGGGTTCTATCAGATCCTCATGCGTGAGAGCGATATCCCTCTCACGGCTGTGAGCACACCGAGCGGCATGCTCTGGGAGTGGCTAGTGATGCCGCAGGGTCTGAAGAACGCCCCTGCGACCTTCAACAGGTGCGTGACGCACTTGTTACGCTCGGTGCGCGACTTCGCACCGAGCTACTTCGACGATGTGTTCGTCCACAGCCGGGCTGCGGACGGGATGAGCGATGTTGAGATGCACAAGGTGCATCTCCGGAAGCTGCTTGCGCTCATGCGCAAGCACAAGCTCTATGCGGACCTGAAGAAGTGCATCTTCGGGGCGAGCGAGATACCCGTGCTCGGGTGTCTCGTCGGGAAGAACGGTGTCCGCCCTGACCCTGAGAAGGTCAGAGTGATCAATGAGTGGCCGACGCCGTCGATCGTCAAGGAACTGCGGCAGTTCCTTCGCTTGGCCACGTACTTGTGCAAGTACGTGAAGGACTACGCGGGCATGATACACCCGCTGTCACAGCTCCTGAAGAAGGACGTCGAGTGGACTTGGACTGCTAAGAGTCAGCAGGCCTTCGATGCAGTCAAGCAGGGATGGACTGAGGTGCCGATCTTGGCGGTGGCCGACCAAGATCGCCCGTTCCACGTTGTGTGTGACGCATCCGACTTCGCAATCGGATGTGCGTTGATGCAGCACGATCACGAGGGCCGTGATCGTGTCGTCTACTACCAATCGCACCAGCTAAAGCCAGCTGAGCGCAACTACCCGGTACATGACAAGGAGCTTCTTGCCATGAAGTACGCACTCGCGAAGTTCCGAGTGTATCTACTCGGAAGCAAACCGTTCGTGGTCTGCACAGACCACGCGTCACTGCGGACGGCTGTGAAGTCGCCACACATCTCGCAACGGATGGCGAGATGGCTCTCATTCTTCGCAGAGTATAACTTCCGGGTTGAGTACAAACCCGGAAGACTCAATGTGGTGGCCGACGCGCTCTCGCGTCGGCCTGACTACGCCACGACCGATGCGAACGTCAATGCCATTGACGCCATGCGATCGAGCACCCCAACGTCGTCACTGTTGGACGACGGGAAGGTCGCGTACGCGCACGACGCGGACGCGAAGCTCTTGCTGGCCTACGGTTCAGCACCTTCTGACAAAGCTTGTCAGAAGCTGCCGAAGCATCTTCGTGCTCGTGCACACCGTTATCGGGTGCACGATGGGTTGTTACTCTATAGTGCAGTCGACGACAACGCGGACCGCGTTGTCGTGCCCAATGACGATGACCTGCGACTCAGGATCATGTACGAGTATCACGATGCATCGACTGCGGTGCATCCGGGTCGTGAGAAGACATACCTTCTTCTCACGCGAGACTTCTACTGGGCCCACCAGTACAAATGGGTGCGCAAGTACGTCCGTGCTTGCGAGGTTTGTCAACGTGTGAAGCCTGCGCCTTTCGCGCAGGCTCCCTTGCAGTCACTACCAACTCCACGAGAGTGTTGGTAGTCCATGTCTTTGGACTTCGTGTTCGGTCTTCCCCCGGACAGCCAGCGGAACACGGGCGTTGTGGTCTTTGTTGACCGCTTCAGCAAGATGGTACATCTTGCTGCGGTACCCGCTGAAGTGACTGCGAAGCAGACGGCGCGTCGGTTCGTTGACGTGATGTTCAAACACCATGGCATGCCGATCGACATTGTGTCGGATCGGGACCCGCGCTTCACTGCACACCTTTGGCAAGAAGTGTTTACACTTCTTGGGAGTCAACTTTCGATGTCGACTGCGGATCATCCGCAGACGGACGGGCAGACCGAGCGCGTGAACCGCGTGCTCGTAGACGTGCTTAAGAGCTACGCTCACTCGTTCCAACACTGGAGCGAGTGCCTGCCGATGGCGGAGTTCGCCATCAACAACTCGGTGCATGCCTCGACCGGGCATATACCGTTCTACGTGAATGCCATCAGGCACCCACGCCTCCCGAGTCTACTCCGGGTGGTGGCTCCTTCCTTAAGTGGGGGAGGATCTACGACTGCAACGCAGCAGTCGCAGAATGCCACTGACACTTGCACAGTGTCAGCCGCGACTACGCGCAACAACAACAAGAAGCACGCGTCTGTGCAGGGCACAGACGCCGACAAGAGCAAGAAGAAAAGAACGGGTCTGTGTAGAGCACAGACACCGCGAAGACGAACGCAGAGGCCGGGCCTACTGCTAGAAACGAGCTGAACGAGTTCAGCTCGGACGCAATCAACTTCGTGCAGCGCAGACAAGCCGTCATTCGGTTTGTCCAAGACGCTATCGCAGCTTCTGTCGACCGACAGAAGCTGAACGCAGACAATGTTGGTAGGGGCAACACTAATGAATTCAAGAAGGGTTCATTGGTCTTGTTAGCAACTCAAATCTGCCTGAACATGCAGGTTCCGACTTCGGGGCGAGCAAGCTCGCTCCGCGCTTCATCGGGCCGTTCACGGTGTTGGCACGGCATGGCAACGCCTACACGCTAGATATTCCATCTAGCATGCGCCTCCATCCGACCTTTTACGTCGGGCGGCTGAAGCCATACCTGCAGCACGAGCCACCTAGCTCGGCTGGCCCGAAGCGGAAGCCCCAGCGGGAGCGAACCTCTGCTCCAGCGCGTAAACGCGCTGGGCCAAGCGTGCGACGAGACCTCCCACGTCGACAGAGATGTCCGACGCGGTCTGTGAGGCCTGAGCGACTTGAGCCCTCAGGATCGCCACCTCCTGCATCAGAGCGGCGAACTCCCGGCTCTGATGCTGTTCCACAGCAGCGACCCGCTCCTCGAGCGTCAGGCCAAGGTCAACCCCAGGTTGACCATACCCGGGGCGTGTTCCCACCACCGCCGCATCCGATCCGCGACGCCCGCGGCTCAACAAGCTGGATTGTTGAGCGTATTGTGAACCATAGTATCCCGAAAACGAACCGGCAGCGGGTTCGTTATCGTATTCGTTGGAGAGGGTTTCCGCCCCACCAAGACACATGGGAGCCACGGGACGTCCTGCTGCAGGACGTTCCGGAAATGGTGAGGGCGTACGAAGCTCACCACGCACTGCCGACGCGAAGGTAGTGCGAGCGCTGTGGTCACCTACAGCGCCCGAGGTCCCACGATCGTCGCGTTCCTCGCGTGCCAAGAACTTGGCACGGAGATCCTTGAGACTCTCAGGTACACGAATCGTCGTGTACCCGTTTAGGTCGCGGTCGCTCAAGCGCACCGCACCCGGAAGCCACAACGTGCACTGATGGCCTTCGGGCACAGCGCATGGAATACCAGCGTCCACAGAGGATCTGTGGAGCTGCTCCAGCCTCCCGCGCGTCGAGAATGTCTCGAAGCGCTCACGGGCATGCTTAACCCGCTCACGGTAAGCAGCCGGCTTCTTGTTGAAGTTCTCAACAAAAGCATTCCAACATTGACAAAGTGCCTGCCACTCAGGCACTTTGCTGCGAGAAGAGGTCTTCTTGCTGGAGAAGTATCGGAGGTCGTGAAAGAGTCCGATATAGTAATCCCGCCTTTGATTCGTTAACGGATCAAAGTGCTGCTCCTCCGCCACAGCATCATCGTGGATCCCGCTGCATACGTACAGCGGAATTTCATTTGGAGGCACGGTGTTGCCCACAGGGTCTGCGATCTCTGACGCAGACGGCATCCACGGATCGCGCGCTGCCTGAGCAGCGCGCGGAGAACTTGAAGACGCCACCTCACGCGGGGAGCTTAAAGTCTCAGCAGCGGAGAGCGGAGTTTCGCTCTCGCCGCGCGAACGCTTCGAGCTCGAAGCGTCCGAGTCGTCTCCTTCACGAGGGCGTCTCGACCCACATGCGGGTCGAGACTATCACTGTCGATAGACTCCTTGCGCTTGTTGGAAGAGGCCTCGCCCTCTTCCATCTCTACGTCGTCACTCCCATAGTCAACGGCGTCGTTGACTACAGAGGAACCTTCGAGGACAATCTCCGACTGAGTTGTCCCCGACGCGGCCTCTGCAGCGAGCGCGTCGCGCTTTGCCTGCTGGCACTCATGGTACTGAGCAACAGAGAGGTTCCCCTCTGTTGCGGCGGCGGTCTTCTTCTGCGCCGAGCTCATTGCGGAATGAGCTCGAGTTTTCTTTCTCCCAACGTGAAGAATTGACGAATGGTCAATTTCCTGATTGACGTGCCGTGACTCGGCGCGTCTAACCTTGAGGGGGGATGGTGTAACAGGGTTACACGCACAAGTGGCTATAGTCACTTGTAACTCTAACAGATACGACGTCTGTTAGAGGTTCGAAAGACTTTCTCGACCTTGGTGTAGACACACCAAAGGCTACATACATTTACGACCACCACGACGGGTGGTCCATAGAGACTGGGGATTCCTATTGGCTGAGAGCAGCATCTCTTAGCCAATGAGCGACATGCATAGCATTGGAATTCTGCCAACCAGCCGTTGGCAGATTCCTATCTTAGAATATTACATTTAGAGGAAGTCAGAAACATAAAACAAAAATAGCAGTTCTCATTTTAGCCTAAAACATTATTTGGATCGTTTATTTAGATTAATCTATACTCGGAGGCCCGAGTATAATTAACTCTAATTTATACTAGGCTACGCTTCCTCACCTACACGCGCACACGTGTAAGCTAAAGTGGTGGGCCAAAGTAGGCCCATTGCACCGCGCACCCGCAGGAGCAGTTGTTGAGCGCCGAGGTCCTGCTGGACCAGAGCGCCGCACACTCGTAGTAGAAGACGCCGAGGGCCAAGGCTGTGTAAGAGGTGGCGCCGAACCCCAAGGCCGTGTCAGAGCAGGCCGAGCTGTCGGCGCCCACGAGAGTCAAGAAGTTGCAGCTAGTGCTGACGAGCAGCGAGGGGTTGGAGGCGGTTCCGGCGAGCGCCGTCAAGATGCAGAAGATGCTGTTGAGCATGGCGCTGAGTGCAGCTATGCTACAGAGATCGTCGATGCAGTAGATGGCGCCAATGGTGGCGGTTCGGATGAGTGTGGGGCCCAGCGCAGAGATGGTAGTGCACGTCGCGCACAGCACGAAGGTGTTACATGTACGCTTGCCAACGTCATGACTTGACGTCAGAACACCAACATCTCGACTACGGCTTTGACAGCCACCGCCACCAACTGTGCCTCCGTGATCGACCTTACCGACGAAGTGGGTGGAGTCCCTCTCCTTACCAATACAAACGCTGAACCAGACGTGGGGATCCCAACATCGCAACAACACGAGGCACAGCAACGAAGAACGAAACCAAAAAATAACCCTTGGCCAACGGGAAAGTCGCGGAGAAAGTCTGATAGAAAGAAGCGCAAGACGGTGATCGATGCTGGGCGTATCTACTACCCCCGCACCATGAAAACACAGTACCTGCGCGAGTACCTACGACTGCCCAGCGTTCAACAGAACATTCGCGCTCGGCACATGCAGAAAGCGTTATCCTTATCGACTGGAAAGCGTATCTACGATGATTCGGCAGAGACAGTTGAAGAACTCGAGCAGACCCCAGCAGGCACACTTAACGTAGAGGTAAACACTGCCGAGAGCGCGGTACAAGGGCATACGATTGAGCCACACTTCTCAACGAGGAGCGCCCCATCGGAAGTTGCGTGGCCGGAAGGAGTGCAGAAGCTGCGGAGGTGTATTTACGCCAAAGACCTTAAGAATGTGACACTACTTTTTCCGGACATTGGCAAGATGGACGCGTGCCGGTGCTCCCATGACTGCTTCCGGGATACATGCAAGAATGCTACCACCGACATTTTCTGCTCCAAGAGCATCGGCGCGCTAATCGGTCGTTGCTCTAACACGGCCTACGAGTATGGCGGTGTGGAGCTGATGCAGTGTGAATACGGAATCGGTGTGCGAGCTACAGAATTTATACCGGTCGACGCAGTGATCGGCGAGTTCGTTGGTGAACTCACTCTGCATGACTTCGAAGCAGATATGGAAATAGCAGAGTACGCGTTGGAGTTGCAAACGACGGCGAGTACGACGAAGATCAGGAAGAAGCGCACTGTTTACATCGACGCAGCCAAGGCTGGTAGCATCACCAGGTTTATCAACCATTCCTGCGAAGCAAAGTGCAAGTTTGTTGAAGTTCGGAACGGACGACGCGTGAAGGTACTGGTAATTGTAGAAAACCCATTCACCCTGGAGAAGAACTTACAGTGAACTACGGAGATAAGCTGTGGTTCACCTGTACGTGCGGGTTAGGAAAGTCTAAGGGTTCACCAAACTAATAGATGTATAGTTTAAATACAGATTTCACTTAGGTTTGCCTGTTTAAGCGCGGGTGGTGAAGTAATATGGGACCATAAGCGGATACGCAACCAATACATAGTTACTCTGGGAAGCCATTTCGCATACTACAAAACGTTTATGCCTCGTAGTAACCGAAGGGGGCAGTAAAACGAATGACTTCGAAACAGAAGCGAAGATGGTGCAACCGCACCAAACCCGGATACATGTCCGATTAAATGGTAGCATGAAAACCAATTATTTGTGCTTTTAACGTCAACTTGTGCGTATTGACCGAAGGGGGCATGAAGGCAAAATATGCGATGTACCCTCGCCACGGAAGTTCGAGCACCCTAAACAGGTACACAGATTCAGTCTATCATATCAACTAAGCCCTGAATAGAGTTTGTTTAGCCTCATGTAACATATATCGAACGAATGCAAGATTCAAGATTGAACACGTAGATTTTGTGAGTAATATGGAGATGTGCGTAAACTGACAAAAGCGTATATGAACAGAATTGAACTTCGTGAGCTTAAACGAGTTTTGTAGTCCTCACATCCCATACATCAGTATTTATCGACGGGGGGTGACTAGAAGATGATACGGTGATCTTCCACGATAAGCGCATACGCACTCGAAAGAAAGCATTGCTTTCTTCACAAACGTGTATCGGTCACTGTCCGAAACTTCATAAGTATCGAAGGGGAAGAAGAAGCGTTTGTTCCGTTTAGCAGTGGAGAATTTGATTTTGAGTTACAGTCCATGCGAACACTAGGCCGACACTAGTGAGCAATTGGATGAAACTTCCTCGTTCCAGGGACAGCGCGTGACCATTGAGAGGTGCTCTTCCACCCATATCGGCCGCCGGGACCTCCTGTTGTTGAATTCCGCTCTGGGCGGCGCGCGCCGGGTTACGGTTTACGAACTTGAGTTTGCCCGTAATGTCAACGAAGCCGTAGCTCTGCATGACGAGGAGTAGATGACAGCAATGCCCGAACTTGTACCAGTAGCGACAGCTACAAACGCGACGCGAGACGTCAACAGCCCAGCCCCACGATGACTGCCCTTCCACTTCCATTCGAGCGTAATTATCGCCAAGTTGAGCGGAGACAGCGATGACCTCTTCGGTGCGCTTCTTCGACGGAACCAAAATCCGAGGCGTCCGCAGCGTAACAACAAACTTAATACCTCGGGCCACCGCCTGCTCGAAGCCGCTTCCCATACCTGGAAATACCTCATAAAGTGTTTTTGCTTTCTGCAGCTCGGCTACACGTCTCTTCAGAGCCCGAGGAATCTCGGGTTGCGCGCGAAACTGCCTCTCGTTACTGGACTCCGTAAAACAGCACTCGACCAGTTGCTTGAACAACGTCCCCATTTTCAGCTGGCTGCGAAGGGAATAGTCACGCTTTATGACTTTGTTGTACTGCTCGATAGGGTTGTTCATCGTTGCAAAACCGACGGGGGTGTAGAAGCATTGCCATTGGTGGAACTTGCCGCTAAGCCATTGCTCAGCAAAGTACTTTGCGAAGGTCTTCGTTTCGGGATTGGCTTTCCACTGAACCGTGCAGGTATCGCGTAGACGTATAAACGGTTGGGGGGACCGGCAAAGTGCATAGTAGATGTCCTTCGTCAAACGTGTCTTGGCCTCCGTTGACAATCCCTTCGTGTACTTGAACACTTTGGCGACGACATGGTAGAAGCACATCAGGTAGATGAAGTTGTTGTCCGGACCGAAGACACTGACACAGCCGTTGTACTGAGCATCATCGCCGTCTCCCATGACGGAGCGAATGGCGAGTTTCTTGTTAACAACTTGCTCGTACACACGACGAAGAGAAGTCAAAGCTTCGAAAAATTGCATCTCTTGCTGCTGGGACATCACGAAAAGCGCCACCAAATGGAACGACCGATTTCCATCCGAGATTCCACAAGCCAGAACCGGGTAGCCCACTTGGTTCAACTTGTAGGTCGCGGCGAGATGAAAAATGAACGATCCGGGAGCTCGGTTCAGTCGCATCAGCATCATCTTGGTAGTGACTCCGACGACGCACGGATCCTCGTCCGAACCAATTTCTATCCATGGGTTGCCATTGGCATCAGATCGCGCTCCAAACACAAAAGTTTTGAGTCTCGCTCTCTGCTCCAGTAAACGCGTGTTCACGGATGTAGGCCACCACATCGTCGTAGCAGTCGTTGTTCAGCAGCTTCTTCTTCTTGTAGTAGTTCGCGAAGTTCTGGACTTTTGCGAGTGAAGGTAGATCCTTAACCGCGAGGTTGAACTTCCTGGTCATGGAGTTGCGGATTTGGGCTGGCTTCATTCGCAACGCGCTCATCTCACGAATGTACACCTTCTGAGCAGCGGTCAGGGATTCTTGGCGTGGGTCTCGGACCGGGCTCACATGACTTGAGCACTCGAAGATTGAGATCTCATCGGTCTTCAAACACTTGAGCGTCCGACCCCTCCATGAACACGTCAGACCCGGAAACGCACGCGTGCATGCTGGTGATCCACACTCCAAAATGCGGTATCGCATTAGATGCGGCTCAACATGCATGCATATCGTGCAGGGAACAGCGTTGCTTCTTGCCACGGTGTAGCGCTTGAACGTCTCCAGAAACATCTCTGCTTCGTCGCTTGGGGCGTTTAACACCACAACGCTCCATGCTGGGCGCGTCATGGCGTCCGCTGGCGTTGGGCGCGTCATGGCGTCTGCTGGCGTTGACGGCAAGAGCTACCGGGTTCTCCTGTCGACTTTGACCTCCACTGCTAATTGGAATGTGATCCCAGTGGAAGCACACAGGGAGCTGATTGACTATTTATTGTATATATTCATACATTGATTGGCTACAGAATGACTGGTTGGGCTTGTTGCCAGTTCCCTTGGTTATTGCGTTTCAACCGCTAATTGAGTTGTGTACACCAAATGCTGTGTGGGTACACCGAGGCCTTGATAGTTTTACCTGGCTTTTGCTTGGGTTGCCTCAATTTTATGTGTAACCCTTTATTTTTGTTGTTTATACATATTTTTCGTCAGTTATCACCGTCTCTCAGTGCATTGTTGTGGCTACAAATTCCAGAGCTTCAAAGTGCTGAGGAAGCGCCTTTTCAAAACTCTCAACTACAATGTCCTCATCAAGGCTGTTCCAGGCTATGATAGTGCGCTCGATAATATCAAGGCGCTTTTCTTTTGCCGTTTTGGGGCTTTTGCGGTAAGCCCATGTACTGCGCAGGGCCGACTTCTGCGGGCCCATCACGTTTACGTCGAGGGGCTGGCAAGTGGACGTGGTGTTCGCTGACAACGGGTCCACCACAGCGAACACTTTCTCGGCCACGACCCGCTGCCCTTCCTCGGACACGTGACAGTCGAAGTTGTCCGCGAGGATGACAGCGGGCCCGTCCAGCTCGTTCATCAGTAACTCGCTGGTGTAGTAGTCCCAGCACCTGGCGTCCGTCCAGGCGTTCTCTTGAACGCAGTAGTAGTGCCCCGCCGGGTAGGTCTTTAGTTCATCCTTGTCGATGTCCGCCGGGGACACCCTTAATAATGAACAAGATTGGAAAAAAAATTCCTGCAAATATGACAAACAAAAAACATATTCGTCTACAAGTTAAGCAATTGTTAAAATTAAAACGCGCAAAAAATTATCTTACCATCGGCCCTCACGGTCAGCACGGCTGTCATACGACCTGGATGCTTCATCAATCCAGTCACCCTCGCTGAATCGGTTGCTCCTTTGCCTGCCCAACCTTTTTTAGGTGCCATTTCATAGTAGATTGACGTTTCGTCGACGTTGTAGATCTCCGTTATCGGCGTGTTCCAGTGCCGGCCCCAGAAGTCCCAGGAGAACTCCATTTGTGTTTCCACAAGCTCACCGTCGGTAAGTTTGCTGGTAACAGGAACCTGAGAAGAAAACCCATGGCTAACACGTAGTTAATAAAAAGCAAAAGCATTATTTTACAGCAATGCATACCGTTTCGCAAATTGTTGGCACAATTTAAAGAGCTTTATGGCCACTTTCCTCGCTCTTCTTCGTTCTTAGGTACTCTGTCAACCACGCAAGCTGGTGCTCTTTCATGTATTTGATCAACATCAGCGTAGTAACCAGCTGAAAGCAAAAACAAGAAAAAATGTCATTCAGCGAAGATTTTATATATTAGTTCAGATAACACTTACGTTGTTGTCTCGACGCTCATCTTTCATATACAAAACCAAAGCATGCGAGAAAGGGATCATCTCCTTTCTCCCTTGCCCTTTCATGCTTGCTTTTCTGCGAGCCGCTGAAGCTTGTAATCTTGTCCTCGTTCTTCACCCAGTCGCGCACGGTCCAACGTGGCACGTTACTCTGTTTAATAACTTCATCAATGCCTACCGTGGCAACCAGGCGAAACACTTCGCGCTTATACTGCATTTTGTAGGAGCGCTTGGCGCGCATCTTTCTGTTTTTTCTCAATTCGGCGCAGGACGACATGCTTCGCGGTGCTCTCCGTGCCAGTAATTTTTTGTAGTATTGGTTGGTAAAAAATAAGAGCTCGTGTTCGTCTGATTGGCTAAAATACAAACATTGTTTTGTATCGGATCAGAAGTCGGGGCTTGTCGCATGGCGTATTTTTTGGTGGAGCGTATTTTTCCATCTCGTCTTGAGTTGCAGTGCAAACAGCAATGATACGCGACTCGTGCTCACGGGCCAAGTCGACGCCAGCAATTTCGCGGTTGATGCGGGCCACTGCCATGGCCTTAAAATTGGGAGAACAGGTCGAAGTGAGAGTTGTCGACCAAATACTTTATTTTATTGAAAACTTTTTTTCTCTCAAATTTCAAAACATTTTTTTTTGCAACTCTTGAGTAGCTCGTCCTTTCATTAATCAACCGCAGTGTTTCCTTGGTGCAAACCAAACGGACGAGACTTTGCAGAGTGTTCGCGACATGATTCGTTCAGCTGCCCCCTTGCTTCCTGTATCAGAGCTGAATGCAGTGCGTGCATGGCTTCGACTGCTGTGGGTCGCTTCTTGATGTTCATGGACACACAAGCGAGTCCCAGCCTGGCAATCGTCTGCGGTCCGTCCTCCGAGAACTTGACGCTCAACTCTCCCATAGCAACGCGGCGAAGAACGACCAACTGAGGGTTGGCTCCAGGTCGCACCTTTGCGTGGGCGTAAGGCTTCAAGTGCGTCGAGAGCTCGGACAGCACAACCCCGAACGAGAACATGTCGGCCTTCTCGTCATAAGGCTGTCCGACCATCACCTCGGGCGCCATCCACAGCGACGACCCCACGTCCGCTGTCATCGGACCAACAACGCGTTCTCTAGACACACCAAAGTCGGTCAACTTTGCGTCCAGCGCTTGGTTTAGCAGGATGTTCTTCGACTTGAGGTCGCGATGAATCACAGGAGCGTCGCGAGAGTGTAAATACGTGAGAGCTCGAGCCACATGGAAGGCGATTTTAATCTTGGTAAAGTCGAAGCCTGCCGGGTGGTCGATCTCCTGGTACTTGTCCATGAGTCCCCTCAGGTCGCCCCCATCCATGAGCTCCATGACGGAGCAGAAGACTTTGCTCGAGTGTAACACGACTCCGATGAACTGGACAATGTTCGGATGGCTCATCGTCACTGCTAGCTTAACCTCCTTGATGAATGCACTTGGATCGCTCATTACCTTGACAGCTACGGGTTTGCGGTCGTAGGTTCCTCTGTACACTGCCCCGAACGTCCCGCCACTTAGAAACTCATGGACAACCACCTCCTCGCGAGGTATGAGCGTCTTGTTGATGACTTCATCGTCCGAGGGCAATGCTGTGAAAGATATCGAACGCTCCGGCCCAGGTATATCATCATGGATAGGCTCCGTAACGATGCTTTCTATCTGATTCGACGCCAGAATTCTACTTGGAAGCGCTTGCAGTTCAGGAGCGAGTATCGACTGATTCACTGCTGTGGATTCTTGAGATTCCTCAGTTGTAGAGTCGATAGAAGCACGAAGCGACGATTTGCGTTGATACTGGTCTAAGTTTTCCAGAAAGTCGCCAACTGTAGTCTCGAAATGGCCGCGAGCATCTTGTACAGCGGCAACGTAGTCGCATTGAAGTTTGCTCTCGATGGTCTGTAGTTGGCGGTGCAGCTCCCGGATCGTAGCGACGCATTCTCTCGCCACATCGACGCGCCTCGGAGAGCAATCGCTACTGTTTGGCGTCGCATCGTCCATCGTGTCACTCCTTGAGAACGTGCGGGACCCGAGGCGAAGTCGAAGTTTCATGCTTAGTGCAGCGAAGGTGAGAGTGTATGTAAACTGCTTCGGTTGGTGGAAATTGAAGAGTGATGAGCTGATTCAAGTGCTTGCGTTAAAAATGAACTCGCACACAACTTCTATTTTGTGGCCCTCAAAATAGCCGCGAATCCGATCTGCATGATCCCAAACTGTCGTGCGTTTTCCTTATTAGCAATCGAAAACTAGTTTCGATCACGTTTCCCTCCCTAATACGCAAACGCATGGGCTTCAGTACTTATCGCTGCGGGCGCCTTCCTTCGCTCAGTGGCATCGTACGGATCGGTTAGATAACGACATTGTACGGAACAATGAGCACGTCAACGCACTCTCGGCTCCCTCGGTCTCCAAACACGGCCCGAATCGTGCGCGATGGGTCAATCTCGTCACTTGCAGCTAGAGCGCGAAGGAAATTCGCGACCTGAAGAGTATGTCGCCCCGTCACTTCGCCACGCTTTAACTGTGAATGCCTAGTGCTCGCCTTGACAAGCTTGACCATTCCAGCCATCCTATTGTGAATTTCATCCTTGAGCTCGGCGACAGCTGCACTCTCGTTGATAACGACCCCGAATACGTCGTGACCACAAGCGCAGGAAACTTTCCTGACCGGAACCAGCGCCACAAGTTGGACTGACGTGGCTTGGATTCCTCCAGTAGCAGGCGGGAGCGCGATCCCGGTGTTCTCCTCGTGATGCAGCTCGTCCCAGTCCGACAAAATGTACTCACTCGCCCACTTGAACTCTCCTGCCTCAAGGAAATCTGATAGAAGACCGAGCTCGAAAGACGCGCTGGAGATGTATGTGCCCCGTGGACCTGTTCTGAACATTCTGACCTTTGACGGGTGCACGTCTTGAAATTCTAGCGGGCTGCGAGCCTTGAGTAGGACGGACACTTCTCTCACGGTCGACGTAGGTGGCGCGTCAACGGCCACCAGACTCGATCCGGCAGCGCCAACTACCGCACAGGAAATGCTCGGCATCGTGTCGTGGACTCTTCGCAGCGAAGTGATACTTAGTTACCTCGTCCCAAGTCGATGTCATAAACTGTCAGATTGAACTACAAATGTGAACAAAAGTGCAACCATTCGTTGGTTTGGGATACACAAACACTTTAATGTTAGCCGAACCAATTCATGGCTCTCATCTATAAGCATAACACGTAAGTTTCGTTCTTGTAGTGTCAGTTATACTTCTTGTTACCTCCTTGACGTAAAAAATAATTTTTTTTATCTTACTCGTCCTGTAACAACATTTCGCTAATCAAATATTCCGATACAAATTTTCAGTTTACGATCACTTTCGAGAGGGGTTTGAAGTCTTCCCCATCAATTCCGACATCATCAGTCGAATGACCGACGCGTCCGCCGCCTCCTTCCAGCTCATGGACGACCAGGACCACGTCTCCATCGTCGCGGTGGACGGCAGTTCGTCCCCTTCGCCCCCGCGCGCGCCCAACGCGCGGCCTCCAGTTAACGGCGGCGCGCGTCGCCCGTGGCGCCGGTCTCCGTCCGAGATCTCGACCAGCTACCAGCCCGTGGACTGGGCGTCGGACGACGGCGTGCGCTTCGACGGGAGCTTGCGCCTGCGTCGCACGGTGAGCGACAGTGTCGCCAGTGCGGTTCCTGGCGCCTTCGGTCAATTGAAACCGACGTCGAAGGGTCCATTTCCTGCTCGAGAAGGGTCCATCTCGACGGCGGAAACAATTTCGACCACCACCAGCAATAGCAAGAGGACGACGTCCATGCCGACGCTGCTGCACGGGAAGAACATCTTGCAGCTGATGGCCATTGGGTCCATCGAGCCTATCGCCAGAGACTCGAACTCGGTGGACTGGTCCGACAGTCTCGGGGCGGTGGACGAGATCGACGATATGCCCATCATGGACCCGCACTATGACCTCACGACAGCCAAGATGACCAAGTTGTTCTCACTGTTCAACCCTGGAGGTTGGCTTTTGTAAATTCTATTATGTTGTGGTGGTTGGTATTGATGTTCTTGATTTTTTTATGGCTTGATAGACAATGGGATGGTGTCATACGAGGGATTTCGCTGCGGTTTGGAGGCGATGGGGATTGCGTGCGACGACGACGAGCAGTTCCACGCGTTCATCGACAAGGTGGACGACGACAAGAGCGGAGGCATCACGTACCAGGAGTTTCTCTTCGCTATCCAGGAAATCAAACTGGCGCAGCTCTTCAACAAAGATTTCCTGCGCAACATGCCACCCGAGTACACCCACGTGAAGCGCGGGAAGCCCGGTCGAGCCAAGCTTGGATCCATCGAGTACTCACCGGATCGCATTCGCAGCGTGTACCCGATCGACCAAGTGCAGAAGTTCATCTACTCGACCATGCCAGGCTGGGCGTCTGTGCGCTGGATTAACGTCGAGGGGATTGATCCTCTGCTGATTCGACGACTGTCGGTGCGGTACCGACTTCACCCGCTCGCTGTTGAGGACACGCTAGATGCGGACGTGGAGCGGCCCAAGTACGAGGAGTACGACGAGCACTCGTCGCTGATTCTGCAGACTGTTCACGCGCGGGACGTGGCCGTGGTGAAGAAGTACCAGAGCATGTATCGCGCCTCGCTCTACGTGCAGGACGACGATGTGTCGCCCTTCGAGAGTATGACGAAGAAGGAGCTAGAGGAGCGGCTGGACCAGCTCAACATTGGCTGCGTCATGACCGCACCGCAGCAGCTCAGTATGTACATCATGGAGGACGTACTGATCAGCGTCCAGGAACAGTCGACCACCCTCTGGTCGACGCTAAAACAGCGACTGGACACGTCGTACTCCAAGGTCCGTCAGCACGACACGGCGTTCCTGGTTTACACCATCGTGGACGTTTGTGTGGACGAGTTGACGCCCATCACGCACACGTTTGGCTCGAAGTTGATCATGCTCGAGCGGCTGCTGAGTCTGGACCCGCGCTACTTCGACGTGAGCCGGCTCGCGAGCTGCTCCAAGCAGATCAAGGGGCTGCAGGTCCTGTGCAAACCCATGAGCGAGGTCGTCATCCAGCTCTCGGAGTCGGATGAGTTCGAGGGCGAGACGCTGCGGTACTTCCGCGACGTGCTGGACCACATCACTACCATCGAGGAGGACTGCGAGCGGCACCTGGATCGTTGTCGCAGCCTCATCGATGACTTCCACAACGCAAGGGCTGCGCAGCAGAACGACGTGAGCTACATCCTAGCGCTGGTGGCGGCGATTTTCCTGCCGGCGCAGTTTCTGACCGGTCTGTACGGCATGAATTTCACGAATATGCCGGAACTTGAGTACCACAACGGGTACTACATCTGGTGGGGGGTCGTTCTCTTCATCGCACTGGCGACGATCGCGTTTTTCAAGTACTACAAGAAGTGGCTGTAAGTGCGGAGAAGAATTTTGTTTTCTTTTGCGATGTTGTGGGTGTTTGTTGATGATCGAAGTAAAATGTGGCATTCACTACTGTAGTATTGATAAGCTACGAGAAATAGCTTTAAGACTTTTACACGGCTGTTGTTGTCTTCGCCACTCGACTTTTACAGTGAAACTTGCCCAGTGGAGAGTGGCTCGGGGGTTCCCCTCAGTAGACCCATTTAAGTGGACTGAAAGGCAGTCTTTCAATTCAGATATTCGCCAGTCATTTTCCATTCCCAGCACCTCCCCGTCCCAGCCAGAGATGTTGCCGTACTCATTCATTACCCAACCAAACGCCGACGCAGTAACATGGCTGTAATAGCGAGTTCCGCCGGATCAACTTGGCTCAAGAGCGCGGGACGCGCATCATTCCCGTTTGCAAGGCGACGAAGGACGACTGGAGAGACTATCTGGACAGCGAAAACCAAGCGCTGAAATCGAAGCGCTGTGAGTGGATCGAAGGCACCATCTACATCGTGGAGCCGTCGAGTCAAGAGCGCGAATGCTTCAGTCGAGAAGTCGAGCACGCTTTGTTGGCCCAACGTGGCTTCGACGCGTACATGACGGCCTGGGGCTCAGCCGTTATCCCGGGCCTGCCCGACCTACCCGACTATGAGCCTGACGATGGCTATGGTCCAGCAAATTTCATGGGAGCTCCGTTTCCCCCTGGTGTTCAAGACTATCTGTCCTGGTACACGCTCATCATCGAGGTTGGGAAGTGGCGCAGCTGGGGATATGGCGCAGGAATGCTCGACTGGAAGGCTGCGGAGTGGGCACAGTTTCCAGGCGTGCGGTACATCCTGTGCGTGAAAGTCACCGATCGTTTGGCGACTGCCGACTACAAACTGTACAGGGTAGAGCGGGGCGGCAACGACGAAGCTCTTCCGTTGCCCGAGCTCGATCCCGTGCCGGTGGTTGGACCTCAGACAATGGTGACGTTCGATTCGCGCGAGCTGCTGGGTCTGCCTCCGGGGGAAAACATTCCAAGTAACCCATACTCATGTGATCGATTCCCGGACCCAAGCTTCAGTTTGGACCTTTATGAGGTTCTCGAAACTGCATGGCAAGAGCCCGATGATTCGTTGTTCGGTGCGGTGACCGTTCATTCTTCTTTTTCTCGCAGCTGATCATGGTACAGCATTGGCCAGATCAAATCTCCATCAACCATTTTCCCGCCAGCATTGCACCCTTCCAGCGCGCAATATGCAGCTCCGCGTCGTGGGTGCTGAGCCACCACCCCGCTCTGCACTCCGCGCTGCCGCACCTGGCGCCGCTCGTGTCGGATTTCCTCGGCCCCGACCCGAACCTGTCGCTGACCGAGGCCTGCAAGCTCGGGTCCACCCGATTGCTCGACTGGATCTGGGAGCGCAGCTGCGTCAGCGCCGACGCCAGACTGGAAGGATGGCCCCTCAGCGCTCCGAGCCATACTATTACCGTTATCAGTTCTACGAGGCCATTGAAGTTGCAGCCGGTACGTGAGCGTGGTGACGTGGCCCATGGACCATTTCTCGGGCTGCGAGGTGCCGTCCGAGGCGGTCGCCGAAGCCGCCCACAAGGGCCACCTACCAGTGCTGCAGCTGCTGCTGGAGAAGGACGCGGGTCGTGGGTGTCCACACAAGTTGGACAGACTGGAGGTGGAGGACAACGAGTGGGAGGACAGCGCCGCCGAGATGTCCCCCGACTGGCGCGGCCCGGGCAATGTGGTCCGCTGGGGAATTATGGGTCCTGACGCAGTGGAGCCCTTGCTGCAGGGAGGGTGTCTCAAGGAGAACAAGAATGCAGCGATCGGGGCGATCTGGGTCGCCGCTCGTGAAGGAAACTTGGACCTCATGAAGCGCGTCGCCGCGCAACACCCGAAGCCTCCGCGAGGGAAGAACAGCGAGTGGCTCCAGTTCTGGGGGTACGCCATGTCTTCAGCGTGCGAAGGAGTCAATATGGACGTGATTAAGTGGATGATGGAGCATCCAACGGGGCAGTTGCTCTGCAAGCAAATGAAGGAGGACTTTATCATGAACAATTACGATGAACAACCGCAGAAGGCAGTGGAGGGGGGTCACATTGAGGCGATGGCGCATCTCGTCGAGCAGGGGTGCAAGGATGAATACGCGACTGCTATGCTGAAGGCGGCTCGTAAGGGCCACCTGCACTGCATCGAATGGCTACTTGAGCACACGTACCAGTATCAATCGGGAGGCTCGGCTGACCGTATAGTGGTAGAAGCCGCGAAGCGAGGGAATCTGGACATGTTAAAGTTCTTTCACCCGCCGCGTTACGCAGCAGAAGAAATGTCTGAAAAGAGAAGGAAAATTGAAGACAGCGGAGCGTGGTGGGGTCGGTCTCGCGAAGCCATGGACGAAGCTGGGGTCAATGGCCATTTAGAGGTGGTGAAATGGCTACATGCTAACCGGTCGGAAGTCTGCTCCTCAGTTGCAGCGGACAGAGCCGCTGAAAATGGTCACTTGGAGGTGCTAAAGTGGTTGGAATCAGTGATGACTGCGAACTGGACAGCCAACACCATGGACGCCGCTGCCGGAGGGGGCCACTTGGACATTGTGAAGTGGTTGCACGCAAACCGAAGCGATGGGTGCACGATTAAAGCGGTGGAGAATGCGATTGGCAACGGAAAACTGCGCGTTGCGAGCTGGTTGTGCTGGTACTATCCAGAGTTTGTGCCAGAACACAAGGGCCTCTGGATGTACCCGAAGAATCTGTTCGACGCGCTGCTGTTTATCCAGGTAAACTACCCGGATGCGTTCACTGTGGAGTTTGGACGAGGCACGATAGCTGATCTAGCGGACGAGATGCGAAAGGGGAGTGAAATTCTGGTCAAGAAATGGCTGGAAGAAAAGTTCCCCGCACGCCCCACTAAACAGCGAGTACGCAGACGGTGATAGCAGTCGAGTCTCTTAGCGTTGAGTGAAGATCCAGTAACGTTTTGAGTACAATAATGATGAATTGGCTGGTGGTCTACCATCGTTTCTACACGTACTACTTCGAAGTAGTAGCTGATTCAACTCGACACAACAATAGCCCGGTATGATTTGCATTGCTTGCTTCCTCAAACAAGCGCTCGAACGCATAATTGATTCACTTTTGGCGTGTTTATTGGAGATGCAGGTTTTTAAAGAAAAATATAGTCTCTAGGAAACCTTTTGGATATCACGCATTGCTCTTCCAATCCCCTGGGTATTTATTGTGGTAAAACCCGACTCATTCGTCAGATATATTTTTGTTCTTCAAAGTGGAAAGACGAGCATTACTCAACCACGCGGAACCTGGGCCTCGTAAAATCTGCGGTACGCTACTTGGGCCCTGTCGTTACTAGGGACAAACGCTCTCATCTTGGCGGCTATTGTATCCGGACGAATCCCTTGCGATAACCACTTTTCAAACTGCAACTTCTGCAGCGACCTTGCAGCTGAGGTCCTTACAGAGCTAAGGGCGTCAGCCGGCCCCAGCACGCCAAAGCGGTTTACCGATATCGAGATCACATCCGGATTCTCCTTGTCGATGTTGTGCAGTTTTGTAACGTAAGAAGCCCACGTGCTCAGCTCTGGATTGCGGAACATATCGAACATGTACGCGTTTTTCCGATCCGTACTAAGCTTCAGCACTTTGAGAATGTCGTCGCTGGTTTTCCCCTCGTTCCTCCAGATCTCCTCCATCAAGCGCGCTAAAACAATATTCGTCCCTTCCAGATCACGCTCTAGTAGTGCAAACTTTGCAACGTCATCGGGTGCTCGTCCTTCTTTCGTGCTGATCTCCTTCATTCGCGCTTGGATGGCGCTGGCACTTTCCTTCGCGTTGCTCATCATGTCTTGCAAACCTTCGTCGCCGTAGCGGGCTCTCTGAGTCGCTTACATCAGTTCGTCGGGGTTGGTCGTATCCAGCTTTGCCAAGTGAGACCTCCAAGCGGCGAACTCCGGGGTGGAAAACGCGTTGCCCTCGAGCTTTTCGAGCTTGAGGAGCTTGAACACGTCGTCAGCTGAGTGTTTTTCCTGCTGCCAGAACTTAAGCAGCACGTCGTCCAACCTTTCAGCCAACACCTTTGTATCCTGGACGCGCACTGCAGGAACAAGTATCTGGGCCAAGCCGCCGTCTCCATAGCGCGCTCTCAGTTTGGTGACAAGGATCTCCTATGGGTTTTCTTTCATGAAATGGGCGTAACTCACCCACGTCTGCAACGCCGCTTTCTCCAGTAGTGTGCCTTGTGCTTCGTCCAGCTTTAGCAGCTTGAAGACGTCATCCGCAGATTGTCCCTTGGTTCGCCACGTCAACAAATCCTCGCCCGCCAGTACACCAGCAATTCTCTTCGCCTCGGGTGTCCCCTTCTGCTGTGCTGCTGCGATCATGTTGGCCACAGCTTCGTCGCCATACCGAGCTGTTAGCGTCAAGAGCATGGCAGCCGCGGATGAATCGGCCTTGGTTGCATACTTCTTCGAGACTGCTTTGCTCCGCGAAGGAGCTCGTACTTATCGCTCCGGCGGAGCGTGTCAGCAATCTTCGTGATGAACTCGTATGCTCTCTCATCGGCATTGCCGCCGACGTCATCCGCAGCCAATTGATCGGCTCTTAGGTGCCGCGTTCCTTGATCATTTCCATCCGACACAAGGCGAAGGTGCAATCTAGCCGCCGAGCTTGCAGCCGCAAATATGCCATTCTCGCAGGCAAATAGAGCGACGACGAAGACCAGTATCGCGCAACATTTCCGAGGCACTGGGCAGGTGTTGGGAGCCATTCGGGGCTGAAGGTTTCCGAGGAAACAATCGAAATGACAAAGCGGAACCACCACTGCCACTGTATGGATATGTTGTCGCAGGATCGGGATCGTAACTCTCGTAATATTACGTCCGAATCTATCAGAGCTCGTAATCTTGCTGAGAACACACCTGGGTAACGAATAGTGTACCCGATCATAAGGAATACAAGCGATCGTCTAATACAACGCCCCAGCTTTCCCATTGTTGATCACGTTGCCCTTGTCAACATTAGTGAAATCGAGCTGATACAAACCCACCGCACTTGGGAAAGTGCTCGTTGTCAACTCCAATCAATTCAGATTTCTACTATCCGAGACTCGAGCATTGTAGAACATTCGCTTGGCCTGTTATTGCCCATGGCTGCGGCCCGCATCGCCCGTGAGCTCGCCGCGGTCGACTTGACCTGTGAGCGAGAGTCGCGTATCATTCCCGTCTGCGCGGCAACCAAGGATGAATGGAGACTGTACCTGGAGAGTGTGAACTTCACGCACTACGAGTGGACCAACGGCACAGTCTACACGTGCGGTCTTCGCGTAAAGAAGACGAGCAACTTGCTTATGAAATCAGGTACTCTTTGCGGAGCCTACCTGGATTCCGGGCGTACATGAACAGCTTCAGCTTTCAGACCACCACGAACCAGCCTGAGCTTCCCGACTACGAGCCTGACGCTCACTTTGGTCCTCAGGTGACAACAGGAGCTCTCTGTCCGCCTGGAGTCAAATCTTATGCGTCTTGGTTCACGCTCGTAGTGGAAGTTGGGCTATCTCGAGGCTGGGGGCACGACAAGGGGTTGCTCGACTGGAAGGCTCGGCACTGGGCCAGGATCCCAGAGTGCGGTTCGTCCTGTGCCTAGCGATCACTGAGCGCTTGAAGTGGGTGGAGTACAAGCTGCACACGGTGGAGCGAGACCCTTTGACGGACCGAGCGCGTGGATTACCCGCTATCGACCCTGTACCTGTGATTGGGCCTCACACTATCGTGTCGTTTGACTCGCGCGAGCTGCTGGGCCTGCCGCCTGGAGCTGCGATTCCCCAACAGTTCCCGGATCCGACCATTGACATCGACCTCTTTGAGGTTCCTGAACGTGTCCGTTGAAAGTTTTTTTTTTCGTGCGACTGCAGCAAGATGAAACAGGAAGAATTTATGACAAAGACAAGAAGGAAAACCCAACGTAATGAAATCCACACTCCTTTGCCTTTTCAAAGCAACAGGCATACATACAGGAAATCTCATTCCTTGTTGCAATAGAGGTAATGCAAGATCCACACTTAAGTTGTAGATAACCCCCCTCTTTCTCTGCTCCACACCCGGAGATTCGCATCCTACTACCGGAGTCTTCAACACCACTACGGAGAAAGTGATCGACTTCGCGGTTCCGGAAATCCGCGGACTTCAAAATCTCCTTTGTAGTGTCCATAAAGTGCCTTTTGGTTCTCACACCTCCAGCCCGGCACTAGTTGTAGACGGCCCTCGCCACGTCGATGCCAGTCTCACCTGCAGTTTCGGCTGCTCTGCGCAGGATTTCTTCCGTACAAGACTTCGGAACTCAATAGGTCGATCACAGCGACGTTGCCAACTTGCAGCGAGTCTTTGATCCTATCTGGCAGAACCAGCTTGAAGTTGTTTGTATTCATGTTCTTCTTCTTCCGACTTGAGTCTTTCGCCTCCTACTCGTTGAAACTACCAGCTTGAGTCTCCTCCTCGTTGTCAGAAGCAAATGCGCTTGCGCTTGATGTCGAAAAGCACGCTTGTGCCAGCTGATTCCATTCCACTACCTCGGGTTCCAGGTTAATCTTGACATTGCTTGGAATGTGTTCGTCGACTTCGGATGCTTTCAGCTTTGGGCACTGGCACACATCGACATCAGGGACTTGAGGTCACGGAGCAGCGCGGGTCGGAAAAAATAATACAAAAACAATTATTACGGTATTGCTCCACTAAAATAAGTGATTATTGGGAATCACGTGTATTGCAATGCTTATTATTGAGCTCTGTGAGCTTCAATATTGTCGGTATTTTATCTACTTATGAATGTCAAGATAAATGCAAGCTCAATACAATAATTCCTGTATTGTCCCATTAAAACAAGGGTGCGTTGCGTTAGGCTGGGAGGACTGCGTAAAACAACATAAAGTACGTTAAACATAAAGTACGTTATGTAACTACTTCGTAGGTATCCGTGGTTCGCTCGGTTGTACCAACTTGATCACGGATTGCCTTCCTTACAGGAAGACTTTGACGGCTTGTAAACGGTCGGATGCGAAGCAAGCGCAGGAAAAAAAACCTTTAAATTTATATATCCCCTCTTTGGTTACTTTATTAATGTTTTTCGACTAACTGAGTGGTAGGAGTGCTTTGGCGATCCACTACAAAACAATGCCACATTCAAAGTTTGGAATCCAATTTGCAATCAATTCATGTAAGCTTAGTTTCAGTACAAAACATAATACGTATTATATTATTTGCTTCCATGCTGCAAATGATAGGCTTCACCCCTCATTTGCGACGCTGAACGACATTTTTTTATTTTGAAGTAATATGGAGCCAGCTATCTAATGTCTGCAAGGCTGTCTGGCATCCTATCGGTACGGATTTAGTTTTTGTAGGTCTAGCAAGCAAGACGTCCTTGTCGTGTAGGAACACGCACTAAGTTATATAATAGCACACTTTCCCCACCAACAACACCCACCAAGTCCCGATGACTCAATGGGCTTGTTAGGGTTAGAACCTGAAGGCCCAGGAACTTTCCCTTGCACCGGGTTGATGTTTCCTCTGTGCACCGTGTTTCCGCTTAGTCAACTGACGGAAACCCAGCGTCACCAGCCACGAGCAAAGGCTGACACGCTCTCACACACAATACAAACCTCGCAGGCCCTCAGGAAGGAAGGGTCCCAGCCAGTCACGGCTTGATACGAGGGTGCCGGAGCTATACTCCGACGGGAAGGATAAATGGAGTGCGCTCTCGCTCCTCCACTACACGGCGATGACTCGTCCTTCGTATACACGGCCACTTCTTCACTACTCTTGGCCTGACCACGGGTAAACGCACGCTACGATACTAGCAGGCGCGTCCACCGACAGTCATAATCCTACCAACAGGTTTATCCAATTGCTACGGGAACTCACCGATAGCCCGGACGTCTTCCTTGAGTGGTTGGGAGGAAAAGCTGTCCTGTTCTTGTTGCCCAAAGGGCTTATCTGTTCTATCTTCTCTTTCCTATGGTTCAATACAAATATCTAGTATAAACGCGTCCGTTTTGAATCTTCCCAAGTAACCACCGTCCCTTCAGAGCCTCCTCGACGCCCCACGAGGCCTCTCGATGACTCTATTGGGCGATGAAGACTTGGAGCAGTCGCCGGGGCTCGAACGGTCGTCTTAAGTGCGGATCTCGGGTCAAAGTTCGCTGTAAGTTCGGATCGTACTTGAAGTCCTGGGTCTCGAACTTGGGTGTCGACGAGTCTTCGGCACCAGTCCAGAATGGCCAATCAGCATCCGACGAACATTGCTGAACATGTCCCGACGACTCGGGTCGCCACTGAAGCTTGGTCGTCAGCTCGATTCTCGCTTACCGCCAAATCACTACACCACATCCTCGTGTTATTAGAAACTATAGGGTAGTTGTGGTGGTTAAGTGGCCTTCTATTTGAGCTTAATTCACTGACCGATAGAAGCCTTGCATCTAGTAAGACGTGCCTGTATGTCGACCGTCTTTGAGTGTTTTTGTTGCTTTTGCAGCTGGGGTGTGGAATCTGCAATCGTTTTCCTTGTTATAGAGTTGGGGATCAAAGCTCCTCCGGTCCTGTGGGTATCGTAGATGAGTGTAGTGCTTGTTTTTGCCATCAACTTAGACGATCGGTGAAACTATAGGGTAGTTGTAGGCTGAATGAACAACATATACTTGTACATGTATTCTTCATTTCATTATGAACCTGTGTGGTGTGCTGTGATGTACGTTTGCGTAAGTATGGTGTACTTTTGTGGCGTCTGATGTGCCTTTGTGTACGTATGGTGTGGTAATATGTCGTTTAAATGTTACCTGAGGTACAAGCAACTTTTTTCGACGAATTAATCTGTGTGAGGCTGTCCATACAGCTCTTCTAGCTGTCCTCCCAGGATAATTGATTATTGGTGGGAGTCGTATTGCAATGATTATTACGGAAGAAGGAAACCTGCAATACAATTTTATATTTTATTGTCCGACCTCTGTGTGAAAGTAACAACTTCCGAGACGGTCACACTAGGCGCCACTGCCAATTGCAGTCTGCCACAACAACGTCAGAGCTGCAAAGGCTGCAAAGAGAGCGTCGTCGACAGAATCGTCCGTTCAGCTCCCCAATTCCAGTGACCAGCTTCCACTCACGAGCGAATCGAACTCTTGCGCGTCCACCGAGATTCTGCTGCTCGCGCCAGCATCGAGAATTAATACAAACCCACCACTCCTGGGAACAGGGGCGGACCCAGAACCAAAATCTGAGGGGGGCCGGGCCAAAAACAGGGGGGTAAGTCTATATGCTCAAAAATAGTCGATCAGACAGCTCAGAAATAGGGGGGGGTAAGTGTGATGTCTTCCCAAAATCTGGGGGGGGGGGAGGGCGGTGCCCCCCTAGTTTGCATGTAGGTCCGCCCCTGCCTGGGAAAGTGCTCGCTGTCAACTCCAATCAATTCAGATTTCTGCTATCCGAGACTCGAGCATTGTAGAACATTCCCTTGGCCTGTTATTGCCCATGGCTGCGGCCCGCATCACCCGTGAGCTCGCCGCTGGTGAACTTCACGCACTACGAGTGGACCAACGGCACAGTCTACACCGTGCGGTCTTCGCGTAAAGAAGACGAGCGCTTCGCCTGGGAATTCAAGCTCTCTTTATGGAGGCAACCTGCATTTGAGGCGTACTTGGACAGCTTTGGTTTACCGAGCCAGTCTGGCCGTCCCGACTACGAACCCGACGCTCGCTTCGGTCCATGGGTGACGACGGGTGCTCTCTGTCCACCTGGCGCTCAAAGCTACGCATCTTGGTCCACGCTCATACTGGAAGTTGGGCTATCTCGAGGCTGGGGGCACGACAAGGGGTTGCTCGACTGGAAGGCTCGGCACTGGGCCAGGATGCCAGGAGTGCGGTTCATCCTGTGCGTCGCGGTCACGGAGCGCTTCACGAGCATCGAGTGCAAGCTGCATACGGTGGAGCGAGACCCTATAACGAACCGAGCGCGTCGACTTCCCGATCTCAACCCTGTACCTGTGGTTGAGCCCCATACAATGCTGTCGTTCGACTCGCGCGAGCTGCTGGGTCTACCCGCTGGAGCTGACATCCCCCCAATTGAAGGCCAGCAGTTCCCGGATCCGACCATTGACGTTGATCTCTACAAGATTCTTGAACGTCTCCGTAGGTAGACTACTGTTCGTGTACCTGCAACAAGATGGAACCTCGGAGTCAAGTTCACAGGAGAATTTTATCACAAAGGCGAGAAAGAAAAATGAAGGCAAACCAAACGTAATGCAATCATCATTCCTTCACCTCATTCATTGCAAGACCCACGTTCAAACAATTTAGCAGTTATAGATACTCTCCTCTTCTGCGTATGCAGAGATTCAGCATTCCACCACACGGCCGGGGTCTTCATGCACGTGTGGCTCGACAATACGACGGAGAAATTGCTCGACTTCGGAGTTCCGGAAGGCTGCCGACTCCAGAAGCTGCTTCGTCGTGTCCATAAAGTGCATTTCGCTTCTCCGATCTCCGGCCCGACACGAGTTGTAGACGGCCCTCACCACATCGATTCCTGCGTCATCTGCAGTTTCGGTTGCTTGGCGTAGAGCAGCTTCCGTGCGGTACCAGACTTCGGTGCTCAAAAGGTCGATCACAGCAAAGTTGCCCACTTGCAGCGAGTCCTTGACTAGATCGTACATGACCTTCCCCGTCTTTGGATCTCCTACCAGCCAGTGCACTGTGTCGCACTGGCCTGCTGCTGCTGCCTTCGCCAAGGCGTTAGTCGACTTCAGTATCCAGTCCCTCCCATATACCGACCGGGTCGAAGCTGTAGCAGTCCGGGTCTCCATCACGGCCAAGGAACTGCAAGAGGTCGGTATGACCATTTTCCGCCGCAGCTTCACACGCCACAACGAAAGCCGAACCCCCGCTGATGTACTCGTAATTGTCGTCGTCCAAGAACACGTAAGCCGCGTTAGATTGCCCACTGGCCGCTGCCTTCTTCACCGCTAGGTCGAAGTTCAACTCGTAGTACATCGGCTTGAGAAACTTCAGTACTTTCACGACGTCCCGAGACGCCGCCTCCGCCGCAGCCACCTTGATCTCATATCCGCTGCAACCATTGTGCAGCAGCTTCACGACGTCAAGCTGTCCGTATTGCGCTGCCTTAACGAGTCTGCTGGTTTGAACCATTTTTCCTTTCTCATCCAGAAGTTTGAGCATTGTAGCGCTCAACCCCTTTCCGTCTATGGGGAGGAATTCCAAGTCTGCGTTCCAGTCGGAGGCGTTGTCCATTAACCACTCCACAAGTTCGCACTGCCAACTGAACACCGCATAGGGCAGGTACTTGTTCGTGCTCCAGTCTGCGTGGTTCCTGCTCAGCCACTTCTCCAGCTCCAAGTGACCCCCTTTAGACGCCAACTCCATCGACGCGGGCAAGCAATAGCAGGTCGAAGGCTCCAAAGAAGTCTCCGATGGAATCCCACAAGTCCGATACAGCCTGCGCGATGGCATCCGACGCTCCGAGGAATTTGCTGATAGTGGCAGCGATACGTGCCCGTCTGGGGACAAGGAGCGCCCCCACGCTCCGCAACAGACTGCGTATCGTGGCTTCATCCTCGCGTTGCCCCGATTCTAGGGTATTCCGCTTGATAGCAGCGCGACTGAGAAACCCAACAATCACTTGGTAATGGTTGTCATCGCTGGTCCTAATGCTCAGGGCGGTGTTTAGAGAAGAGGACTCATCGATTTCATCCTGCTCCGACATCTCTCGCAGGTGCCGAGTCACAACGCTGACCCGTAGCTGAGCCAGGTCTTCCTCCAGTTCATCAGTATTATCTGGCAGAACCAGCTTAAAGTTGTTCGTATTCACGATCTTCTTCTTCCAGATCAAGGACTTGAGGTCACGGACCAGCGCGTCCGCATGCATGCGAACTCTGAATGTTCTCCGAGACGGTCACACTAGGCGCCACTGCCACAACTTGGACATCGTCAGAGTTCTCGCCAGCTTCAGCAAGAGCGTTGTCGAGAGAATTCTCCGCGTTCAGCTCCACCATTCCAGTGGCCCAGCCTCCACTCACGAAATCCTCCAGTGGGGAAGCGTCTGCAGCGAACAACTTGATGTCGTCGATGCTGGTGTCCTGGGACTCCAGCAGACTCTCCTGGATCAGTTGCTTTAATTCGCCCACGAGGACCCCCTCCTGCACGTCCACAGAGACTCTGCTGCTCGCGCCAGCATCGACCACAACGCAAGAAATCGAGCGCATCGCGCGTTCGTTCCCAGAACTTGAGAATTGATACACTCTTGAGCTGGTTGGGAAGGAGCTTGTTGTCAATTCCAATCAATTTCGCCTCAACTTGCTGATGAAAACAACATTTCACATGTAGTAACTCCGGCAGAGCTGCTTCGAGCTACCCACTGGGATGGCCAGCAACGTGAATCATCCCCCTTCTGCTGCTTAACCAACTGCTCCAGCAAGAGCAGTCATGATCTCTCGACGTCAGGCTCATGATGCATGACGCACTGCTTGACTCATCCGATCACGCATCGTGAAATATTGGCGGCGGGAGCGTAGCGGTCCCCCCGCCTGACTCAGGAGACCAGCACACGCGGGGCGACTTCTGCTTGGGCAAACGCCGGGGGCCGAGGTCTGGTCGAGTGGAGATCAAGTCGAGCGACGTGGCTGCGCTCCACCCTGCCAGGTTCGAATGCGGCCACAGGACCAGAGAGAGCGTACGACGGGATGTCGAATACAAGTCACCGCGTCGTCGCGTTTACCGCCAGCGAGGGCTGCCGCAAGTGTCGATCCATCTTGGGCCGCTCTTCTCGCGCCCTCGCTCCAATCCCTGCAGGACATCCAGCCACCGCCTCAACGCACACTCAACGAGCGCACAGCCTGATCATAGCTCATCAAGGTGTCACCCCGAAGCAGCACGAGCGTCTTGCGTCCGCGGCGATGACCCTGGCTGCTCGGTGTCGATAGCCACCCGATACGCAAATGCGACGCCGCACCCCTCCACCGAGAAGGAGGTCTAACCTGGCGAGCAGGAAGAAATCTGCAGGAACGTAGCCGACATCCTAGTGCCATCGCTCCGGGCAGCTCTTCGAACGATGCGAAGACAGCTTCAACCTCGTGAATGAGCGGCTCACGATGAATACCATCCCAACAGGACTCGGGCCGACCAAGCAGCGAAGTGGCGGAGGCCTCACCGAAAGCACAGCTTCAAGCTTCCCACGGCCGGAATCATGTTGGCCTCGAGGGTAAAGCAGGCGCCTGGCCGCGGGAACGTGGCGGTCCACCGTGTACACTGCCAAAAGGCCGACGGCGGCCACCAAGCCTCGGCCCTCGCTGTACAGTATCTGCAGCTGCAGGGAGTGCCGTTGCCGTGCAGAGATGGCGGCCCACCGTCCAATCCGCCCGATTCGATGAGCCACTCGGACCTCGGCCTCGGACCTTGTCAAGGTCCGAGGTCACCTTGAGGCTCATGGCGCTCAGGCGCTCAAGTTGATCGTTTAACAGCCTCGCCTCGATTCCATGCTGAGCAGATCAAAAGTGTCGCGCCGTGTCGCCGAGCCAAATCCAGTGGTGAATGAGAAGCCGATCGCCCCGATGCTGGGGCGGCCGTGCTCTTCTCGGCGGCGATGACTCTACACGATAAAAAAGATTATTGTCGAGACCGCTGGATTGATGGCCTTGCAGCAGCGGTAAATCGAAAGGCTCATGTCGAAAGCCGCTTGACTCATGGGCCATGAGTTTTGCGCGCCCACGGGCAACGGGAATGCGGAGCCCGAGGCCTGCATTGCGGAGACCGTGCGAGCTGTACATGTACTGTTATGCAGTGTCGATGTCCGCTGCAGGCAGCGGCAGCGCAATTGATGCAATTGACGCCGCCGTCGATTACGATGGCCAGCTGAAGGCGCCGGCGTAGACTTGGCTCGAGTCCGATGCGGCGGCGGCGCCTCCACCCTTCAAGGCAGGCGTTAACTCGGCGCCCAGGGCCGACATAATGGAAAAGGCAACAAGATTTGCCACGGCGAAATGCCTCGCAGCGCACCGACCCCGCGGAAAAGCACAAGCACCGCGCAATGCAATGCGAGCCACGGCCATCGATGGCGACGGCACCCCAAGCAGACCCGTTGCAACCACTTTGCACAGACCCGCTTCGAAACGAACCATTCACTGGCGATCCACAGCGCGCCTTGATTTCACAGCGCCGAGGCTGTTAACGGGCAAAGTGCGACCAGCGCTCTCGCGCGCATGTTCGGTCGGGGCTTCAGAGACCTGCTCGCGCATGGGTCGTGCGGCCATTGCGATGCCTGGCAAAACTCCGCTTAGACGTTGCGAGCCAACGAGTGGCCAGGCAAGCGGGAGCGCCGATACAAAGGGTCCTACTTTTGGGGCACCTGGTCTTACTCTCGCGGGCGCCGCGTCTCTGTGCTTGAAGTTCGGCTTCAACCAGAATTTCTTGAAGCGACTGTCTGGCACTACCGACTAGCGCTACCGACTCGCTTCCGCTAATCGCAAAACATCCGGGTCGGTCGCAGTAGCGAAAATGGCGATTCTATTTTTGATGACCCAGCCGGACATTCGTGATGGCGCCCGCGACTGTTTTGCAGGCAAGTGGCAAGTCTGCGGAAGGCGGCGGCAAAGCAGCGTTTCTGCGATGGAAACCCAAGCAACCCAGGTCCGCAACGTCCGGTCCAACGCCCTTCTGGAGACCGAGCGCGCCAGTTTTTTTCGAACAAGTGTGTTCGGCGTACCGTAGGGGGCGTCTCGACAAAGGAGACGGGCTCGGTCTGGGAAGGGGCGCGTCTGAAGATCCACGCGCTGGCTCGCGACATCGCATTGGCGAGGCCGGCGGCCTCGAGGTCTCCGATGCTGTTCTGGCGGAGGCTGGCCAGCTCCACGCCGCCAGGCTGGGGCTTTTCAGCGTCGGCGGCGCCGTCGGCCCGCGGAGAGACGCGGCGCGCCAAGTCACGCGCGAGTCAACGCCGCCCAGAAAACGGCAACGGGATCAAGCCGCGCCAGCTGCCGGCGGTAAAATGGCCGGACTTTTGCACCGGAGGCCGGCCAAGTCGATGACGCATGCCTGGTGTGGCGCACACCGCAAATCTTTCAAAGAAACGTTGCCGGAAACCCCTCACGCTCACTTGCCAACGTGCCGTGCAGAGCTCACCGCTCAGTCACAGACAGACACACAGAGCTACGGTGTAGCTAGCCAGCCAGCCAGCCAGCCCTCTCAGCGTAACAGCTCAGTCTCAGCCAGCCAGCCAGCCATGCAGCCGCACACGCTCAAGCGCACCATCTCCAAGTGCTCCATGAACAGGGACGACAACGACGACGCGCTGGCCTGCAAGAAGTTCTCCTCGGGGCTGGACAACGAGCCCGTGCTGCTGCCGCGGCGCGAGCACCGCGCGCAGAGCTTCCCGCCGCTGGACGAGGCCGAGCCCGAGGGCGAGCTGTCCCCGCTGCTGCTGTGGGGCGGCGACTCGCCCGCCAAGACGCGCTCCTCCTTCGCGGCCGTGGCGCCCGTGCTGCCACCGCAGGACAGCAGCACGGACGAGATCTCGGCCGCGCGCATGGTGGCCGTGGTGCTGGACTACCTGCGCGACGTGGCGCACTACTGCAACCGCGCGGTGCACCTGAGCTTCGCGCAGCTGCGGCAGATGCTGGCCTCGCTCCCCTTCGCCGTGGGGCAGATGCAGAGCGTGGCCAAGGCGCGGCTCGCGCTGTCGTGGCCCCTGTCCGCCGCCTTCGTGCAGAACGTGACTGAGTTCATCAGCGACGAGGACATCCGCGACGCGTCCGTGGGGGAGCTGGCCGCCTTCCTGCAGTCGTGGCAGGTTGCGTCGGGCGGCGGCGCCAGCAACATCTGCGCCAACCTGTTCGAGTTCTTCCGCGAGGCGCTGGGCCAGTTCAAGGCCTACCTGACTAAGCGCTGGCTGCAGAGCGGCCGCATCAGCTTCCCGTGCGAGTTCGGCAAGAAGTCGGACTCGCTCTTCCTCTGCATGGAGTGCCATCGCGAGCACATGTGAGAGAGAGAGAGAGAGAGAGAGAGAGAGCAACATTATATAAGCGGCGACTCCCCCTGCAGGGTCGACGGAAAGCTGCGGGGCAGGGACAAAGACACACAAGACAAGAAGACACACAGAGGAGCGAGGGGAGCAGACGATAGACCGTAAAGAGGCCAAGCAGTGCGCTGTCTCGCGCGGCTGAGTTCCTTCCTTCCTCTCAAGACCCACCCGGTGGACTATACAGGGCTGGAGTATCCAACAGAATCATGTACAGAACGAACTCAAGAGAGAAACAGAAGAGCGCGCTGATGGAGTGGAGTGCGGTGTAGTTAACGAACGGGGAGGAGCTGTAGGAGCTTGGGCTAGGTAGGGAGTGTCCTGGACTTGGGACACCTTTTGGTAATATCATAACATAATTTATTCAACACTCAAGAGCTCGAGCTGCAGCTGCAGGTGCTTCGAAGGTGAGATGTCGCGGCGCGCGGCTCGGATCAAGGCCATGGCCAGCTCCAGCGGCAGCCGGTACCGAGTCATGAGCAGCGCGGCGCACAGCGCGATGGACGCGGAGAGGCCGCTAGCGCAGTACAGCAGCACGCCGCCGTCCCCCGGTCTGCGCGGGCCGTTGGCTCGAGAGTTGGAGCCCATGAAGCTGCTGAGTGTGGACGCGATACTCGCCATCGCCTTGCAGGACGGGGCCGACAGCGTCTTGAGTTGCTCCAGGCCGTCGCTGCTGGCCAGAGCGTCCTCGAACTGCTGTCGCGGCAGGTCGAAGAGCTCCACGACGTGGCCGCCGTCTTCGTTGGGGGTCATCCGCGTCTCCTGCTGCGTCGTGGTGCAGTACACGAGGTGTCGGATGTCCCTCTCGTCCAGCAGCTCCGAGAACTTGAGCGTGTCCGTGGACCCGATCCAGATTCCGGGCGCCACGAGCTGCAGATCGTTCAAGATGCCGACGCGCGCGTCCTGCGGCGCAACGCGCGCCCAGTTCTCGTCGCTCACGTCCTGCTGCTCTTCAGACCCGACGCAGTCCTGCCACGCCAAGCGGAGACTTGCACGCGCGCGGGCCGTGACGTCGTCGAGCGTGACGCCGTTGACAACCAGTTGGTGGAAACCCTCCAGCTCCTCGCGGAAGATCCGGCGCCTCCAGCCCACGACGTCGTCCTCGTCCTCATCGTCTTCGCCTTCTGCCGGCAGCATCAGCGCCAGCTCGCAGTACGCCATGCAGAAGCGCAGGTTGAGCATCCGCGCGTCCGCCGCCGCCTCATCGTCCAGCGTCCGCTCCATGGCGCCGCAATCTTTGGCCGTGACCGCTGGCTTACGGGCCCATGCCAATCATTCATGTGCTTCAACTTCAAGAGTATCCGCGATTCGTTTGCGCTATTGCAGATACTGCGGGATGGTCGTGCCGGTGCTGATGACATACGCTCGGTACTCGCGGCCGATGTAGGACTGCGGAATGCCCGCCACTTGAAGGTCAAGCGGCCCCGGTGCAGACGGCGGCGCCGCGCTGCTGCGCGAGCTCGCGGACGGGATCCGGCTGCCGGCCACGCTGCTGTTTGCGTGCGCGTGAGTCAGGTGGGACCCGCGCAGCGCCTGGAGCGCGGGCTTGGCCACGGACAGCAAATTGCTCTCGTTGGTGCAAGGACTCAGCGCGGCGGGCGGCAGCGGCGGCTTGTGCTGGCGCTGCAGAGGCGGCGTGCCCGCGCCGTGACAATGCGGTTCGACCTCTGCGTCGGTAGCGGGGACTGCAGACGCTGGGAGCTTGTCGACGATGGTGTGCTGCTCCAGTTGGTGCAGATTCCACCATTGAGACTGAGGGACGTACCAAGCTCCGTAGTGAGCTTTGGAGGGCGAAGCAGGAGGTGCTGTGTTGCTACCGGTACTCGATGATGCAGCTACGGGCACGCGCAAGTTGTGTCGTCGTCGACGTCTTGGAGACAACTTGGAGGGGACGGGCTTGGTGCTGGAGGTTGCCGCTGGATCAGTTGAGGTCGACAGGTTGGTGCGGCTGCGGTGGTGGTTGTCGCCTACGCTGGACGACGCCAGGAGCTGGCGCGCGGTGTGTGAGCGTCGACCCAGCACAATGTGAGCAGACCTCATGCGTCGAGGAGGGGCCGGAGCCATTGTCAGTAGACGCTCCGGAACGTCCGCAGCGGACCTGGCGCCGGTTGTCTGCTGCCAGAAGATGCGCGGGTCGTCGTCCTCATGGTTGAACTGCTGGACTTTGCGTCGCTGACGCCGCTTCTTGTCCAGCGCTGCATCGCCGCCCGAGCTCTCGTCGTCGTCGTCGTCGTCGTCGTCATCGGCATCATCGGGATACCCGTCGTGGTCGCCTAGCGACCACAGCGCGCTGAACTTGCGCTGCTTGGCGTGTATTCGATTGCATGGCGAGTTGGACTCGCTCTTGAGCGCGGTCTCGAGGATTGAAGGTTTGTGTGCTCGGGCGCGTTGCGGGTTTCGAGGGGAGGAGGCTTTGTCGTCGTTGGGCTGTCCCAGTCGTGAATACGTCGGCTCAACTGCTAGATACTCCATGTCGGCCAGGATCCGATCGAGCATTGCTTGTCGTTGGGTCTCCCCCATGAGATCGTTCAAGGTTCGGCTCGCACACGGACTCCCGGGGATGTTCCTCTGTTGCGCTGATGACGGTGTAGCAGTCGCGCTGGTCGAGTCCTCTGCTTCTACTGCATCTTGTACTTCGAACATGTGAATCAAGCGAGAAGGAGAGTCACGCGTCGGCGCTGGATCGAGGAGCTTCCTGGGTGAACGGGCTGAGTGAGTCTGCGGACTTATTGGATCGACGAGCAGTGTCTTTCGTTGAGGAGATCCGAATTGCGGAGGCTTGGGGTTCTTGTGCTGTAGGAAGCGCCATTGCACTTCGAGACAGTTGGCGGTCGGTGGTGGAATGTCCCGACTTCTGCGAGTCAATGGGCTTTCGCGGTGTCGGGGCGACAAAGCGTCCGAGTTCATGGAGCCTTGTTACTCCGCCTGATGACAAGTGCAGCAAATGGAGGACAAGGAGCTCACGTATTTTTCCCCCTAAAATTAGCGGGTTTGTTGAGGAAGGTGACGGTGTTTATAGCTTATTGTTCGACTACTCCATTCCTGTAACTTGTCAACTCGACGCGTAAGCGATGGAGGCGCTGCTACATGATGACCTTCTCGGGTCTGATGACGACAATCCCGCTCTGAGCAGCGGCGAATTCAACTTTGAAGCGCACAATTTCACTCAAGAAGATGCTGAGCTAGCGGGTCTTGGCACGAATCATGATGATGAAGTCTTTGCACACGCCATTCCAAGTACGGCTCCTCTTATTGAGCTTCCTGCGCGCAAAGTGCACTCCGCAGCGCCAAGTTCGAGTGGATTTAACGGCGAGAGTATCTATGAAGACATCCCACGGCCGTATACGTCTGCTGGTCTCGACTCGTCCCCACCCAGCAGACGGCAACGCAAGAAGAAGTCCTCCGCTCTGCCTAAGAAGTCTGCGCGTAGCAACGATCCTCTACCACGTGAAGTCCGGCCGCGTTCAGCTGATGTGAACGAGTGGGGGGACTTTGACACGGATCGGCTACTGCGAGACGAGTCGGCTTTAGCACTAGACGATCGCTCAAACCAACACTCGTTGGATCCTTTAGACGAACAGCGGTCCAAGTCCAGAAGAAGTCGTCGCTCCACTCCTGCGATGGCATCTTCATCTCCTCGACCGAATCCATGGGATGGCTACCTGTACCTCAATAACGAGGGCAAGGAGGCTTCCAAGCCGGTCATGCAAGTGCTGCGTCAGAAACCAATCGAGATATTGAACCTCGACCTCGTGGCGCAAGCAAACCACTCAACGGCCAGGACAACCTCGACGCCGAAGCCGTTGCTTGGCCGGGCTACGTTAGAGCGGTTGATGTCCACTCGATCGCGGCCGACGACAAGTTACGCCTCCCGACCGGCGACACCCACGCCGCTGTTTGGTACCGAGATCCTGGACACGCCGAAGAACCGAGCGACCATCTTTGGACGGTTAGCTGCGCTTTGGTCGCTCATTGCGCATCGATCGTCGACTTCACCGGGCGATCAGCGCTTAGATTCTCCCGATACTGCGACTACCAGGTCTCCCTTTGAGTGCAGCATGGCTACGGTGAAGCTCTGCAAGACGGTCGGGATATCGTTGACCCCTTCGGCAGCCACCCACCTGTCGTTCTGGTACACCAGCGAGCACGGCGTCGACTTTGAGTCGTTCTGTGACGTTGTGGTCCAGGGCGCCATTCAGCCCGCTCTCCACCACTTCAACCTCGACAACTCGGTTGATGAATACGTGGCAGCACTCGACACCGTCATCCAAAGCCTCATGACGACGGAACCCGCTCGACGTCGCAAGAAGAAAGCAGCAGCATCAGAGTGTCCTCGGAGGCTGAAGGAGCTCAATGAGATCCAGCCAGTCTTCATGGGCTGGAGGGCAGGGATCACGCCTCGACTCGTGCAGCAGTCAGAGGATCCTGGCCCAACAACGCCGACTAGAGCTCTGATCACAGCCGAGAAGGTACGAAAGGCGTTGGAGGCTTCGGCGAGTCAGCACATGCTCGCGCGCCAACTCCCGTCAGAAGAAGCTCGTGTCACACACGTTGAGAATATCCGCCGCAAGGTCCAGCTCCACAAGTCGTGGAAGTTCATCAGCGACGGAAAGACCGTCGACGGAGGGTCCAGCCCCAGCGCTTTAGTGTCTCGTGGCAGTACATCGTCCTCCAGTCAGGACGAGTGGAGTAAATTCGCGGATCTCTCGGAGATGTTGGAGCGGGCACGCTCCGTTCTACCGACTAGCGCAGGCACTGCGTCTATCGTCGGTGTACAAGGAGACCACCCGGAGATTCAGGTAGAACATTCTACCCCTGAGGCAGAGCCCGAGAAAGATGCGACTCAGGAGAATGACGAGGTTCTCGTTTGCTGCTCGTGCTCCGTTCGAGGCGCTGTGCTGTGGTGCTCGTCATGCTTCACCGTCAACTGTCAGAAGTGTTGGCAAGAAACTCACGCGTGCACTGTTGACATGTCCATGGTATCGTCCGAGCCAGCCTCGACCAAGACGCCGCTGCTTGGGCCAACCGCGCTTGCGTTGAAGAAGAAACGATGCGGTAGCGCTACGTTGCGACCTCCCGTGGCCATGATCTATCTGCCAACGAAGGCGATAGTACCGGGGACAATTGCAAAGGGAAACTCAATCGTTCGACATCGACGGAAGAGCAGTCCCAACCAAGTCTCAACCTCCAATGCGTTGAAGGACGAGGTCCCGGCAGTCATCGCCAACGCCATTCTACCATCGCTACACAAGAATCGGGTGGGCGGGAAGCTACAACGGCAGCACGAGCGCCTGCAGGTTGAAAGCGCAACGCCGACGACGGATTCAACTGCAGACTTGGTGAAGTCGCTCATGCTGCGGATGTCGCCGTCCACGCCGACGACTGGAAGTCACTCGACCACTTCAACGGAGTCAGCGATGCGAGTGCACAAACATCACGCCTCAAGTCGCCCCAAACTTCCCCTAGTTCCGGTTTCTCTCGACGCGGAGTTGCTGCTGTCACATGAACCTGATCGACGGTGGTAAGCAGCGTACAACGATCAAATCTAATAGAATATATTACCCCTGGATGCCTCTCTACTGCAGGTCCTGGCCGTGGATCCAGAATGTGAGGTAGAACAAGTCTTTACCTTCAGGGACTGCTGTGATCTCGTTGAGAACTGTTTGGCTCCGGAAGACAACGAGGCGGTCAGGTTCTGGGACGATCTTCCGCACGGGAGCGCTCTCAGCTAGACTTGTCCGCAGGTTCAGTGTAGTTTGTTGGTGCTCTGCGTCCTGCGACTCGATGGCATTGACAAAGTAGACGCACGTCAACTTGAAGCCGTTGTCCTTGTCACCAGAGCCACAATCCAGCCGCAGAGGCTGGTGGTGTCCTCCTGGAAGCTGCTGGACCGCAGTACAATGCACGAACTGCGCGCACAGCTTGGCCTTCTCCGGTCGCTTCTTGTTGATCTCGTAGGGCAGCGCGTGCAGCTTCTCGATCAACTCGGCCAGCGCCGGATACTCCGCCGTGCAGTCTTTATGCTCGACAAAGCGGAGTTTCGCTCCCGGCACGGCCTCAGTCTGGTTCCCTGCATTTTGTCGACTCAATATGTGCTTGGCGTCGACATTCGGTGCTGTGGTCATGAGGTGGCCGTTCTTCGCCATCCGGAACACGTCGTTGAGCAGCAACTGGGTCCACTCGTCGCCCATGAACTCGTCCAAGACTGCCGCACCACGCACACCATCGCTCTGCTCCACCAAAAGTTCGTCCAAGAACTCGTCATCTAGCTGATCCCACGTGGCGTAGTCCGAGTTGGGGTCGGCCAGCAGCCGCGCATCGTTGGCCAGCTTGACGTGTTTCTGGTAGTTGACTCGGTGCACCATGGCCAGCACCTCCCGGCCAAAAGCCTCCTGCAGCACTTGGGGCATGAGCATCTGCTCCGTGGTCGGGTCCATGACGTCGCCCTGCTCCGCGCCTCTCTTCTTCACGTTGGCCAGCACGCTGGCCACCTTGGCCTGCACCTTGGGCATCACGGCCAGCAGCTCCTGCTCGTACCAGGGGTCCTCCAGCAGCCTCTGCAGGTTCTTGGGCGCGTGGGCCAGCTGCTCCTTGGGGATGCCCGGGTAGATGAGTCTCTGGAACTCGTCCTCCTTCAGCAGCTTAGCGAAGACGCCGTCGTCCAGCACGACGCTCTGGCCGTGGCTGTTAACTCCGCGTCGATTGCATCCGTCCAGCAGCTTCTTGAGCATCAGCTTCCAGGATCTTTGGGCGTCGTCCACGCCCTCCTTCTCCCGGTAGATCGAGGTCTTCGTTCTACCCTTCAGGAACCCCTTTTTGACTGCAGCGCGGCCTCTAATAGCGCGCAGCCTGGCGGCCGCCTTCCTGGCCTCGGGCGACGCCTCGTCCGGATCCAGCGCCAGCACCTGCTCGTAGGCGGCGAGGGCCTCGTCCCAGCGCTTCAGCGACTCGCAGGCCGCGGCCTTGCGGAGGTGCGCCTTGGGCCAGGCGGGGGCCAATTGGAGGGCGCTCTCCGCGTCCTGTAGAGCGGCCGAGAAGTCCCCGAGCTGGTGGTGGGTCGCCGATCTGTTGCCGTAGAGCAGGTGGTTGGTGTCTTGGAGGGCCAGAGCCTGCGTGTAGAGCGCCTTGGCCTCGTGGAACTGGCGCAGCTTGAACGCAGCGTTGCCCTTTTGACGTAGAGCTTCGGCTTGGGCAGAGGAGGAGGACGTGGAGGTGGAGGCGTCGAAGGAGCCGTCCGCGCCGAGCTCGACCACGAGATCCGACATGGTCGTGGCTAATTGAGTATCTTTTAATTGTATGCGTCTTAGGATATATGAGGGACGGTCATTTGCCAGCTGGTCAAGTTGAAGTGGACAGGATGGCTACACTTTGTGTGGGGCTGTGAAGCTTTGCTTTGGGCTGCAGCTATCTGCCCACACACGCGAACACAAGCTTGCTGACGCGGGCGAGCAGCTTGACTTTTCTTGTGGTGCCAGCAGCGCAGCGTGGTCAATGATGTTGACCATGCGCTCGGCGGGTACGAGCTCTGCGGTCGAGGTTCCACGTCCGACCCGCAAGCGTTTGAACCATACAAATAGCTATATATTAACCGACCGACCAACTCGAACGACCGGCGCTCTACATGTAACCAAGTCACAGCTGAATCAAGTGAGTCGTGAGTCGTGATCCGGGCAGACGCAGTGTCATAATATTGCCCCCACTTGACTTTGCTAGTTGCGCGGAGCCGGGCTGGCTTCCTCTGGCCATGCAACGTGCACGCGCCGCCAGCCACTCGAGCGCTGCTGAGTTGTCTGGACGCTCGCGACTCCAGCGTTCGACAAGCTAGCCATGGATGCATCATAATTGCCTGGCAACAACAACCGACGAAAGTTATGAGTGGAGACTCGAGGGCCGACCACGCCTAAGAACTCCAACGACAGCAGCGAATCTATGTGCAACCCAATAGCGACCGCATCCGTTTTAGGAAGAACATGCAGGACTATGGTACTGTGCGCCGGGCAGCTTCTCTCTCTACGCGATCGTGATGGTGCCGCTGCTGAGGTCGATCCGACATCCGTCCGTGAGCTGCACGACGTTCGCGAGCGAGCCGAGTACTCGCCGCAGCGTGTCCATCAGCTGCACGCTCACCATGAGGCTGCTCACGTAGCCCGTGCGGTCCACCACGAAGGTGTAGGTGGCCGCGACGGCGGTGGTGCCCGTCACGAGCGGCAGCACGAGCTCCGGATCCACTTGGCCCGTCTTGAGACTCGGGAAGAGCATGCCGATGGTCTGGCGATGGAAGCGCAGGTAGATCATCGCCTCGACCTCCACCATGACCGAGTGGCCGACGTCCTGCGCCTTCCAGACCTGCGGCTCGAGGATGTAGAGCGCAAAGTGCTGGTCGCAGAGCCGCCACTGCTGCACGAAGGCGTCGGCCCCGCGCAGGTCCACGCCCTCCACGTCCGTGGCCAGCACGGAGCGCAGGAAGCGCTCTTGCAGCGCGGCCAGCGACAGTGAGTAGCCGTTCTGGTACACGTGGAAGAACTGCATGACGACGCGCTTGGCGTGGTCCTGCAGCGACCCGACGGGGCACGGTTGCTGCTGCTGGCGGCGCTGCGCCTCGACGTTGGCCGCCGCCACCTTGCGGCGATGCAGGTCGCGGTACAGCCGCGCGATCTTGCTCTGCAGCGCCTGCACGTCGCGCTCGAGCGCGTGCAGCTTCTGCTCGCGCTTGGCGCGGTGCTTGCGCTGGTACAGTCGGTCCTGCAGCCGCTTCTTCAGTGCGCGCACGGCCCGCTTCTCGGCCACGTTGGTGGTGGCCTGCACTTGGGCGTTGGCTCTCGCCAGCGCGAACTGCAGCTCCTGGAAGCAGCAGTCGGCGGGTGCCACGAGTGCCATGTCGGACTTTTGAGTTTGGGTTCCGTTTCTTGACTGGAGAGTGGCGCGTTGCAGCGTTTTCGAGAATGAGAATCTCGCGGATGAGGTCGGTTGAGTGGATATACTGTAAATGACGAAAAACGGACTGCGTTAGCTAGCTCGACGCCTTCTCCTCAAGCTGGGACCACTACTACTATTGCTGCTGCTAGTGTTCTGCCGTGAAAGCCCCCGTTCCCACGCTGGGTGGCGCCGCCAGCCTGCCAATTTGGTGTCACCGGCCTCGGATAGTCGAGCGTAAGTTATCGTGTTTCTGCGGCGCGCTGGGGCGAGCTCGACAGCAACGAAGACTTGTAATGGAATCGCTTGAGGCTGTCAGTGTCGATACTGTAGCATTGAGATTGGGGCGGTTTAGCTGGGTAGCGCCACTAATGATGCATGTACAGAGCGCAGCTCGGCACATGAAGCGGAAGGCATGACGGTAGTTTACGGCCAGCGCTGCAGTTTTGGCCAGCAAGTGGTCCCACCTTGAAGTTGTAACGCTGGTTACTCGTGACGAACGAAGCGAAGGGGTGTCCGGAAAAAGTGGGCAGAGGTTGAGGCAGGGCGTGTCGGCGGGGACGAGGCTCCGCAGTGTGAGCACCACACGGTAAGGTTGCCTTCTAGGTGATCCCTTTAACATGGGATCACTTCCAAGAGAGCTAGCTCTGGCTATGCAATGCTAACGATCGCGCTTCGTGAGGTCCAGCTGCTGGGTCCCAGCTCTTTCCTGGCTCGGGATGACTCACTTTCTGCTTCGATAAGACCGTTAAGACCCAGGGCAACTCGCCGCCGTGGCGTGGTAGCGTTTGCTGGCCCGGGACCGGGCGAGAATCTCATCTCGAGGCCCCCGCGTAGTAGAATCGAGAGCTGCTCCTCGAGCGCAGCGTTTGTTACTACGCTGACAGCTCCCGCATCTTACTACGGCCCGTCCCCACTGCCAAGCACGAACCGACAAGAAAATTGTGGGAAGCTGCGCCATTTTTTCAGCGCTGAGCGGGGGATCTTGCAGGCTCGGGTACCATTGAACGGCAAGAGGGGGAGGCTGCGTCACTCACGGCTCGCGGGAGAAGGTGCTGATAGGGTACTACTCGCAAGGACCGTAGAAAGAAACGAGTTTCTTACTACGCAGCAAGGCGTATAATGCTACCAACGGAGGCGAGATCTGATGCTATGGAAGCATGCGCTGCTGCCGCAGATGACCCCCACGTAGCTGGCATTGCCAGGTCGAGAAGCTGCGCGATATCCGACTCACCTGCCCGATGCAAGCCTTTAGTACCCGTCGACAAGACGCCACGTCTTGGAATGAGCGCTGCTGCAGCTTCGGTGACTTCGCTCGAGATATCACGCCATTGCGCTGGTCCGACCGCAAACACGTTGGTCATAGTTCGTGATATAGTAACAGTAAAACATAGACCCCCCCCTCCAACATGCTTTCAGTCTGAAAACGCTATAGGCATTTACCAAGGGCGATACTTCCCGTGGGTTCTTTTGTAGTCCGGTGTGCATGTACCGCAAGGTCAAAATAACCACGAGTCTTTGCCACTGGCTTTGCAAACGATGTTTTTTTCAATTGAGTATCATTGTTGTCACTTAGCTATCCGCTAACGACTACTAAAGACCAGCCCCGCAGATGCCAAACCTCGTCATCTGAAGGGAGGGACCGATGTTTGGGAGCAGTGTGAGGGATAATTTGCTAGGCGTTCGTGTATTTGAGTTTACGAGTAGTGGTTTGTCGATTATTCTTAGCGCATCGACGACCAATCATGGTGCTTTGTACATCGGACTCAATTAGGCGAACATAAGTAGTTCTAAGCAACTTCCTCTCGGAACGTTTTCTGTTTCGCCGTAATTTTGCAGAACATGACGCACAAACCTTGGTCTGTCAGCCAACTACCTCACATCCATTTTTCGTTGCTCAAACATGAGCTTATTGCGTGAAACGACGATTCCGCTGTTTTCATAGTACTTATTTTGAAGTGTAAGCAACAGTGTCACCACCTCCGATCCGCAAAGGATAATCAAAACACGCCTGCTCGTAAACTCTAGGTACAATATTGTGCGCATCAACAAAATTCGTCGCTCTATTCACCTTTTCAAAGCATCAATCCAGTCGCTACACCTGTTCAATCCAACACAGCAAAGCACTTTCGCTAGGTATCAACCACTCCGGCCTCGTAGTGTCAGTACCGCGGCAACGGTCAGGATCCGTCAAGAAGCTGGTGAATGACCCTGAAATCGCAAAAATGACGAAGACGCTGGAGGAGCACCCCGTTCGATTTACCCAAAAGGACATTAAAACCATGGAAGCTGCTGTGGCCAAGGACCCGAAGAAATCGATTTGGCTCGTGAGCTTTGGCTTACCGCGAAGGGAGTTGGATTTGGGATTGGCTTCCTCGTCACGCTTGGAGTTCTCCTCGCAGCCGTCGCGTATCCCTTCCTTAGATTCGTTTGACTTGAGGAGGAGGAGCAAAAGAAGGTAGATAGGTTGTTAGTCTACATCATTGAGCCTCGTTGTGAAATGAAGCTGCTCAGTTCCCACTCATACTACGTATATTCATCGTTAAGATCGAAAATGAACTTCCAGCAACAAATATTGTAAAATTTTCAGCCTACAACTTCGCCAAAACACTACAACATTTGGTTCGACAGGGTGAAGCTTCACGTAGCGAGCAAACCCGCTCGTCACTTGGGCTTTCGTAGACCGTGTTAAATGTATGACATCTAGACTTCACAGTTCAAACCTTGAAACTCAAAAGCACCGATAAGACCGATTCGACATGAGGGCAACCCGCCGCCGTGGCGTTGTAGCGTTTGCTGGGTCTGAGATCGGGCGGTGATCTCATCACGAGTCAGCGTAGTAAAATCGAGAGCTGCACCTCAAAGTGCAACGCTTCTTATTACGCCGACGCATTTTACTACGGTCCGTCTCTTGCAGAATTGGCAAAGAAAAAGTGGGAAGCTGCGCTATTTTCTCGGCATTGAAGCGGGCTTCTTACTACGTGGCAGGGTCTTTGAGCGGGGCCGAGATGAACCACTCGCAAGCATCGTAGAAAGAAGCGCGTTTGTTACTACGGACGGAGGCGGTATTTGCTGCTACGGAGACAGTCCTTGCAGCTTGGAGTTTGAACGCCGGATGAAGCCGTTAAGGACCCGAAGCTCAGCAAGACCGACCCTGAATCCGGATGAATGGGCCTGAAATCTCCAAAGCCTCGAAAATGCTGGAAGAGAACCATGATCGCTTTACCCAAACCGACATCAAAACCATGGAGGCTAAGGTGGCCAAGGATCCCAAAAGGTCGACTTGGCTCAAAGGATTTCGCGGGCTGTGGCAAACAGCTGAGGGGGCTGTTGGTTATAAGCCCCTCCTCTTGCTTGCAGTTCTCCTCGCAGCAGTCGCCTATCCTTACATCATTTTCAATTGGAACTGAGGGAGGAAGGGCGACAGATTCGCTAGTGTACTGTAAGAACTGCAGTGAAATAGGTCTTACAAAAATTCTAACACTAAAGTTCTAACACAAATAACAGCGTTCTTTGGTCTGATTGGCTGATCGAAATATCCGATCAGATAACAAACAACAAAATTTTATACTCTACAACTTCATATCCACTTTACATTATGCTATCCGGTAGTATTAGTAAATTGAACTCCATCGATCATGGCGACGCCAGCGTGCACAAGCTGCTGGGCAACTCAGGAACTTGGCTTTCAGTGGCGACGTACACAGCTCAGCGTGGACACACCGAAGTTCTGCTGGTCACGTACAGCGACTTGCCAACAACGAAGAAGGAGCCGCCTTAGCTTTCGGCATTTTTGGTGGCAGGCACTTCTTGAGCGAACCGGTGGGAGAACCGGTGACAGAAGGCATGGCCCCGGCTAAGTCACACCAGGCGCAAGCCAATTTGGCAATTTGGTTCAGACTTGGCACAGGGACGCCCTACAAAGTACGAAAAACGTGTCCTTTTTCGTATCACATACCCTGCATGGAGGTGCGGTACTGGTGCGGTATGCTCGGTACGGTGCGCACCGAAATCTAAAACACTCTAAATAGGTCACAAAATCTAAAACACTCTAAATCACTATTACCAAAATTGAACTCTATTGTATCATGATGGCGACGCCAGCTCCGCAGGCGCTGCAGGCGCGCGTGCACAAGCTGCTGGGCTCCCGCGCAGAGCTGGAGGCCACCAAGGCGCTGCTGCGTACGCTGGTGACGGACAAGGCGGCTTCAGGCGCGCCCCTCGTCCAGTTGGAGGCTACCACGCGCACGCCGACGCTCGCCACGCTGCGACGCAATCTGCGTTCTAGTTTAGAACAGCAGCAGCTGGCGCTGGCACAGCGGGCTCTGGACGGTTTGGAACGCACTCTGGAACAGGTTTCAAATCTGGCGGCGCAGGTGGACGCTCTGGACGACAAATGCGACCAAGTGCATAAATTTCTAGAAACGACCAAAAGAGAGACGCAGCAGGTTCAGACGGAGGCAGCGGCGCTGGCGGCCAAGAGGTTGGTGATCTGAGTGTGATCTATTTCTGATGCGGTCTAAATTTAGAAGATACTGACGTTGAAGTTTCATGTTGGACGGTCCGACATGATGCAGGGACAAGGTACAGGAGGACTGGAAGGAGGCCAAGGCGTTCCTGGACCGGTACCAGTTGACGGAGGACGAAGTGCGCGCGCTGTATGCGGAGAATTTGGGGGACGAAGACATGGACGCGTTCTTCAGCACGCTGGAGAGGGTCCAGCAGGTCAAAGCCGACTGCAAGGAGCTCGTGGCGGCCGGGGAGGTCAACTGCGCATTGGAGCTGCTGGATGCCGTGGGCAAGTACCAGGAAGCAGGGTTTGAGAGGCTGTACCAGTGGACTGCCAGGAAGTGCGCGGAGGTGGATGGAGAGCCCAGCAACATGCTGCACCGCGCTATCGCCCTGCTGAGCGATCGTGCGGAGTTTTACAAGTACGGGTGGAGTTGTGAGGATGTTGTGGTTGAGTGGAAGTCTAATTTTCTTGTTGTTGCTGTGTGTACAGCTACTGCAAGGAGTGCTTGACGACGTCGCGGCGCTCGCTCATTGTGCGCCGCTTCATCATGGCGTTGACGGTGGGAGGGCCCAACGGCATCCCCAGACCCATCGAGATGCACGCACACGACCCTGTGCGCTACTGCGGTGATATGCTGGCGTGGATCCACCAGGCTATTGCGACGGAGAGCGAGTTTTTCCGCGTGCTTTTCGATGGCGACGTCGAGTTCAGTCCATCGGCTGCAACGGAGACTTCACCTTCCAGTGAAATGCCAGAAGAAGGAGTTATTGCCGATGTCCCAGCAGTGGAAGCCTCGCTTTCTGCTTTGAATTTGCAGGGTGGGTCTGACGCTAACGCCGGGGAAGTTTGCACTTCCATGGTTGGACGTGCGTTCGACGGCGTATCGAGGCCGCTCCGGGTTCGAGTCGAGCAGACGCTCAGCTCTCCGCACGGCATCGTCATCGCCTACAAGTTGGTGCATCTGCTAGCCTTCTACCACCACAAGTTCGACCAGCTTGTGCCCCACGCTGACGTCGCGCGCGCGCTTCGCCACTGCCGTGAAGCTGCAAACGAAGCGTTCCGCCGCCAGTTCCAGCAGCTCGTGGACGCCGTAGCAGCTTCCGCCCAAGATTACGCTGCGAGTCTCGCCGCCACGCACATCACTCTCGATATTTCACACCGCCTTGTGGCTCTCCTCGAAGTGTTCCAGACCTCGCTGATCCCCGAGCAAGAGAAGGAGGCGGATCTCGCCCCACTGCTCGATGGAGTTCTGCCCGCGGTCGAGCTCATGTGCCAGCACAGCGTGAATGGCCTGGACCCCGTGGACGCGCTTGTCTTCCGCGTCAACAACTTCAGCTGCCTGCAGACCCCGCTCGCTCGGTTCCCCGAAGTGGCCAAGTGGTACGCGGAAATGGGTCGCGACTTGGACCGTTGGCTGCGCGACCTGAGCGAGCTGCAGGCCACGCGCGTGCTGGATCGATGCCGCGTGTCCGCGCTGCTGCAGTGCATCCAGCAGTTCCAGCAGAGTCATGCGATGGAGCCCGGCACCTCACCCGCCGACACGCCAGGTCTCGACGGAGAGACGATCACGCGGGTCATGGGCGACTTCTGCGCAGCGCTGATGACGCTCATGTTCCCGCAGCTGGACAGCCTCGCGCAGCCCGCGCTCGCTGACAAGGCGCGCGCGCTCACAGCGGCGACACTTGCTGGGACGTACGCGTTCATCTACGAGTTCGTGTTCGACGCGCGGAACGGCTACATCCCTGGCAGCGAGCCCATGTCGTCGTCCTCCTCCTGGTCGTCAGCTGAACGTAGCCGACGTGTAGTGCTGCAGCACACGCCCGAAGAGATCCGCACTGTACTCGAACTCGACGGCGACAACAAGTAGAGAAGATGCACTGAGGTAGGGCGCACGTGGAGCTCGCAACTGAAGTGGAACTTGTTTAATGTATCTGCCATGTCAAGACAAGTGTCACGTTGAAGCAAATGTAGCCATGTCTCGTCACACGTCGAATAGTCGCGGATCTTTGGAGAGAAGTCTCCGCTCAACCGAGCACTTCATGGTCATGGCTGTTTTATCGGTGGCAAAGGTGAAGGAGGCGACGGCGCGCGCGTTCGACGAGCTGCAGCTGCCAGTGGGGGCGTCGGAGGAGCAGGTCGTGTCGCGCTTTCGAGTTATCTGCCTGAACCGAGTGCTCTGCTCTCCGGCGGAGTCCAGCGACTCAACGGTTGCCATCGATCCGGCGAACCCCAAGGCCAATGCTGCAGCCGACGACAGAGACGAGCGCTTCCAGCGCCAAGCAGTGGCGTATCGGTTCCTGTGCTCGTTGCCGCTGCTGCCGGGTGTTGAGTATCGAGCTGAGCACTTGCTGCCGACATTGCGTTCACTGGACCCTCAAGGCCACAGCAACGAGGCGAATGAACGCGCGAGCGCCATGCTGGACGTGAGCATTGCGTCCATGGAGCGCGCGCAGCAAGCGGGTCGACTACCGTACACGAACTTCGTGCTGAGAGTGCACTACTGTCTCCGTCGCCACGTGGTTCGTCGCCGGTACAGTGAGTTCCTAGCGCTGCACTCTTTACTCGAGACCACACTACCGGTTCTACCACAATTACCCGAGCGCAACTGGGTGTACACTCTGAAGATGCCGCCGGCCGAGCGCGCGCGCAGACTGGCGAGCTACTTGCAGCGTATAACGACGCTGTTAGCTACGCGCGGAGTCTTCTCCCTCGAAGTCATGGCGTTTCTCGAGATTGACGTGGCGCGCGTCCGCGCTGAAGAAGAGGCTCTAGCTGTGGACATCCTGGCGCGATCCAGCAGAAGCGGAGGTGACAACATCTTCTTCATTGTTCACTCTAGCTGGATCTTCTCCTGGAAGCGCTTTGTCATGACGCACACGCTACCGCCCGGACCAATCTCGAACCAAAACCTGCTGGAGATGGCAACACCTGAGTCAGTTTCTCGCCGCCCCAAGGAGGGATTGGTTGCCGCGCAGCATTATCGCTGTGTGAACGGGAGTACGTGGAGATTCTGGCACCTCATCTACGGCGGAGGACCTCCGATTCGCCGTCAAACGCCGTCCATCTACGGCCACCCCGCGTGTGATCTCACTACGTTAGCCGTTCTCGTTCAGCGTCTTGTACGCGGGTTTCTGGCCAGGAGAACGATGCACCGCGCCCGGATCCAACAGACGCTGGAAGACCCCGCGGCGTGCCAAACGGTAGCAGCCAAGGCAAGACATCGCACCCTGGAGGCTCGACTCGACATCGTGCGGCAGTACGTCGAGGTGCGCGAGTTCCAGACGCGTCACGTTGCCGCCCTCAAGATCCAGCGCGCGTTTCGAGTCTTCCTGCTGCGGTCCGAGCACGCGTTGCTGCTGGCTGAATCCGCCGTGCCTGACAGCGCTACCACGCAAGGACTGCAGCAGATCTGCGACGACCGACTAGCACTGGAGGAACTGGCCTTGGTGGAGGATCCTGCTCTGAGACTGGCACATTTTCTAGCGACGATGCTGGCCGGAGTGCCGCTGCGGAAGCTGCGCGCGAGGAAAAAAGTACCAGCCTGGCGACTCTTTCGCTTGGACCCGATCGCGTCGGAGTTGCGTTGGAGCTCGACGGATTCCACGAAGACCAACGCGATGCCCTTCGCTGACGTGGAGAAACTCACGACGGAGGCGCCTCTGGCTAAGAAGAAGCTGAGTTTTGTGCGGCGCATGAGTTTCTCGGTTGGGTCTGACGACGGAGCAGCGCTGCGAGAGATAGTATCCGACACCTCCCATGCCGTAGTCGCGACGTATCGAGAGGGAGGAGTCAAGCGGGAGCTGATGCTCATTTGCGAGGGGCCTGGAGAGATGGAGGTGCTGTACTTCGGACTGAGCGCTCTGGTCTCGGAGGCCTCGTCACGGACAGCGAACGGCGCGACGTTTGTCGATGGCCACGGAATTATTCGCAAGCGCGTGCCACACGCCAAGAAGCTCCTGCGAGACGCTCACGTGCTTCTGGAACAACACCGTGAAGAATCTCAAGAAAGCTAAAACCCAGAATTTGAGATGTATTGTTTGGTTGTTCCTTGGTGTGAAGATGCCTCCTTCACCTTGACACGCGATTCGTCTCCACCATGTGATTGGCATCGATGACGGGCTTCCGTTTGGGCTTGCCGTCTTCACCCAGTGCAGGCTGGTGGAGTCTCAGTCGACCGTTAACTACCAGGAGCGGGTTGGCACCGTCCAGTACCGTGGGGCTCACGGAGATGCCAGCCAGATACTGCTGTAGAATGGTCTGCAGCTCGCGGTTCTCGTTGGCAACGCGCTCCTTCTCGCGACGCAGCGCTAGTTCGTCCAGCAGCACCTTGTTGTGTCGCTTCCAGAAGAGGTCCAAGTACTCCCATTCGCTTACCGGGACGCCGTTGTGCAGGCCTTGGGGCTGGAAGTCGAGCATCTGCAGCGCTTCCTCCTCCTCTCGACCTTGCTCCGTGCGCATGGCGAGGCGTACGCTCTCCGTGAGCTCGTTCGCTTCGCGCTCGTCAGCTAACGTCGAGTGGTAGAACGGTAGAACGCGCTCCCGCTCCGTCTCAAGCTTGCGCACGAGCTCTCCAAGCTGCAAGATCCGCTCACTGAGCTGCAAGTGCGCGTCCAGCTTCTTGGTGGCCTCGCGGGCTCCTTGAGAGAGGTCAGCGAGTCGCCGTCGCTGGTCTTCACGCATGCGGTTCATCTTGGCCTTGAGCGTCTGGAAGTGGTGAGAGATTGCAGCTTTCTCCTCCTCTAGAGCCTTGTTACGCTCCGAGCACTCGCGCACGTTCTGCGCGATCTTGGTCCGCCAGAGCGCGAGACTCTGCTGCAGGCGCTCGATCTTGCGGATCTTGAGCTCAATGTCGCGCGACAAGTCTTGGTCTTTTGCAGTCAAGTACTTGAAGTCCTGTGTGCGTTGGTCCGTGTTCTGCAGGTAGTTTAAGTGCGCGGTCTCGAAGTGCTGCTCCAGCTCCTCGATGCTGCTGTCGAGCGTGATCCGCAGCACGTTGATGTCCTCGAGGTTTTTGTTGCGGATCTCCTCGCGCAGCTGCTCGTGCTCCTGCTTGGCGTCGGCCTCGCGCTCCTTCTCCTGCTGGTCCACGGCCTGCATGATGCGCTGGAGCTCGTTGCGCTCCATCGTGTGCTGCGTCACGAGCTTGTTCTTCTCCGTCTGGAACTCCTGCTCCAGCTCGCGCAGATCCGCCTCGAACTCCTTCTCCAGTCCAAGCAGACGCTCGTCCTGCAGATCGATGAGCTCGTCCACGTTGAGCAGGTGCGCGCGCAGCGCCATTTGGAACTGCTCCTCGGCCTCCTCCAAGTCGCGGTCGAGCATCTGGATGAGCGCGTCCTTGCGGTCCACGTCGCGCTCGTGGTTCTGAGACCGCACCTCCACCTCCTTGCGCAGCGCCTCGACCTTGACAAGCCGCATGATTTTGCGCCAGTGGTTCTGGATCTTGAGCTTGTTCATGCGCGAGATGCGCTCCTCCTTGGCCATGAACTCCTGCAGCAGCGCCTTCTTGGACACCGTGAGGCGCTTCATGTAGTCGTTCATCTCCATGCGTCGGATGGACTCCTGCAGCCTGCGCTCCTCCTCGGACGTCTCGCGGCCCGCGCCATCTTTCTTGCCCTTGCCGTCCTTGCTCCGGCCCTTGACGGCCTTGCCGAGCTGCGCGCCACCACGCAGCTTGAGACTTAAGTGAAAGATAGCTGGGAGATCATGCTCCCAAGACCGGGGGTTGTTGCGGAGGCTCTTCCTGCGAGGCATGGGCGCTGCTGTATCGAGCTCCTTGGGCACCTTTCTCGATGGATAGAGAGCTTGGGCGAGCCGTAAGTATACTTAGAGAGCGCGCAGGTCGTTGCGAGCGTCGAGTAACGGACAACTTCAACTTGACCAGCCAATCAACGTCGATTGGCACGAGAGCTGCATGGTTGTTGCTGCTGCAACCCGACATATCTTGCTCGAATGACCGTGGTTCGCCCTTGAGAAAAATGACTATTGAGCACTAAGCAGCGCGACGTCCTTGTGACGGGGGGATCCGCGAGGTGGAGCGCGAAAGCTTTGCTTCTGCTGCTCGAACCAGCTCCTCAGCTCGCAAGTACATGTAGTTGAAAGCAAGCGCGCGACTGGTTTCATGAACGCGTCAAATGGTTTGCCCGCATGCGTATGTGCCGCAATAGACTCGGCATCAGGCGCTCCACGTCTCAACCGAGCTCATATTTGTTTCAGGCTGTGGCCTTGCTAGTCGGTCGCCAGCCACGCGCGGAGTGTCTGGGTACGCAGCGTGAGTGCTTCCCGAAGACCCGACAGAACTGAGCGCAAATGAGCTCGATGCGCGAATCGAGTCGTTGCGTCATGTTCAAGGCAAAAATTAGCGTCCAACGCGAAAGCATTCAACGCGCGATGGTTTTGTTGCTTAGTTTTGTCATGTGGCCAGCTTCCTCCCAGCCAGACAGAAGCTGCAGGTAACGGCTTTGACTCAAGTGTGAGCGTCTCGTGGGCTCGTTCAGCGCTTTAACTGACAACGTGCAGCGTTCGCCAGGTCTCCGTCTCGGTCGTCAGCGCTGTGGTATCGCGCCTTGGACTCCCCGCTGCCCAAACAGATATGTACAGCTTCCGAGGGTGAGGGCGCCGCGGCTGCTTCTTCGGTCGAAAACGATGTAGTAATGCACGCAGCGCGCGGCCAAGACCCCCACGACAAGGGTAAATTACCCATGCTTAGTAGTAGCTCTCCATGCCGAGACTAAGATGGGCACGTAAAGTGCAAGCGCACATGTACCCAGGTCGCGATGACTTCACCAGCTTGTCCTTTGTGGGCCGCGTGCAGGCAGCAGCCCGGTCCTTCGAGCCGTGTGCAATGGCGATTCACTACACCGCAGCAAGCGCCTGAGCGCGGCCAGCCACACTTCAAATCCTAGATCCAAAGATCCTCGGATCTGTACCACCCAGCGCTGTGGGCGCACGAACGCAGTGAAAGCACTACGTTGTGGCTCGGTCCCGTCGGCCGCGACGAGAGGTACTGCTGCTGGTCCAGCGCTGTCGCCACCGCTGGGCTCGGGGGTCGCCTTTTATTTCTCGCCCGACCATGTCTGCAATCAGGTTGTCGGAGGGGGGTGAGTTATCCGACAGGAAGGAGCTGGACCCGACGGTTTTTTCCTCCGCTGCACGCATTTGTCACAACCACACTGCGGGACTGCCACGAACGCGCCCGCGTGGATGAGTGACTACGCCCAATCCCCACAGACCCGCGTAGGCATGGGACTCTGCCTGGCCTGCATCACGGCGGCACCAAGTCCCGCATGCTCGCGGCCCAATCCTCGATCGTTTCACGCCACGCGACAGGCGTCCAGTGCGCGTTCGGCATCTGCTCGTCCCGGTCGTCACGAATAGTAGGTACCGCAGATCCGTTTCGTTTTGTGCTCGTACTTCAACGTCGACGAGTGCTGCGCGGTACACCCGCTTGACCCGCTCGCTGGTGAGCGTTTGCCCTCGCTCAGCTCTCAGTCTGAAGCGGCTCGACCAAAGCGCCCAACGCCGCAGAAACACGAGACGCTGGACTACCGGCCGCGCTCAACGCCCGGGACAGGGGGTGATATCACTCGAGAGAGCTCGGCCCAGCCACCCGTCGCCGCGTCCGCAAAGACGCCCCATCATTCCAATTACGGTATCCGAAAAGCCAGAAGAACTCGCGGCACTGTGCGTTAGACCCCGTGAGACCCCTCAACGGCGGCGCGGCTCAAGCGCTCGAGCAGAGCTCTCATTCTCGAAAAAACCCGACAGCGTGAGAAACTCAATCAGTCCAACATGGCACTCGTGGCACCCGCCGACTGCTGCTTCCAGGAGCTGCAGTTCGCGCTGGCGAGAGCCAACGCCCAAGTGCAGGCCACCACCAACGTGGCCGAGAAGCGGGCCGTGCGCGCACTGAAGAAGCGGCTGCAGGACCGACTGTACCAGCGCAAGCACCGCGCCAAGCGCGAGCAGAAGCTGCACGCGCTCGAGCGCGACGTGCAGGCGCTGCAGAGCAAGATCGCGCGGCTGTACCGCGACCTGCATCGCCGCAAGGTGGCGGCGGCCAACGTCGAGGCGCAGCGCCGCCAGCAGCAGCAACCGTGCCCCGTCGGGTCGCTGCAGGACCACGCCAAGCGCGTCGTCATGCAGTTCTTCCACGTGTACCAGAACGGCTACTCACTGTCGCTGGCCGCGCTGCAAGAGCGCTTCCTGCGCTCCGTGCTGGCCACGGACGTGGAGGGCGTGGACCTGCGCGGGGCCGACGCCTTCGTGCAGCAGTGGCGGCTCTGCGACCAGCACTTTGCGCTCTACATCCTCGAGCCGCAGGTCTGGAAGGCGCAGGACGTCGGCCACTCGGTCATGGTGGAGGTCGAGGCGATGATCTACCTGCGCTTCCATCGCCAGACCATCGGCATGCTCTTCCCGAGTCTCAAGACGGGCCAAGTGGATCCGGAGCTCGTGCTGCCGCTCGTGACGGGCACCACCGCCGTCGCGGCCACCTACACCTTCGTGGTGGACCGCACGGGCTACGTGAGCAGCCTCATGGTGAGCGTGCAGCTGATGGACACGCTGCGGCGAGTACTCGGCTCGCTCGCGAACGTCGTGCAGCTCACGGACGGATGTCGGATCGACCTCAGCAGCGGCACCATCACGATCGCGTAGAGAGAAGCTGCCAGTAACAGCATAGTCATACATGTCCCACACGATGAGTTTTTTCGTGCAGTCGTTCAGACTTCCAGCGCTCGTCAAGGTGCACGCCTCGCAAAGTTGTGCAGTCGCCCTCGAGCGCAGGAAATATGATGGCAGAGTCCAGAGCGTAGCGCGCGACGATGAGTCGCGTCCGTCCTGCTGGCTGGCACGCCGCGAAATTCGAGGCTGTCGTTCTGGTCGGTCGGCCGAAACCACGAACGATCGCGAGGGTTCATCCTGGACGGACGCGTTGAAGCGAAGCTGTTTGTTCGCTCATAGAATTGCAGCTAAACGACACGTCGAAGCGGTCTTGACGAAGGGCAGGAAGACGACGACTTCCATCGGCTTCGGTGACTCGGTGGCCGTGACCAAGACGTAGAAGCAGGGCTTGATAGTAGCGGTAGTTATCCTGAACTACTACCAGTAGTATTCCAGTAAAAGAAAACGAATTACTAGTTACTGGGTCCTTTTGCTCAAGCGTTCCTAGCTACTATAGTAATAGTACTATAGTACTATCAAACTCTGGCTGAATGTGGTCCACACACTTATTTTTAAGTATATTTTTCGGCAGGTTGTCACGAAGTGGTCAAATTGTTTAAATATTTTATATTATTTAAGGGTGTGACTTCGTTGATGGTTGACATGTGAGAACATCTGGTCGCAAACGGACGTGCGTTGTAAGTAGTAGATACAAAATCTCGCGATGTACCAACGACAAACGACACCAAAATATGTAGACCCAGTACTTCTTACCGCCGTCGAACGAGCACAGGGGCTTACGACATTTTTTCCTATTATGCTGAGCAGCAACTTGCGTACCAGCGGCGGTGCTAAAGTATTGCAATCAACACTCACCATTTACTCACCGCGATTAAACCCGAGTGGAGCTTTGGGCTGTGGGATAGACTCAGCAGGCGAGGGCGAACGTATGTGTCATTTCAAGTTGTGAAACCTCAGCAGTAACTCGATAGTATTATTGGGGGCGTGGATGAGTTACTGGCTACTATAGTGATAGTACAATCAGAAAGTGTCAAGTTACTAGTTACTATAGTAGAAGTAATAGTACTATAGTACTATATTTTACTGGCCTCGCGAATTACTACCAAGCCCGACAGCGCGCGTGAGCGGAAGAGGAGAAGGGAATGCTCGACTTGATATAGAGACCACCCAAACAAAGCGGTCTTTACGTTCACGACTGGGGCATAAATACAGACGCTAGCGGCCCGCCCTACGACAGCAGGAACTCGACATTGTGCCGCGGGTCGACGCGCGGCTTGGGCTGCTGCTGGTCCACCGTGATCTGGCCCGTGGACGCCGAGATGTTGGCGTCCGAGAGCACCGTCGAGACGTCGGCCAAGCTCCCGAGCGCGCGCTGCAGCGCGTCCACGAGGTCCCATTCGGCGCTGAACCACGTGATCATGCCGTGCGCGTCGAAGGTGAACCGGTACTTGCCGTGGATGTTGATGATGCTGCCCGAGAGCTTCTGCGTGAGCTCCAGGTCGCCGTTGAGCGACGGGTAGAGCGTCACGACGCCGTCCCGCCGCGCGCAGATGCTGAAGATCGAGTCGGCCTCGACCACCGTGAGCTCTCCGACCGTCGTGACGTTGATGGCCTGTGGCTCGTAGCGCGTGTAGTCGAAGAAGCTGCAGTAGTGGCGCCACTGCGTGACGACGGTGTCCACGCCCACGTAGTCCGGGCCTTCGGTCTCAGCTGTCATGACGGCGCGCAGGAACTGCTCCTGCTGGTCGATATGCAGCGGCGATGCGCCGAACTGGAACAGCCGGAAGTACTCCATGGCCACGCGCGCGGGGACGCCGCCCGCCGTGCCGCGCGACGCGAAAAAATTGTTGTCGACTAGCAATTTCTGGCGCTTGCGTGCGAGCGCCTCCACCTCGGCCGCCAAGCTGAGGACCTCGAGCTCGAGCGACGCGGCCTTGGCCTTCTGCTTGGCGCGGTGGCGCCGCTGGTGCATCTTGTACTGCTGCCGGCGCCGCAGCACCTTTTCGTCCACTTCTTCGTCCTTGCGAGCTCCGGCGCGAGCTGGAGCTGGAGCTCGTGCTCGGGCTTTGCCGCTGCCTTTGCCGCCGGCTTGATTGGCAGCGGACGAGGCGTTCTGACTCATGTCGGACGACTTGGCTTGGCTTGACTTGCTCGGAGCGGTCGGTCTCCTTTAGTCTGCTTGGATGGTTGCCAATAAGGAATGACGTGACGAGTCCAGCGTTGCGTGGAGGGGAGGGGAGGGAAGGGAAAAGGAGAGTCTCTCGTTGGGGGGAACGTCGTCTCGCTTGATCACTCGCTGAGGGGGTCGTGTCGTCCGGACGACTCGTCCCGAGAGGACGACTCGTCCCGAGAGGACGACTCGTCCCGAGAGCGCGAACGAACGCGATGTGGATGAATATAGTGGTCTTTCCGACAGATAAGAGACCAGGATTGTTTCATGGTCGTCTCTATAGAAAAACAGCCTATCATATTCTGACTTGGAGTAATTTCAGCCAATAAAATCAACTAAGAGTAGGGAAATCCTTTCCGACACTTCCCTACACATATTTGTCGGAATCCTAGGCTGAATATGTACTGAAACCCAGTACAAAAAATATTTTCAAAATATTTTCAGACAACTAGGCAAATTCCTACTGTAGGCATAACTTATTCTAGGTAGCGAGACACCGGTGGATAGCCACCAGTGTCAATATTGCATAACGAAAGTGTCCTCGCGGTCATCATGAGCCTCTCTGTGTTTGTGCCTACAAACACCCAAAAGGCGCGAACGACGGCGATTAACGCGTTCGAGAGAATGCTAGAGGTCGAGGGTGTGAGCATGGAATTGTTTCGTGCAAGCATGCATACAGACCCCTCGGGCAAACGCTTGGCTGCCACAATGGACCGCTTCGGCTATTATCTCGCCACTAATGACGGTAAGAAAGGTAAGCTAGCTCGTAACACAGCTACATCGTACTATAGAAACGTCAAGCTGTGGCTATTTGATGAGTTTCCACACCTGCGTTTACCCACGGAGATGAACTTGTTAAAACAAGGGAAAACACTAGATAAGCACTGCTTAAAACGTGAGAAAGAAAGACTCGTTAACAAAGCGCCGCCATGTACTAAAGAGGACTTAGGTTCTCTAATTCGCTATGTCTACAGCACAGCACGTGTCAACTCGGACTATCAAGATGCTGCGCTAACCTGCCTCATGTGGCACTGCTTCGGCCGCTCGTCGGACCTAGGCTGCCTGCGCAAGCAACATGTGTCAGTGTCAGCGGACGGCGTCTTCTACCTGCGGCTCCTCCGCGTTAAAACGGCTGAAGAACAAGGGTTAACGCTCATACCTGACAAGGAGGATTTCCTGACATGCCCGCTTCACTCGCTCGAGGTAGCTCTCGTCATGCAGGCCGCGCCCTGCGCGGCTCTGTTAAGCCAGCTCCCTGAGCTTGTTGCGACGAGCGAGGAGCCGCTAGACCCCGGTGTACCACTGCAGGCCTTGCTAGAAGCAGAGCCAGCTACGCTCAGGATCGCCCTGATGCCACCCTCGCCTGCTGTCGCCGCTCCCGTTCCCGCGCCAAGTCCCGTGCCAAGCTGCAGCTCAAGTCCCCAACCTGCAAGCACAGAAGCGCAAGTGAGTAGTACAACGAAGGCCAGCGCTGAGGAGAAGACGCGCGGTGAAGACGGTGTTCAGGCGTATGTCAACTGCCTCCTCAAGCGCGTTGCCGAGTCCGCGGGAGCCACGACCGACTTGACTTCCCACTCCTTCCGACGCGGCGGCGCTCAGCACGCTAACGGAGACGATCGCCTTGCCGCTCAGTGGATCTTCGACCGCGGTGCATGGGACATGAGCAAGGTCAACAAAGGGTTCGCCTACGTGTACAACACGCCACGGGAAGACCGGAAGGTTGCGCGAGTGCTGAGCGGTTGGAAGGCCGACGCAGCTCCTGTTGTCCTTGATGCTGCGGCGCTGGATCATGGAGCTCAAGAGCGTCTGGCATCCTTGCGCGAATTCCTGTACTGGACTCAAGGAACACAGCCTCAACGTAAGCAGCAAGGTCATCACCGTCCTCACGGCATACCTGGTCCGCTACTACCCGCAGCTAAAGGCGCTGGCTCCGGATGCCCCGATTGTTGAGCGCGTGGAAGAGTGCTTGGCCTCCGCGAGGATCTCGACAGCTGACGTGCTCACATTGTCGGTGGCGCTCAACGAACAAGCTTCACCTGCTGAACCTGTTGCAGAACAAGCACACGAATCCAAGACGCACTCATGCCAAGTCCATCATCACCTTCTAGCTGTCATTGATGAGCTTATCGCCTCGAACCGAGCCCTCTCCGCGCGTCTTACAATTGTGGAGGCTGCGCAACTAAAGTGTAAGCGAAACCAAGTACCCGATGGGAGCCACAGACACAAGATACGTCAGATCAAGAGCCAAAACCCAAGCGCAGAAAGAAAGCAGCGACCAACCTGTCCAGCGCGTGGTTCGAATGGTACACGCGGGTGCCACGCGACTGGGACTCCGTCGACCGCCAGAAGAAGTCCGAGTTTCGCCACGTCACGGCGTTCATGAAGCTCTTCTTGAGCGAAGGCTTCACGCTGGACCCCAAGGCGCCGGACTACAAGGATCAAGTCCTGGACGCTGGCCGTCGGGCTGAGAAAGCCGTGCTTGCCTTCCTGAAGTCGCGCAACGTCAACGCCAAGGGGGCTGGAAGCGTCTTGCGTGCGCTGCGCCCACTGCACAAGAATGGCGTCTTGGACGAGCGCATTGCCGCATACAAGACGCTACGCGCTGTCGGTAGAATCGTTGATCCTGCGCTTACAGAGACACAAGACGTCTTAGCCACTCTAAGAAGGTTAGATAACACCGCTACTTCACAAACGCATTCATGCACCAGCACTACCGGCACAACACGCACGCACGCCTCACCAACCACGCACACAGGAGGAAAAGCAGCCGAGGCACGCTGCAGCAGCGAGGCACAGAAGAAGGGTCACACAGGACGAGCAGCCGTCGCAAGCCCGGTGCGGTAGCAGCACGACGCAGCAGCAGCACGGCACAGCAGTCGGAGACCCGAAACGGCAGCACCGAGTCACCGCACGACGCAACCCCAACGCCAATCTTGATCGATAACACCGGCCTGAATTGAACAGGCACCTCAGGGCCGAAGCCCTGCGGTCTATCCATTGAGCTACGGTGTTGGGGCCCAGGGGAGGGAGGCGGGGGGGGGGGCTGCGACTGGCTGATTGGCTGGCCGGCGATGCTGTCGAGGCTGACGGGGCTGAATCTTGGTCCGGAGGCTTGATCCCAAGCTCTGAAAAAAAGCAGACTGAGGGCGCGCGCCGTGTGTCGGCAACTGGCAGCCACCAAATTTTCGTTTGGACAGGCGGTGAATGCTGATTGGCTGAAGGCTGTACCAATCAACACTCTTTATTGCTTAAAGGCCCTGATTGGCCAATGAATTAGCCAATGATATGCCGTGGGGGGATAGCTACCGCCGGACTGCTTCTAATTGTGGCCCCTCTACCTGGGTGCCGGCCTCACTAATGAATTTGCCGGCTCCTGTGCACATTGCTCCGGGGCCAAAATGCGCCAATACACAAAATGTCGATTTTAGGCGATTTCCTCGCGGCTGTGAGCACCGCATGAAAGCTGACTGGAATCGGTCAAGTGGCCCCCTAGACCTACTCTACCGTACACATGATCTAATTTCCGATTTTACATTAATTCCGATTGTGCCCTGGCTTTGACAAACTTCCTAGTTGTCGGAATCTGTAGGGATGTCGGAACGGCCGCGATATGGAGATTTCGGGGTGGCCGGCGCTGCGTTCACCGGCTGGCTTTCGGATTGTAGCGGCAGCTACTGCCTCAGCTTCCCAAACCTTACCTTTACCTCCGTAACCTCAACCCACCTTCAGACCTCCCAACTTCCCCGACTTTCGGCCTAACCTGCGTAACTATCATGCTTTGCATAAATAGCCCATCTTTAATGGTGCCGCGTACTGTACGGAGTACGCGGCGTACATGCACTTTAAGCTGGCTCGCAGACCTCGCTCGGACGTCTAATCCAGAGCTGGTCACCAGGAGCGATCTCTACAGCCGAATTTGCGCGATGAACGAGCACCGCCCCCCTGACGAAGTGCTGAATAGCGCCTCGCACACGCCGATGGCATCTGTCCCTCAAAATCGCAGTCCACACACTATCGCCCGTGAGAGTTGGAACGCTACAGGATGTGATTTTCGCTGAGCTGTTTCTACCGACACGAGCCAAACAAAGAGAAGCCGAAGGTTAGACACCGTGTTCTCTTCCGATTTGGATGCCGCCAGTGAGTCGCAGGTTCAAGAGGTCCAGCAGCGCTCTGTACCCAGGGTTGACGCAACGCCTGCGCAACAAGCTTCGGACGGCGGTGATAGAGGTACTTTGGTCGCCATGACGCCTGCGCAACGAGCGGTGGACGTCGGTGCTAGCGGCAATTCGACTGCTACGACGCTAACAGCTCCTCCACCACTATGGCAGACCCAGTCTACGAAACGGTAATGGCAGTACCGCCTCACAAACAGTTTGGCATGAGTAAAATTCGAAAGCCTGAACACTGGCAGTTTATTGTGCTTGTGGCTCACTATCGGTTCTGGAATATCGATGATAAAAACCTGAAGAACGAGCACACTGCGTATGCATATTGCACAAGGTGCAAACGATCGGTTCGATTCGGCAAGGGAAACAGCGGTGTTGAGAGGCACATGAGCAAGTACCACGCAGCAGCGCTCGCAAATTACGGCAAAGAGGACGATGTGGATGAGAATAGCCTTGAGCCGCAGCCCGAAGCTCAATCCCGACAGCTTCGTGAAGTTAGCCCCGAGCAGCAGAAGGAGGTGTATGTGCTTCTTGCGCGTTGGATAGCAGCCCATTTTCGCCCGCTTCTCTTGGTTGAAGCCAAAGGCTTTATTACGTTCATCAAGTTCACCACGAGCGCGTCGGCGTCCTTGAGCATCTCGACGTCCACGTCCTTGAGCATCTCGACGTCCACGAGCGCGTTGGCGTCCACGATCGTGTCGGCCTTCTCGAGCACTTCGGCGTCCACGAGCGCGTCGGTCTCCTCGAGCCCGTCAGCGTCCACGAGCGCTTCCGCGTCCGTCAGCAGGTCGACGTCCTTGAGCATCGCGACGTCCTCGAGCACATCGGCTTTCTACAGCGAGTCGGCAGCTACGAGCGCGTCGGCGTTCACGTGCACGTCGACGTCCTGGTGTTCACGGGTGTTGGTGTCCAGGCGTTTGTGTGTTCGTGTAAGCTCATATAATTTTTTATATGGAGTTTTGTATGTGGGAGGTTAGCGAGGTTAGTGAGGTGAGACCAACCTTACCTTAACCCGCGGGAGGTTGAAGGTGAGTAAGGTAAGGTTGACAGGACTAAGCGGGTGTGCAGGAAGGAGCGGAGACCAACTCAGGGGGGCCAGGGCTTTGTTTTGAAAACAAACCCGCTTTCGGCTTGGCTGGCTGGCTTCGCGATCGAGAATGACGATGCGCAGAGGTCGACCGCGGGAAGCCCGCGCAGCCCGCGCGCGTGTTGACGCGAATGGTGGACGTTTTGCGTGAGTCAGAGCGGCGGCGAAGCCCACCGTCGATCCGCGCTGCTACATGCAAATGCATGAGTCAGACGCCATTGCCAATGCTTGCATGAATGAATGACCAACATGGTGGAGCTTGAGCGCGCCAAGTGCTTGCAGCGACAGCAGCGAGCTCTGCTCTTCGGCCGTGAGTGAGGCGCGTCGATAGGGTAGCCGCGATGGATGGCCACGCGCCTGAGCAGACCTCCTCGGTCTCGCTGCTTTACCCGGATGGCCAAGCGCACGTCGTTGAAGACGTCGTGCTGTCGCGCCAGAGGGCGGCGGCCACACATGGTGCAGGTCATTGGATGCTGCAGCCGACGCACGATGGTGTTGAATACTTCGGCCACAATGCACCGGTATGTACAGACACTGCTGGCGTGCTTGAAGCCACCGGAAGATGCTGGCGGTGAGGAACGAATGCAAGCTGCAAGCCTGCAGCTGGCGGGCGGCTCGTAATCTCGGTGGAGAAGCGCGCTTCTTTCGTAAACAAGCAGCAGATTCGCCCCACGATCGACGGTCTCCGCCAAAAATTCGATGCACATCGAGCGCTCGCTGCAGGCCTACAGCAAACGGCTCTCTTGTCTGGCGCAAGGCGCTAGATTCGACCAGCTCCCTTCGTTCTCCGGCAAAGGCTCAGGTTGCGCAGCGCCCGACTGACTCATCGGGACGCTGGGAGACAGCTCGGACGCGCACACCAAGCCGAAGTTGACCATGTTGCAGTGCGTGTTACAAACGTGCAAGCAGCCTGGGCGGCGCGCAACCAGGACGCGCAGAAGAAGCGAGCGCGTTGATAGGGCGCAGGGACTGAGTCAAGCGAGCGCATATCCGAGGAGATCCACGGCGTGAGTCGTGTTTTGACAGCTCAAAAGCGCTCTCCTTCACCTTGAAATGTTGGCAAATTTTGGCTTTTTGCTCGAAGTGAGTCAAGCGGACGCACATAGTCAGGCATCAACAAACTAGGATATTGTGCCTAATGCCCATTTGGACTTGAAATCGGCACTTTGGAAATCTTGAATTAGGCACCATACAAAGATCTATATATTAGTATGGCAAGTGAAGCATATGATTTAGAGAATGTGTTCTACCAGTCGCTATCAACAGTGTTTGTGTAGAGATATATTCATGGGGCCGAGTGTGAATCGTTCTCACACCGGGACTAATTCACGGGTAGTCCCGACACTGCGTCGATCAAGAATTTCAGTCTGTGTGGTGGTGATGCCAGGTCCACCAAGCTAGAGAGCTGTTGTTACCCATAATATCTGATAAATTCCATGGTGCGCAACAGAGCGCAGGTACAGTGTAGCTGCTCCTTCCTCGTTCTGTGGTATCCACAAGCCAATGTAAGGTAACGAAGATTTGATAATAAGTCGATTGCCAGGTTACATGTAGTTAGTTTATTATTTAAAATACTTACTTTGGTATATTGGTCTGTTACGATTGCCTGGTCGACCCAGCCCCATATTATAATTTGGCAGGTACGGCTGCCGCGGAATGCGCTGTCATGTATGAGAGCTTCATTGGCGTGCCAAATGCACAGAGCAGAGGGAGGTCGAGCTAGCACTTGACGCGAAGCTTGAAGGCATAGTGGCGAAAGTAACGGGAGGAGGGTGGTGGCAGTGGTTATTGTAGCGGCGACGGAATGAGTGGTTCTACCCAGTCGCTACTGCGCTAGATAAGATAAAAGCACCGAGAAATACATGACATAACCATCAATGGACCACTATTTACTATAGAACCGATCCTGAAGCCATTCTTTTAAACAAGGACATTTTGAAAACTCCATTTAGGTACTTTGGATTGTTTATGTACCAAGTGCCTAGATTGTTGATGCCTGCACATAGTTCGGCCATTTTGAAAAGACCTTTGCCGCTGTTTCTTGCGAGTCGCCGGCGTTGAGTCAACCAGGCGGTAGTTGTCTCCCACAGCTTACAGGTGAGCCGTGAGTGAGCGACCTGCAGCATTTTGACGTTAGAGTCCGAGATACATGTATGCCAGCAGACCGAGGACTGTGAGCTGTCCGACGACGCGGCGTGTTAAATTTTGCAAGCGCTTTGCCGTGCTGAATCCCTAACCTGGACATCCTGAATGCCTTCCGCTCGATAAAAGGGCCGCGGCAAATGACGAACACACCACAAGAGGTTTCGGTGCGCAAAAGCGAGGCTGCGCCACACCGAAAGCGTCCTCTACCCATACGCGTCAAGGGAACGAGTTCCTCGCGTCCAACTTCAAAGCCAACTCTGCGGCTCCATTTGGAGGGAATCGCAGACCAATACGCAGAAATCTAAAATGAGGTTTGTTACCTCTCAGTCGGTACACTCTGCAGCTGCAGATGAGCAATCCTGGGTACTGTACTGAAGCTCGCAGCCGCCGCTGGAAGTTCGCAGACTTCGCCGAGCCCTCCCGACGCCCCCAATCGTCTCGAACGCTCAACCATCCGTTGCAGCGTGAAATCCGCGCTTGTCTTTGTCGATGACGGCGACTTGGAAAGTTCACCACAATCAGGTAGCCGGTGAATTTCGCGAGAGCGGAGATGTTATTGTCAAATTGGCGAGGGCGGTGGTTTCTGCCATAGAGCCCCATGCCCGCATGCGCTCACGCCAGCATAGCCCAGAACCGAAAGCGGCATTCCCGCGCGCGTTCAGCATTGCCTAGATAGACGCAATGGGGGGGGGGGGGGTCCTTCCGTTGCCTAGATAGACGCAATGGGGGGTTTCCTTCCGTTGACTCAACGCCTGACTCAAATTCGAGTGCCGCAACTTGCGTTGACTCAGGTGGTGGAACTACTGCTTTCAGGCGTCGCAGGAAGACCGCAGGTGTTTCTGCTGGTCGCCGACGATTTTTTGGGGAGGACGGTTTTGCAGCTGGCTGGGCCCACCCGATGATGCTGGCTGAAACTCCTGTCCAAAGCCCCGTCCTGTCCAAACTGCGCGTATGAAGGAGCTCGTTTGGGGTCTTCGCGAGCTTTTCGCATGCGAAATATCGCGATAAGCCTGGCAGACGCTGTGAACGAACTTTTTTGTTTTCAAGAGGGGATTTCTTGCTCACAAACCTCCAGTGAAATTGTATTCGAAGGGGCTCTGGGCTCTGTGCGTTTCGTAGTCCAATAGTAACTTTTAGTAACGGCTATCGCAGGTGGGGCTATCCAATCTCGCCTCAGTCAGAAAAATCCCCGCCGAACGGCAACAGCAGTCCGCCAGGCACTCAACAACCGACAACAACGGCGGCAGCAGCTGACCCGAAGCTCTCACAACACGGTGCCGTTCGCGTCGACGCGCGAGTGAACACGGTCATTCTGTCTCTCACCGTCTTGGACCAAGACTTGTCCACCCGCTGCCACTCGGTCCAACTGAAGCGAATCGCCCAGCCGCCACATCTCAATTCCACTGCAACCCCAATGGCAGCAGTCGCAGGTATCGTGTCCGTCCCCGCCCCAGGCAAGCCCCCCATGCGCCCTAAGCGTGCCAAGCCGGACGACGAAGTCGACGAGAAGGTGCTCCGCCGCCGCCAGCAGTACAAGTTCCACCAGCGCCGCCACCGAGCCAAGCAGAAGGAGAAGATGCTCATGCTCACCAACGACGTACAAACGCTGCTCGCCGACATCGAGCAGCTCAACAACAAGCGCCAGCGATTGCTCGTCGAGCGCAGCTGCTTCAGCTCGCGAGGCACCGACGCCGGGGTGCCGGCGCGCCTCACCATGGAGTACTTCCGTCTCTTCGAGTTCGGCATCTCTCCCAGTCTGGTCCAGCAGCAGGAACACTTTTTGCGCTCCATCATGACAGCGCAGACTGCTGGTCCAGACTACTCCGGCGTCGAGACCGTCATCATGCTCTGGAAACGTTTCAGCGACTTCTACCAGTATAGCAGGTACGAGCTGCTCTCCATGAGTGTGTCAGCGCTGGCTGAATCCACCGTCGTAGTCATGGAGACCAACTTCCACATCCGCTGCCGACGCGACGGCGTGCTGACGCTGTATCCGGGACTACACTACAACATGGAGCTGCTCCAGAAGGTCATCAACTCCGTGCTTGTCGTCCCAGTTCAGTACCGCTTCGAGTTCGACCCCAACGGCATCGTCACGTGGTTCAGCGCCGACTGGGACCTCGTCCAGGCGTTGAGCGCCATCGTGTCGCTTGTGGACGCTGCGTCCATCCTCAGCGACGCCAACATCTCCAAAACCGGCCAGATCCGGAGCAGGATCGAGGACATTCGTCAGGCCTGCACTGTCCAGGACGACGATGTCGTTTCTTCCACCCCGCAGATCGTGGATCCCCGCCACAGCGTCGACTTCCTGCTCTCGTAAAAGAGACCGCTCTGTATTTATCCAATCCATCGAATTTACATTCCCATCTTACCTCTTTTCTCACGTCCGACTTGCACTCCGTCCCTTCTTGTGGTGTTGTTAAGTCGCGCGCTGTTCCGCCGTCACGTTAGCGTCCTCGAACGCTAGTCAAGATGGGCGGCTCCACCGCAAATGTGCACACCGCAAGAAAACATTCAGATGTGTTGCAAAACGCATTCATGACGTGCTTGATAAAACAGCACAATAAAATAAAAATCGATTCCTGAGCACGTCCGTCGATGAGCACTTACGCCTCTTGGCGTCGTCGAGCTGACCGCATCCTTGGCTGGACAATCAATACATGCTGAGTGAGGATTCGAATTCATAACCCGGATGGGGTTTTCAAGTGAAATCTTACCTTCCCATTGGCCGGTGAGTCCGGAGCTGCGGCCACGCGCTTTTTCGGTGGTTCTTTGCTTTGCTCCTCTTCTTCTTCTTCCTTCTCTTCCTCGATCGTGTCGTGAATGCCAAGTGAGCGCACGGGTGATGCTGCAAAAGCTGGTTCACTCCGCTGAGTCCTGCGCACAGGAGTCGGGCTTGAGGATCGAGGCAAGAATGCGTCCGACTCGGCTCCACTGTCACTTGAGTCATCCGCGTATGTACGACCTTGCGGTCGAGCTTTTCCGATCAGTGACGAACGCTGAGGTGGAGTCGCTAGCGATTCGCTGTCGTCATCGTCGTTGTCTTCTTGCTTCTCTTCGGTATCGGAGTACCCTCCGTCAGCCTTGAGTAACTTCCGCTTGCGCTTCTTCGAGGAAACTTTCAAGGAGCTTCCAGGAGGAGAATTTAGCTTCATGAAATGCGCAGCAAAGTCCATCGGCTTGATTGGAGATAGCGATGTCTGTGGATAAAATTACAACATTCGGGTGAGCAACATGAACAAAATGGACGTCAAGTGTAACGACGGATGCACTTACGCTAAGTCTTGGGCCACGAGTCGTTTGCCCCAGCGATTCAGGACCCTCAGGCTCCTTCCTTCCGCCAGGAGTTGCAAGTGTGCTTGGTCTGCCGGGACTGTATAAATGCTTCGGCAGGAAGATTTTACCTGGGAACGGCTTCAGATTCGACTGGTTCTTAATCTTCTTCTTCAGTAAAGCGACGGCGCTGTCAATCAGAGGATAAATGTTAATGTCATCGGGAGATGTCGCATCGTGGCATTGGGAAAGCTTGGTCAACATCTGCAGCAGAAACGCAATGTTATCTGCTGCCGCCGCATTGGTAGACACCAAACCATCCAGGAAGAAGCCCAGATATGCCAATTGATCCGTCCACAGTGCGCTTTGCAAAACTACCACAGTCGGGGTTCTCTCCACCAACTTGACCGGGAACTCTGGATGATGCGCCAGCAAATGAATGACGTATGGCAGCGCGTACTCGGGAACCATGAGTGCACTCATACTAGGAGTTCCGGGGCTATTGATCGCCTCTGCTTCTCGCGAAGATGCAGCGTCAAACATGCGTCGCATACGTTCAACCGCAATCTTGAGCAGATTCCGTGCGGTTCTCTTCACAGTGATACTCGAATCCGCAGCAGCTAACGCCAAAAAACTGAGGTATTTGTGCGGGTGCTGCACGGGTTGCTTCATTAGGTGCGACGTCAATTTCTTCAAGAACTTGCGCCGAACGTCTTCACTTGAATCTTGCATCGTGAAGCCGAGTAGCTGCCACTCTGCGACTGAAATCGAAGCCTCCAGATGACGATTGCGCATGATTTTAATGAGACCACACGATGCAGTTGCCCTGAATAGGGCAGCAAGAGTTGGTGTCGATCCATACGTCTTCCCGTCTGAACGTAAGATTTCCAGCAACAGCTTAACAAGTATCGTGCCATCCACGCGCGAGTCTGATGGGCCTCTAGCGGGACGGCAGTACACAAGCAGATTTACTGCGACCTTAATGGCCAAACAGCGAGCCTCCGCTAGCTTCGATGCCGCAGATTTACCACCCTTCTGGCTGCGTTCTCTTGAACCGGGCGTGCCTGGTGTAGGAGTGTTTTCACCTTCGCCAATGATGTCATCCAGTAGGTGTGCCCACAGATGTGGGAGCGACGAACTGTCAGCACAGAATACATGGCCACTTCGCTTAGCGAACACCTCCAGGCTCTGCAACGCAGGCAACACTCCAGAAACTTTGGGAGAGCCGAGCTTTTCCTTTGAACACAGTTTTCCAATCAACCGAGAAGTTGCATCCGCTCTTCCGTAAAAATGTGCGACAGTAAATGCCGCCAGCTCTGCAGCTCGACTCTCCTTCGCAGAATTGAAATTCTGAGCCTCAACGTCACTGTCTCCGAGGCAGAAATTGTGAAGCTGCTCCATTAATTCTGCAGATGGCGTACTACTATCCTCTTCGACTGATGCATTCTCTCCCAAGCCGATAGTCGCCGACCAGTGCTGTGAAAAATTCGCAAGAATGTGCAAGCATCCGAGAATCACTCTTGGGTCTTTCAGTAAAGGATCCTCCTCATCGTCTTCATCACTAGTGCCAGATTGATCCGCACTAGCGTCCACGCTTTCAACCAAAACTGACGCGACTTTCTCTCGGATAAAGGGGGCAAATAGTTTCGGCAATTCCCCGGAGGCCATCACCAGCAGATCTACCAAACTGCGATTTTCCCTCGACGGTCGTCCTTCTCTCGCGACTAAGAAGTCCAAGAAAGCAGCGACGGACGCCTGATTCATTGTCAGCAGCGATAGTTTTCGGCACAGCTTCTTCAGGAACTCACCCAACGGTGTTTTTGACCCCACGCTACGCACCAACTGGTCTCGCTCGTGTCGGATTTTGCTCTGACTCTTCGAGAAGTCGCACAGCTCCCCCATGTGCTTGAAGACACTGTGGTCCTTCCATTTAGATAGTCTTTCCAGCAACTTGTTCAAGCCAGTGACATCCGAAAACAACGGGGCTAGTCCATCGTAGAGCTGTTGCTTTGCTTTCTCCAGCGCGCCATCGTCAGCCTCAGTGGCGCGACCCTTGTGGCGGTTCTGTACCTTGAATGCTACGAAAGTACTGCATATCTCCTGGCACTTGGCGCGCTCGCTGAAGACTCGCCGCAAAGCTTCCTTCGACGTAACATCCAACGAGTGGTAAATAAATAGCAATCCATTCGCACGAGTTCGCTCGGACAGGTTCTTGGGCAGAAGGAAATCATCCAGAAGCTGAATCACGCGGAGCTTGAGTTCTTGTTGGGGGTACGCGAAGCACTTCAGCACGTAATCAGGGATCCAGCCCAGCTTCTTAATGGTAGCACCGGGGATATTGCGATTTGCAAGAGACAAAGGTCTGTCGTCGTCCTCGTCATCTTCTTCCTCCCAGCTCGAGGAAATGTGAGTACTAAATACCTGGCTGAGACCAGTCATCGTTTCCTTCCTCAGTATCACCTTTTTGTCTTTCATCCGTTCTCCCACTGCGCGAAGACACTCCTCACTGATGAGATCCAAACGGTTAGCCGCGAGGTCGCACAGCTCGTGGACCACACTCTGGCGTACTTCCCACTCCGGATCGCTCAACCGCAAGATAAATTCCTTCTCCAAAAGGCCAGCCAAGTCAGACTTCTGTTCCCAGATAGGCGCACTTACTTTAATCATCTGCAGACGGATCTCCTTGCTAGCGTCACGAAAGCGGCCCAAGAAATCACGAAAATTCTTCATATACTGATGCCCATAGTCCGCGTGTGAGGACGCGAACAACTTCCCCATCAGTGCAATCGCCTCTGACCTCGTAGCGACCTCGTCCACTTGAAGCTGCAGGCACACATTAGGGAGCACATACAGCAGCAGCGACGGGTTAATCTTGTGCACCTCATAGATCAGTGTGTACACATGTTCCTTGAGCTCAGATGACTTCTGCGAGCCCAACCTGCTCTGCGCGTCAATCAAAATGCTGTTGAAAAAGTTCGATAGCGGGTTCTGCAGGAGTTCACTGGTTCGTCGAATCAACTCCCGTGCCAAGTGGCATGACGTCCTCTTCACTGCAGCTTCTTCCTCTCCGTCCTTTCCACTCGCCTCCGCTGCTGCATCCAGCAACGGTCTCAAAATCACATCTAGCAGCGGCTGCTCCACTCCATCGCTCTCCTCAATGCACGCCACCATGATACTCAGCATCAAATTCTCCATCTTGGCGGGATGTTTCTCTCCAATAGTATCGAAAAGTGCCTGGAACAACTGTACCATCATCACGTCCTCCTGCTCTTCAACAGTAAAGTCCAGCCCCACCACCAGCAGACACGACTTCACAGTAGCCAAACTCTCCAGCACGTGATAGCAATGCAATCCGCTGGACTGCACCAGGGAAAGAGCCCTCAGCTGGTCGCACAGCAGCTTGAAGACTCGGTACAGCTCCTCGCTGGAGCTGAAGGGCGAGTCGGGCGCCGACACGCGCATCATTTCCACGAGGCAGTAGGCCACCAGCGACTTGACGTTCCTGTCCTGGTGCCTCAGCAGCTTCTCCTGCAGCAGCTCGGCGGCCACCAGCTGCAGCCTCTGGGCCGCCTGGGCGTCCAGCACGCCGTCCTCTCGCTGCTGCTGCCTGCTTGGAGCGTGCTGCAGCGTCTCCCACGTCTGCTTGAGCCTCTTGGCGAGCGCGGAGGCGTTGTGGCCCGCGCCTGATAAGTAGCTGCCTGATAGAATGTCCTCCGGCTGCGCGTTGAGGCTAGAGGCAGCCCTGGCGCGCTTCTGAGGCGTCTGATTCCGGCTCTGCTCCTCCGCGACGTGGTCCGAGTCCGGGTCTTCCGCCTTGAACTCCTCGGCGTCAGCAGCGGCGGCTGCAGCAGTTGCTGCGTCCTGGCGCCGCCGCGTGTTGGCAGCGCGGACCTGGGCCGCCGTGACGGAGCGCGTCCGGCGTGGAGGCATCGAGCAGCTCGCGCAGAGTGATGGTCAATGGCGCGTCTTGTCTTTCTCTGTATGAAAGTTTTGACGGGTTTCCTCTCGGCGATTTGGTGTGGACGACACGAGTTACCTATTACAATGAAGCAAAACCTTTTATAATACATAAGTTGCACTTCAACTACGACATTGAAGTCAAAACGCCAAAGGTTGGAGCTCTCGTAGTAAATCATTAGCTGTAGATGCACCTCGCGTTGTCCGTGGGGAGCCCGTACCCCAATTAACTGCGTCTCCATCGTGCAGGGACTTTGAGTTCACGGCCGCACATGGCTGCGGCACGTCCGACATGCCCATCTCCACGTCCACGGACTTCCAGGAGTGCTGCAACTGCACGACGCCGTAAGCTCTTGCCTAGCATTGTTGTTTAATACTAGGATCGATACAAGTATCCTAAACCTTTTTTCTTGATGTTGCAGTGCGACAGCACGTGCGGTATGCCTAACACCAACTGCGAAAAGCGGCTGTAGAAGTGCATGCAAGGCCATCCGAGACCCGAGGGTTATAATACTGCAGCTAGTTAGCGCGTAGAGAGCGTCGAGGCTCTCATGATCAGCACGGTGTAGCTCCATCTTCAACGTACTGTGACCCATGTCGCTCGGACAGCATCAACGCCAGCACGCCAATCGCCACACGATAACACGTCCCCACAAGGACCAGCCTCCCAAGCGATGGCTAGCATGCAACGCCACCGGCAAACTATGATACCGTCCGAGTAATCGTTCGCGGTTGAGACTAGACTGACGAGGAGGTTCGCTACCGTACTGTTCAACCCGTCGACTAGGTGTGCTGAACTCGCAGCTCTCGAGCTGCGGAGCCCCAGAACTGGTCCAGTGCTACTGGATGCAAGCATTCGTTCTTGCAGTCAACGTATTAACTTTCACGTTGCGCTGCAAATGTTGCAGTGGGATGCGAATGTCACAGTTCGAGCGGATTTTCAGCCACGACAGAAGCAGTCGTTTCGTTTGCTTTGAAAAAAATATATTGTGTGGTGCAAGCGAGGTTCTATATACAACGAATACAAACATTTAACATGAACATTGAAGTCAAAGTGTCATAGGTTGGAGCTACGAAGTCTGAGGGCTATTACGTCCTAGAGAAATTTGTAGGTAGTGCATCCGTCGTTCGTGGGGACGCCGGACGTGTAGGTTACGCCGTCCCTGGTCGTGAAGCCCGAGGTGATCCACGTGCCGATGGACTTGTCCTGACCCTGCAGCAGGTACGTGTTGTTCGTGATGGGCTCTGTCGTGCCGAAGTACTGGCAGGCCTTCTCGTAGAAGCTGTAGATGCACATCGAGTTGTCCATGAGGCGGTTGTTGGTGTCGACGATGCCGTCGCGCACGGTGCTGAGCATCTCGCAGTCTCCGTCCGAGTCGCCGGACGAGTAGATCGGCGCCGCGCCCTTGTGGATCTGCATCAGGATACTCTGGACGACGGTGGCCTTGCCCGGGCCCCACGTGATCGGATAGCCGCCCAAGAGCTCGCCGGTGAACAGACCGGCGGCGTCGGTCGTGAAGCGACTGCCGTAGACGTTGTCCCGACTCACAAGGTAGCCCAATCCGAGAAGGTCGGCAGCTTCAGCCGCGTACAGTTCGGGCGATGCACTAATGACGTAGACTGCAATACCCGCCTCACGGAGGGCACGCATGATCGCCTCTTGGCCGCTGAAGACGCGTAGACCCTTGGAGTACGAACCCTCGACAGCTAGATCTCCCGTTGATGTGTATGTGAAGGACTCGAGCGACTCGGCCAAGTTCCATCGAATGCTGGCACGGATGAACGTTCTGATCTCGTCTTCCGTCATTCCCACAAGCAAACGAGGGTACACGATCATGGCATTGGTCAGGGAGCACGTGGAGTATTCATTGCCGCCGTCCATGATCTCCAGGCTGTAGAGCAGGAACCCGAGCTTGGCGCGGAAGTTGAGGAACTCCGTCGTCGTCTTGATATCAGCGAGCGAGGTGACGGCGCTGGATCCGTTGGTCAGGTTGTAGGTGGGGGCGATGTAGGCGTCGTACAGCACCTTGTAGTCCTTGGCAGTATCGGTAAGAACAGCGATGAAGGTCACGTCACTGCCGTTAACGTCTTGGCCGATGACCGAGTTGGTTCCGTTGGGGAAGCATGTATCGCTGCTGCTGGCGTTGTAGCCCAGAGCGAAGATCGACTCGAACTCGTCCGGAGAGAAGCGGAAGTTGAGGTTGTCGACCTGGTAGAACATTCCCGTCTCCGAACATGCGCGTGTTGTCCCAGTCGAAGACAGCGTAGGCCTCGCCAGGCTTGCGCACCGAGTTCACGTTCGCCAGCAGGTTAGCCACCGCTTCATTGTTATAGTCGGGAGCTTCGGCCGTCACGAAGTAGTTGGAGTCATTGGCGTGGGCACTGGAAGCCAGGAGAGCTGTCGCCGACAGTGCTGCTACTGCGAAGACACGGGCGGTTGGAGTGGAGCGAGCGAATTCACGAATGATAGCCAAGTCGCCCGGCACATTCGCAGCGTCTCCGTCAAAGATTGTCGAAAACGAATGTGAACCATGAGATAAGCGATGGAACTTCCACTGGAAGGTAGCCACGTTCCACTCGTCAGAACTGTATCGTGCACATTCTGATCGTTTGCGGGGCCACAATTCTAATCGCGGCACTGATGAGTCAATACTATTGGCTCAATTGAGTGCAAGTTGTGAAGGTTTTCTCTTTCAACACAGTCTCTGTGCGGTAGTGAGCAGGTAGCGGTGCAAAATGCTCCGAAGGTAACGTTAGATAAAACGGGATTGGAAGGTAAGAAGGGTCTACCGTATCCAAAACCTAGTTTTCCGTCTCCCTGGCTCAGCACTTTTTCTTAAGTCAGGCTTTGAGTTCTGAAATGTATTATTGTCATTACCCTAACATTTCGGTGAAACTAGCGCTCCGCGAAGTGGGGTACAGGGTAGGCCGGACAGCTGCAAAAGAATTCGGGTAGTTTTAGCCCCAAGTTGGGGGCCCCAATATATGGTGGGGCCAATACTTTTATTTATTTACCAGTGTACTAAGTTGCTTTTACTGCAGGCTTTTTTTACTCTGCCAAGCTGAATACCAAGCAGGAATGCTTTCTGCTGCATAAGATCCGGCGAGCACGCAAATTTTCAGGAGAGATATCCTAAAACCATTCATTTGATCTAGTGGAGTGGTTGAACTTTTTTCGGGGTTATAGTAAAAAAAACTTTAAAAAGTGTGTCTCTAAAGGGGTCTCTTGGCCCGGGTCCCGTAATAATAGTTGTTTGTTTTAACCTTTGTGTACCAAGGCATTTATATCACACCACCTTTATACTTTAGATTTGTATGGACTAGACTTTTTATATTAAAATATTGGACACATTTAGTTAGCCGGGACTCATTTTGAACCCGGAATCAGGGTGTATGCGATTACATGAGGAATGCGGTAGCTCTAGAAAGAACCGCGTCTTATGCTTCCTTTGAGCTATTGAGCGATGCAACATGTCTGCGACAGCCTAATGGCTCTTGGCAACCCAGCTACCTACGCCCACGCATCCTTCTCGTGCGTGCGTCGTCGGTATGGATTTCTGGTGGCGTTGGGGTCGCTATAGCAACGACGGGGATTCGTGGAGTGACGTCAATTCGTAAAACTTATCTCCATTTTCGGACCATTCCCATACTCTTCCTGATATTTAATATGAACAATAGTATGGGAATGCAGGACACCCAGCGCTGGTATGTTGGGCCATTTATGCCTGTTAAAATATACTTATATTATAAAAGCTGGTCGAAATGTCTAATCCGACTCGAAATAAGCCGCTTAAAACTCTATTAAGACTTGTATAGTCTTATTTGTTTTAAGGAGGGTTCTTTTAAAAGAAACAATTATTCTCAATTGACTCCAATCTAACTAAGCTCAAAAGTGAGACATATCGCTTTCACCGTTGAGTTCGTTATCAATAAGTCAAAATGCTGACTTCGTTGTAAGAACTTTAACGGAGTTATGCGCACAAGTAGAGACAATTGTTGAATGAGTGATAGCAGCTTATGAAGCTCGTACTTTTGTTCAGACATGAATATGTATGTCAAGCCAAGCACAGGAGCAGCTGAGACGAATCTTGTTGCATTAACAGATTAAAAATGATATGGTGTGTTATGCGAAGCGTGCTCAGATGACAGTCTTCGAAGTGTCTCACTCCAGTTCAAACCACCTTCGGCTCGGGAAGGCTAACGGACCGCTGTGCTTTGAGATTTCGTATTCGCAGTTAAGGAAGCTCGGGCAACGGATGGTACGAGGTGTCAAGCTATATCTAACAAGCGGTTGAAAACATACGTTTGCAAATACATAATTGTAACATGTGATGTCACTGAAGCGCCGTCATCGTGCATTGTCGTATTCACGTAGTAGGAGCACACAACTTGCTAAGGATTCAGAGTCACCAATGTCTTGAGAAAGGGTTTGTCGACCTTGCACAGTGCGGCTGGCATACTTGTTTTCGGTTGGGGACTGCCGTACAGCAGTACAAAAACAATCTGCACTCGCAAAAGCGCTTTGCTGCCGGTGTGTCAGTGCGGCCCACCGCATGCATCAATCCCGAGAACGTCAAAAACACTTCGGTGCTTAGTACATACTTGTTCCTCGCGCCTTGTACGGCTGTCTCTGTCTGCTGCGCACCTGCTGCAGTGCCTGCACCGCTACCACCGCCACCTTAAGAGATGTTGCACGGGTGCGGTTTTGGCATCCGAAACACCACGTAGTCCTCACTCAGGCTGTACGTGCTGCCACAACGCTGTATGGTGTTCACAAACGACGGAGACTGGAACACGGCACCCACGTCCTTCGTCTTGAGGAAGATACCATCCATTGTCCATTCACCACGCATTTCCACATGGTGATACGAATGCCGCTCGCCATCGATGTACAGCTTCAGGTCCTTGTCCTCGAGAAGCTTCGGAGCGATCGGGAGCGATTAGTCTCGATGAGCTTCTTGACAACCTCATCGTCCCCTCTCACCACGCGTAAATCTGTTCTGGAACCGTATTCGCTTTTAGACACCAACTCTCCACGCTCCACCGACTTCCTGGCCACGTTGACCACGGTCAGGTTCGTCTTCGCCACGAAACGAGCTACACTTGGACGTTCGGTCTGCCGGAGCGTAAATGAGCGCCTACGGTTGCTTCTAAAAGCCGTTCAAACCAAGTAGACATTTGCTGAACAATAACTGGAACTATGCTACAGGGTATAAAAAATCTGAACAGCTTAGGCCAAAATTGTTTTTATACGTTCTGGTCGCTTCAATTGCTTTTGTGTGAGTAAACCGGCTTGACCTCATGAAACGTTTCAAAACAAATTAGCACCCTAACGCAAGTTACCTACCAGAACCTGTGTAGCATAATACAAACTCTACATGCGACTAAGTTGAGCTGAATGTTTTTGTATGTCCTGTTTGAAAACCGAATAAGGCGACCACGTGTCTCTTCGCCAATAGAGTATCATAAGGATCGATGAAAGTGTGTGTCGTTGTACTTGTGGCTGTTGGTTCCCAAGTCTTATGCAGCTGGTCGCGGACAAGATCTATCTTAGATAGTGCAGATAGCCTATCTGGACTAAAAATGTTTTGAGTCGCGCTGATCAGACCATTTTATAAAACAGCATGATTTCGGTTTATGATATTTTAGATTAACCAAAAAAAGACATTTCAAAAGGTCTTGACGATATTTCGTTACTTTTAAACCTAAAGGTTCTAAAATGTCTAAGTGTGACACTTATGTATTACAATTTTGTAATCACATATTTTTATCCATTCAAATGCAAAACAAAACAATGAATCGATGCAAGCGAAATAAGATCATATTCGATTGCGTATAATATACCGGATGTATTATATCCAGAGTTAGGCAAATCGTAATTACCCGCTACAAAATCTCCCTCGCCAGGAGAATAGTTGTGGCTCGTGAGTATCTAGTTTTAAATTCTATAAACATATTAGCATCGCCATTGACTCAGTTTTTTATGTCGGAGTCATTTTCCCTATCTTGCAGATGTTAATCCTACGAGAAAATTCTGTCAAATACATTTTTCTTTTTAAAAAAAGAATTTTCAAAAAAATCTGACGCTATCCCGCGAACTGATTTTCATTCTGTAATTGAATGCAAATCCAGTTCGCTCAAATTTATTTCAGTGTCTACCTGTGGTACCACTTTCCGCACTGTTTTTATAAACTTGCGTATAGCGACACACTCTTTGCTTGAATGCTATATCTGCTATACGGGTCTCCCATTTCTCAAACATCATAAAAACCGTTTTTTTTTAAAAACAGCCTTCGTAATTTAAAGGGTCTGATTGTCAAGAAATCTTATAGATTAGTCTATAAAGTAAGCAGTTGTTAATAGAACTACCGTAACGGATCCAGTGCGACACAGTGTCAATTAATAGCCGAGACCTACGCAATTTATATTGGCTGAAAAGTGCTTATACGCCTCTAACGCCTCTAACGGAAAACGCCAATTTGTATACCGCATACTATTGAATTGAACACTTATCAATTTTAGAAATGTATACAAATAGGAGAGGGTATACTACCTAAGTAGATCCGATGCATACAAGTTCTGGATATTTGTTGCGAGCTGGCTACGTACTGCAAAACTACTTTGATGACGCCCTGGCAACTCATATGCCAGTCTTCAAGCCATGGAGACTCCCCTCGGTTGCATGGACAGCGTTATCCCAGCAAGCAGAACTTGACGAAAACCATTTTTTCTTTAGGTATCTTACGGTAATTTTGCGTGAAGCTCCAAAACTGGCAAACGGCACCGAAGACAATTGCCATTTCAAAGATTAAAACGACCGGATCTTGTTTGCCGTATCTGACAAAGTAACTACTTACACTCCTTTCCTTTTTTAAAATATGAAAGGAGTGTAAGTATTTTAAAAAAATAAAAGGTGTGTAAGTATTAAAATAAAAAACGTGTAAGTATTTGACGCCTTGATCATGTGTGATTTTCAATTCTAAGGCATTTCTTAGCAAGTCAGAAGATGTTAACATGCTAATCTTAACATAAACTTTGCTGTTTCGAGAAAATTAGAAAGTACTCAACGTCTGTATGGTTGTTGAGGTATACAAATTGGCGTAGGTACAATAGCTTTGTATACTGATCAAATTCTATCAGATTTGAGAGGAGGTATTCAATTCGGAAAGGGTACGCTATTTGGCGCTATCCGTTATAATCTAATAACGGTGTATGAAATGGCCTTGCTAATGGAAAACCGGTGTCGCACTGGATCCGTTTTTTACGGTACATAATGAACCTATGCCTTGAATATGCTATTCCTCTGGTCTTATGAATTGGTGTCCCTGTGAGTATTGTGAATTCCAGCTAAAATTACCAACAGGGTTCCGTATTAGCGCAAATTTTCGTGATTATTATCCTGCTATTTTGCAGTAGACACCCCATATTATTATTAAATTGATACTGCGATGTTGTCATGCATTGATATTACTACTATTAATATGTATTGTGCTTTGCACCGCTCCCATGGTAAGTTTCCTCGATTTAATATATGTGAGGTCGTTTTAATTTTAAAACGAGCACATAATCCGCCTGTTTATATGACGGTTAAGGGGATGTTTCATCCGAGGGTAGGATAAATGGGGTAACTTTCTCGGCCAACCACAGATCAGCATTTTCTACCCCAGCTGCGAGCTCGGGGCAGCTGGGGTAACCATGGTAACTTTTTCCCTACTGAAACAGATTCAGCCCTGGAATCAAAATAGCCGGGTAGATCCACACAAAATCGTTGGTTAGCACCACAGCCAGCCCTGCATATACTTCCTTACTGCACAGTCAGTCTTCATTTGCAACCATGGAGAACATGCCTGCAGAGCTTCGAGCTTTACTTAGCGGCACAGGGACACCAGCGGCGACCGCCTCTCCCCCTGGTCTCGTTACTCCTGACGACGTTGCCGCGTCGCTTAGTGGTACTACTGAGACTGGCTGTAGCGACGCGCTCCCCGATACGGGCTCTGAGCAAACTCAGACCTCGAAACGAGGCTTGAACTGGACTGCGGACGAGGTTTGTATGATGTGTTTTGCTTGAACAAGTTGCGATTCGATGCTTTAACATTTTGTATGAATCTGCAGACAGTTAAAATGCTGAAGCTTCGCTTTAAGAATTAAGTCCTCCTCCTGAAGTTCGCAAGCCAGCGAGGTACACTAGATATGATGGCGTCGGCGGTCGTGCTTCTGCTGGCGGCGGTGGCCGAGATGCTGGCAGCGGCGGTTGTGCTTCTGCTGGCGATGGTTCGACACTGGTGCTGTATGCTACCAACCAGCTCACTGGCTGTAGCCTCTAGACAGTTATTACTCTTGGAATTCTATAGGTGTTTACAGAAATAGGAGATGAGAGTCAAAAGTTACCCCATTTATCCTACCCTCGGATGAAACATCCCCTAAATCAGGGTGGCAAAAAGTGTGCAAGGCACAATATTAGTTAGTAAGCATATATTGTGCCTTTCACGTATTTTGGCGGGTGACCTGTTAATTCAGGCGGAATTAGAGTCAGAAAAGGGCGATCAACGCTTATTTAGTGCTAATTCTGCCTAGGATTGTGAGCGCTTCCCCTAACATCCGCGATCAGCATTTGAGAGCCAATCGACGGAGATACGAGCAGAATGGCATGGATGGCGGGTAGGAAACCGCCAATCGCTCTGTTTCCGCCTAATGCAGGCTGGACTAGCTTATTCCGCCTTAACTCGGCCTCACCATCGCCGCTCCTAATTCTGCCACGGAGGGACGACCCGGAATTAACATGGGAATTAGCTAACTCGGGGCATAATTAAGGTCGATAACGGATTAGAGTTATGCCAGAATTATCACGGCAGAATAAGTGAAAGGCACAATAATATACAACAACAATATCACCCTCTCAAAGTCGATTGTAGTCTGGCGAAAACACCACGGCGTCGATGCGAATACATGAGAGCACAGATACTCAGCACAAGTATTAATTTGATCAACTCCATGATTTCTAGATGTAGGAAGGGTTCAACAGCTGACGCTTTCTAGGCTAGAAATTCTAATCTAATCCAAGGGACAAACACTGCAGGTCATCGTCGAACGGACGACGAAGCTCTTCAGAGTAGTTGTTCCGTGCACGTGGGAGCCACCCAGCTGAAGTGGTCCGCAACACCAGCGCAATCATTCGTAGACATTACTCTACCACCGCCAAGATTGCTCACACAGTAAATCAGACAGTCATGGCGTCGTTGACATGAGCCAAATCCGTTCAAAGCGTTTGTTCGGGATAGATCATACTTATTCATTCAGACACAGCATTAGCCCCGTTAGACTTTAATATAACGTCGGTAAGTTAAGCTTTGAACCGCTGCAAGGAATCGTAGAGCTGAGCCGTTGCTTCAAATTGATGGTATGGTAGATTGATGCCACTATGGGTAAACCTCATCATGAACCACTTACAGACTCTCCTTCAAGTACTCGAGCGTCTGTACGCTGGCCAAGCGGAGTCGCGACAAGGAGCGCATACTGGAGGCTTATGGTATCTACACGAGCGTCAAGGTGTCGAACCAGGCGCTGGTTGACTTTAAGACCAATATGCTTTTATTTTTATGCGGTTATCACTCAGGGCGAGCTCTGCATCAACCCCGCTGACCGGGCCCACTGGGTACCCGGCGACTACGGCTGTCCTTCTCTGTCATCTCACTCTTAATTTACTTGGTCTACCTACGTTATGCACTGCATACAGGGGACTATCAAATTGAGACTGCCTCGAGCAAAATGATACTAAGCCACCATTTAGAGTTATCGAGATAATCGCGCTTGAAAATTGGCTGCTATTTTTCGTATCTAAGTGAAGTTTCGAGAAAGGGCCCGATTTGTGATTTGAAAACCTGAACTGTCACTAAAGCGAACGCTCCCTCAACACCTCACTCTCAAAGAAGATCTACACCACCGCCGACATGGAAGCCCACCGCTCGACCTCCGAGCTGCCATCGCAGACCTCCAGCGGCCCCGAGTCGTCGCCCGCCGGCACACAGGCTTCCGGCGCTCTCGCGCCACAGTCCGTTGGTGCCTCGGAGCCGCCCGCGTCCCCTCCCTGTCAACACCCCCCTCCTCCCGAGCAGCATACGCCGTACGGGCCCGAGCAGCACGCTTCGGCAGCTCCTGGGCAGCAGCTTGCGCGCACCTCCGATCCGCAGCAGGAGGAGAGTGCCTCCGAGCTGCACGAATCACCGGCGTGCACGCCTTCTCGAACCGATCGGCAGCGCAACCAGAAAAATCGACCCCGCGTGACCTCCCCGCACGTTGCGGCACATGCTGCCAGCGACGTCTCGTCTGAGAGCGAGGAGCCTGATGAAAGCAATGATGATAAAGATTGGAGCACGGCCGAGTCAGCTGAAGAGGATAGAGAGGTGACGAGGGACAGCGAGGGAATCGAAGACGATGAGCAAGCCGAGGAGGTTATAAGTATCAATTTGATCGAGGTTGATATTCACCAGAAGGTGACAGGCCTTATCAGAGCTGATAAGTGTGAGCGTCGCTGCCTTCAGGGAAAGGCTCAAAAGCTGCAGTCTCTGGTTAGTTCAAAAGTGTAGCAATGTACGTCGTCTAGCCCAGCTGATCAATCAATGTGATACTTATGTCCATGCTAATCCAAAATGATATCAATTGACAGCATGTGTTACTAATGTGAAGCATCGCACGAAAGTGAAGTTTTAAGACTATTTCAATGCGAATTTGTGGTGTAAAATTGTACAGCGGATCCAATGATACCCTTCGTTTCTTGGGTAGCCAATAAAAAAATCTTAATTTTGCTCTGGGACGGGAGATAATTTTTTCGCGGGGTCATATCTTTGGCTAATCTAACTGTTAAAAGTTGTGGAGGGCCTCAAAAGATAGCTAAGACGCCCCTCTTTCCAACGAGGTACCTAAATCCCAATTCGTACTTTGGTTGATTAGTATCTTTTTGTTCGACGCGGTCTCAAATATGGATATACATGAGAAGTTTTTCACTCCTCTCTCGTGTGTTTGTCGAGTCGATCAGGTTGGGCTCGCATCTGCTTGTAGCTGCTCGGGGTTGGTGGTTGTGCCTTGGTCATGGCCCAGCCTTTGGCGCCGCTCTTCGAGCCACTCCTCCGCCTTAGCCTGAAGCGCCTCCGCATGCACTCTTGCGTGTTGGCGGCGTCTACTACTTTAAGAATTTAAGACCCATGTGTGCCCCGACGACTTCAGCTAGAACCGCCGTCTCAAGGACGTGCACCAGCACCTGCTCAATGTGGGTCGGGTGCGTGCTGTGTGGCAAGACGCCGCCTTGGAGAATGCTCGACAAGGGGTGTAAGCCGTGCGGACGTCATAGTACAAGTAGATAGCAGTGGCTAGAGCTACCCGTTTGAGCATGCCAAAGAGCGACGGCTTGTCGAAAGCGTTAGGAACTGGAGCAGCGTGTTTCGACTCAGTGCCGATTCGGCAGAGCGCAAGTATTGGCTTACGAAAATTATCGTTCACATTTAACTAGAAATTTGAAGACATAACTTCGGCAAGAAAGTATAGCAGAAAAAATTGTTTGATGAACAATCGCTGGAGCTATGAGGTTTTAGACATCTACTTACTGGTTGAGGAATTTGTACGCAGCGCACCCGTTGTTGGTGGAAACGCCGGACGTGAAGGTGACGCCATCCTTGGTGGTAAAGCCGGAGTTGACCCACATGCCGATGGCCCTGTCTTGGCCCTGCAGCAGGTACATGTTCCGCGTGGCAGGCTCCGCCGTGCCGAAGTAGTGGCAGGCCTTCTCGTAGAAGCCGTAGATGCACGTCGTGTTCTCCTTGAGGCGGTTGTTGATGTGGACGATGCCGTCGCGCACAGTGTTGAGCGCCTCGCAGTCTCCGTCCGAGTCGCCGGTCGAGTAAATCGGCGCCGCGCCCTTGTGCTTCTTCATCAGAATGTTCTTGACGATGGTGGCCTTGCCTGGGCCCCACGTGGTCGGGTAGTTGGCCAGGAGCTCGCCAGTGAACAGGCCCTTGGAGTCGGTCGTGAAGCGACCGCCGTACACGTTGGTTCGCGGCATCAGGTATCCGAGTCCGGCGAGGTTGGCAGCCTCAGCCACGAGGATTTCGGGCGATCCACTGATGACGTACACCGCCACACCAGCCTTACAGAGAGCACGGATAGTTGTCTCTTGGCCACCGAAGACGCGCAGCCCCTTGGAGTAGGACGCCTTGACTGCCACGCTCCCCGTTGACGTGTACGACAAGGATTCGAGCGACTGGGCCAAGTTCCATCGGAGGCTTTCACGAGCGAACGCTTTGATCTCCGTTTCGGTCATGCCAACGAAGAGACGCGGGTACACGACCATTGCGTTGATCAACGAGCACTCGGAGTGGTCGTCGCCGCCGTTCATGAGCTGCAGACTGTAGAGCAGAAATCCGAGCTTGGCTCGGAAGTTGAGGAACTCCGTCGTCTTCTTGATGTCAGCGAGCGTGGTGCTGGCGGTGGCGGTGGTGCCCCCCAATTTGTACGTGGGGGCGATGTAGGCGTCGTACAGCACCTTGTAGTCTTTGGCAGCGTCAGTGAGAACAGTGGCGAATTTCACGCCGGCGCCGTTGACGTCCTTGCCGATGACTGAGTTGGTTCCATCGGGGAAGCACTTGTCGCTGCTGCTGACGTCGTAACCCAGCGCGAAGATGGACTTGAACTCGTCCGGCGAGAAGCGGAAGTTGAGGTTGTCCACCTGGTAGAACATCGTCGTGGCCGATACGTCTCCGAACATTGCCGAGTTGTCCCAGTCGAAGACAGCGTAGGCCTCGCCGGGCTTGCGCACCGAGTTCACGTTGGCCAGCAGACTAGCGACCGCGTTGTTGTTGTAGTCCGGAGCTTCCGCCGCCACGAAATAGTTGGGGGTTTTGGCGTTAGCACTGGAGGCCAGGAGAGCCGTCGCCAACAGTGCTGTTAGTGCGAAGACGCGGGCCATGCTCGGTTGTTGGGCGCTGGCGAACTGTAGCGGGGAAATCTGCAAATGATTAATCTGTCGCGGTCACAGTACAAGCTCGAATCCGTTTTCGACGACCTTTACCGAGGGGCGCAACTTGTTGCCTGCCGGAGGTGCCCCCCGGTAAGGTCGTCGAAAACGGATTCGAGCCTGTGCAGGACAGGCGATGAGGCTACTACCACTGGAAGGTAGCCTCGTCAACTGGCTTGCGATTCTAATTCGTATCGTGGGAGCAAATTATGGCTTAGCAAAGGTGCAGCCAACGGAACCCTCAGTGTTCGTTGAATCCAAAGCCGGAAGCCGGAGGGAGTCTTGACCTTGTTGTTTCGACTGGCCCGAATTACGCCTTCCGCCATCTCCTTAAGCTCTAAACACGACAACTAGAAAGCATTACCACGTACCAATCGCTTGTACGAGGCACCGCTTGTACTACAAGTGTTCTGCGTATAGTAAGCTCAGATGCGTAGAACGTCTTATTAAAGTGTGTTCTCGACGTAGAGGAGCCGATGTCCAGGTAGACGGTCTCATTGAGTAGAATAATCTAATACATGTATCTAGAAGTGCTTCGAGTAGTATTTTCAAATCAGGCGACAACGTTAGCTAGCTAATACAAGAGTATGTATCCGACGGGGTAACTCACACTGTATAGCTTGCGCGAGATGTTGAAAGAGTCCGGTCATACTTCGACGATTTTCTATTCATTAGTTGGTACGCCTCGCTGTGTGTTAATAAATCATATGGCGACAAGTACTGCCGGAACTGGGCACACAGGAGGTTTGAACTGTGTCCATGGGCCCTTCGTCCGGCGTGTGAATGGTGCATATCGCTGTCGTCAGACCGCGCGAAAGTTGTGAAGTGATAAATGTGTGCCCTTCCTGGGTGCCGTTTCGCCCGTTGACGATCGCACTGGGTTGTAAGTGCGGTCGAGAACCCATACGTTATAGTCCCTAACCGGCAGACTCAGGCGGCCACACTAATACGTCGCGGAGTGCCCGCCCGCCGTCATTCGGAATCTGTAGGTCCAATGCTACCTGCCGGCCGCGAAGGTTATTGCTAGTCGAGCTATCGGCTTCCCGAGGCCCGGATCCGGCTCGAGCGAGCTCTGCTGCCCGCGCCCCGCCGCCGACGACGAGTGCAGCAGAATCCGCTCGCGAGCGGAGACCACTCTCCAAGGGACACGATATGCGATCGGAGCCCAGGGGGTTCGAAGTTGCGGCCTCCTCCTCCCCCGACTTCGAGCAACAAGGCGCCCCAAGCGAAGTCAGCATGGATAGTGCGGCGGCCTGCGCTGCGGCAGCGCTGCGCTTTTGGGCGCCGCCGCCGCCGCCGAGAAGCTCGCCTTGGGCTCGGGCCTCTGCCGTCGTGGAGCGTTAGGCAGGATCGCCCGTTACGCGCCAAGTTGAAGCGCGGCCAGCTGCTTTTCGGCCAATCGCGGGCCGAGATCTCGGATCCGACTTCCTGTGCCACGTCAGCGAATAAGAGCGTGTTCGCTACGCAGCTGGAGATGGATATCTGCAGGGAGTTGGTGCATCTCCATCTCCAGCTTGTTCGCTACAACAGAGCGCATCTAGGTAAAAGTAGCCAATCACAGTGCAACTGCAACGACTCGCTCTCCTTCTCCTTACTTTGCTGCTTCTTCGTCGGCCGGGAACACTGTGCCCGAGACACCGGACTCGTGGCAAGACCAAGCTGCCGATGACGCTCCGAGAGCTGCGCCTCCGTTTCCGTCAGCCAGTGGCGACCACCACACCAGGATAGCCATGACGCGCAGCGAAACCTGACTCGATCGCATCCCAGTCCTCTCTCCTCCGTGGAAACGAAATGACAGCCGCCGCCATTGCTCATAAGACGCGCACCACCTCGGTCGTAATCTCCATTACGTAGCTCCGTGACATACCCAATGCACCACCGACCTCTCGGTACCCATCAGTTGAGCCTAAAAAGTAAAGCGCGGCTGCAACTTTCTTCTCAAAGCTATGCTGCCGTACTTTGGCAGCAGCAAACAGAACACCTTGATCTCGTAGTAAACCAGCAATCCGTAGGAAAGTCGGCTTGGTGCAGCGAAGATTGTCTTCAAACCAACTTGCATACGCGGCTGACTGTAGCATGGGCTCAAAGTGCAGTGAGGTCACGGTACGAATCTGTTCCTTAGGGCCTCGTGGCGCATCGTCGGATTCTCAACCAGTGCAGCTTCCTCTTCGTCCATTGTCTGTGCGGCTGAACTGCCTCAATCTCCAGCTACTTTCTCCTTCTCCACCTCTGGGAGCTGGAGAAGGAGACGGGGTAATTCTCCAGTTGTCACGTTGTGAACTAAACTATTTTGACCAATCAAAAGACAAGAAATAGAGTTGATGAGAGGCCATCTCCATCTCCAGCTACCTTGGCGAACACGCTCTAAGAAATATCCAGACACGTTGAAGTCGCCGGCGGGCACTTCAACGGGTGTGTACTACGAGTATCCCTCCGATAGCAGCGCCAGAGCTAGCTCCAGAGCTGCTGCCCCCGCGCTCTGGCAGTGCAGGCTAATATGGAGCTGTGATCGACTCCATCGAAGAGAGAGAGAGTCGAGCCCCGCCGCTTCAGCCGCAATGGGATATCATGTCAACCTCGCCGGGTCTGCCGGCAGCCAGCCAGCCAGCGCCGCTCGTCTGCGGTCTGCATGTGTCGACCAACGGGCTCCGTTACTGGGCGGGGTTCGGGCGAGAGGTTGCGAGGTGGTGGTGACCGAAGGGAAAGGTGCGTGTCTTAGTCGAGGTGGCGCAGGCAGGCGGCGCAGGACTCACCGAGCAGGCAGGCCGGCAGGCAGCGAGGGCGAGGCTGCAATAGCCGCTGGGCTGTCGGCCGCCATGAGTCATGCATGGCTCATGACGGCCAACCTCGCTGCCCTGGCCGTCGCAGCATGGTTGCAGCGGACACGCGCAGCCAGCTGGGCTGCCTGGTCACGACTCGAGCGGTGCCCCCGGCGACATATGGTCGGTCGGCTATCGATAGGCGGGCGAAGAGTTGAGCTTCCTGTCACGCTGCGACTTGGTGCCTTTCGGGGTGTAGACTACCGTAGAGTGCTTGAATCGAGGGCGTTGAGCTTCACGGTCAATACGTGCAGGAAAGAAGAAGGCCGTCAGGCAGGCAGGCAGGCTGCTCGCAGGAAGGATGTTCGTCTCGGCAGCACAGCCGAAAGCTGTTTCGCACAGATGCACGCCGTAGCAGCGCGCTGATCGAGTCGCCAGCGATGAGCGGCGTTGCTATCGCCTTGCGACAGCGAGCGGGCTACTGCTTCGTGGAGAACTCGGCTCGCAGCCCCGCGCGATGCCGCGTCAGCTATCGCTGGCGTGCGCCGCGCACTCCCCCTTGGCCTCCGTATCGCTATTATCGTCGTTGAAAGCGGTGTCGCGTGGGTTGCTGCTGTCTTATCTGCTGCTGCGCTGCGCTGGGCCAAGTCCTCGTTGGCAGCGCGACATGGAGCCTCTGACTACTCCAGCAAGCCTGCTCGCCGCTGTGGAGCTTTTCAGCTCGCTCGACTTCGGGGAGCGGGAGCAAGCCGCAGTTGCTTCCGAGCGCCGCCGCGCCTCAAGTCGAGCAGCGCCTCAGCAATATGATGCATATCAACGCGCTCGTCTGCGTGGTTCAACGTCGATGCCGCGCAGTGCACGGCACGTAGATGAATCTTATTCCCCCGCTCCAGCCAGCCGTAAAGCAAGCAAGCGGCGCCGAAGCCAGCCTAGGCGCGACGCCCGCGACTCACGACGGGCTCCGCTCGCTACACTAAACACGGATGCATCGGCGCACGCCAGTCGAGGCAGACCGCAGGCAGACTGCGATCGTGGTTGCAGCGGTCAGCCTGGTCGCCCCCCCGCCTTGCGCATTGAACGGCGTGGCGTTGGTCACTCGAACGCGAACGGAGCCCACGTGGGCCTTGAAGCCCCCAGTTCTTCGAATCGAAGGCGCCGCCGTCGCGCGCCGCGCGTCACAGGCCTGAGGCGCTGGCCGCGAGGCTCGACAGCCTTCGCCTCGCTTAGGTCGGTCAGTGCGAGCGCCCGGAGCCCAACACGCTGGGCTTTCTCGAACTTACACTGCCTGACAGCGCCGTCGTCGCGCGGTCGAGTTCGCAGTGCTCGTCTGCCTCGAGCTGAGAAACGAGGGCGCCTCAAATCTCGCTCCGCGTGCCTGCCAGCAGCGCCAGCGTGAACAACTGCACCTGCTGCACCACTCGCACTCGCTGCGCTCTCTGGGAAGGCACTTGTTGCTGCACCCGTCTACCATGTGGTATATCATGCTGTGACGAGGCTATTGCACCCATCTATCTGCACCTGCAACCGTCTGGTGCCCGTGTGAACCCGTTCATTAACTCGTATACTACCGTATAGCCGGCTAGTTGAGGAAAGAACATTCGAGAGCCTTCGCCTACGATACTACAACAAGGGCGAACTGTACCGTGGTATGTTATGTACATGTACACCACAAACGGCGCTGAGTTCGCCATGGCCACGGGCTCAGTCAAGTCCGAGAAGCTCCAGTTCATAGCCCCCGTAGGCCTGGGAGAGCTCGACCTTCGAGGGCTGCACCATCGCACAGTACGTGTTTTGCCTCCGTACCGACACTGGTAGTCTCCGGGAGCAGGCAAGCATGCATCACCGCTGTTGCCTCCGCCAATAACATGGTGTCGTGGGCCGCCGCCGCCAAGTACATTGACTCTGCCGCCGCTGCTGGCAAGGACATCACCGCCGCCACCAAGGACGAGTCACTGAGATGTGCTTCAATGTCCAAGTTGCTGAGTGGTGCATGCATGTGTCATCGCTGCTACTACTCACAAGGACATGGTGGCGCAAGCCGCTGCTGCCAAGGCCATGCTGCCGCCGCCACCAACGACGACACCAACGACGAGGAGCTGAGCGGTACCACCAAGTACATCGTCGCTGCCGCCGCTGCCAAGGACACGGTGCTGCGAGTCGCCGTCGCCAAGGACGAGATGTTCGGTGGTTCCAAGGACAAGCTGCTCGGAGGTTCCAATGACCAGATACTCATAGGTTCCGCCGCCAAGGACATGGTGCAGCGAGTCGCCACCATGGACGAGATGCTTAGAGGTACCACGGCCAAGGCAAATACAGTAGAACTATCGCTGAAGAGAATGGTGGACGGGTAATAATACTTCATCAAGATTGAATGCACAACTAGTTCTTTTAGAAGTCGTTGTAGCGCGTAACATGTAAGAAATGCTTTGATTACATGCACATGCAGAGATACCTGTATCGGAGGCACTTCAAGAGATCCTTATCCAGTGCTCCCGTACGCTCCTCCCTGACAAATAGCTCGAACGACACGAGCACGTAAATGCCGCAGTTATAGCTGTCGAACTGGATACCGAGATCGCCGTCTACCCTGCGGATTCTGTAGCGCTTGACCCGTGCGTCAGGAATTATCGCTACTAGCATCTCGGCTACTACTCGCACCTTTGTCAGATATGGAGTCGTACAATAGCACGTCGTTCTTGGTTAGGTCGATCATGATGCAGCACCAGTGGATTCCGCTTGCGTTGATTGGTATCAGCACTTTCTCGTCCGACATGCCAAAGAAAATCTCCCGAATCGTATCCATATTCACGTTCACCTCACCGCGCCGGCCAATTTGAATGTAGGTGGGATCCACAATAACGACAGCATGGTTTGACGCCAAAGGCGCCCAACAAGCAGTCGCAGTGCCCGACCAGCTGCCTCAGTGCCCGACCAGCCGCTGCGGTGCCCGACGGATGCGTGTAGAGCCCGACCGGCGCTAGTGGTGCCCGCTAGACCGAATGGCCGCATAATGGATAGCATACACTTAAAAAATTACAACCATTACCTGTGCTGTGCATCCCGTCTGCCTTGATTCCTGCCGTAGTCGCTTTCCTTGTCCGCGAGACTTGAACTCACCACTGTGTGTACAGACAAGAGTCTTCGCGTAGAAGCCAAAACTGTCAGGTATGGGTGTACCAGACCCGGTTTTGGACTCTTTTTATCTTTGCGTTGCGCTCGGCGGCCGATGTGTTGGTCTGATGCGGAAAATCTACTGGCACATATCGGAGTTAGATCATCGCTTTCATATATTGTAGATACAATGCAAGAACTTGCTTGATAGGACCGAGACTGATACTCATTGATGTACAACTCGAACGCTTTCCAGGAACTGAACTGGGTCTCCTCCAGTGGGGGTCCTGTGTCGCCGTGTGAGCTACTTAGATCATGACTCGGGTCTAACGTAACGACGCGGTCCGAGAGAGAGCATCCTGTCGCGTCGTCAGCATCAAGGTCAGCTTCGGCGTCATTTGGCGCCCCGGATGGCCGTCGCTTTTCCCCCAGAACACAAGTAGCCATGCTTGCACGGCGAAGGGGGGGGGGGTCAAATGCTTGAGCCCGCTGCAGATTTATGAATGGGTGGTTGGAGATAGAAAGTATACCGTATACGAAGTTCGGATGGATCTCAAAACCGTGGTTAGGGCACTTGAGCGGACGATTCAAAAGATGACGCCAGTAGACGGGTGCACCAACCACTCTCCTCTGGGAAAACAGCACGCATCCAGTTCTTGTTTCACGTGGCTCTCAGATGCGCCAGCGTGGCGTGTCGTGTGGCCCGAGAGATTCCAACCCGCGACGATGCTCCGTGCTCGCTACCGCGAACTGCAACCTTCCTCAAACGAGGGCAAAAGCATTGCACCTCCGCTCCACCGTCATCCAGGCCGCGCTGATTGAGAATCAAGCGTGACAGACTGACAGGCCGGACTGAGGTCGGAGCGCTGGACGCCGCGGAGCCAGCCGCAGCGCAGCGTAGCAGCAACGGCCATCAGGTCAACGCGGAGCAAATTGGTCCAAATTGGTCCTCGTGTGGTTGTAGCAGACGAGCTCGGAGCAGCAGCGGAGAGCTGCACCACTCGAGGGAGCAGCGTGCACTGTACACGCCGTGCAGTGCGTGCCCAGCATGGAAAGATAGCGAAGCATGGCCTACCTCATAGGCTCAGCAATCGGCCGACTTTCATATAGCGGACACTTCAACTTGAAGTTGGCAGAGTGATTGTCAACTGTTCACAGTAGCTACGATTTAACCTGAGTGCTTTTAACTGAACTTCGGCGCGAGCTTCAGGTGGACAACTTCGCTGCTGTACACCAGGACTGGGCCGCCCGGGACGCTGACCCACTGATCTTTCACACGCAGGCCTTCACGGCTGCGCTTTCACCTCTTGCAGCGGTATGAATTTCTCGACTACAGCCCTGCATCCAGGCGTGAGAACCGATTGACACCGTCGCTGAAGTCGACAAGGAATGGAGCATGTTGTACCCTACCTCACCACGATCGGTGTGACTCTCTTAATCGTTCATGAGCCCCCCCCAGGCCGCCTCGATGCAGTATAAAGGCCGTGACCTGAACGACTCGAGAGCAGGAAGGACGGCCATTCCCGGCCGGCGGAGTCCCCGGACACATCGTCGATACAGGGCATGGCGTGACGGCAACTCAATCCGAGCAGTCCAAACGGCATTTAGGATCGACGTACCCACAACCACAACGTGTGCGTAGATGTCCAAAACCGTAAGTGTGTCTTGCGAGGCGACCGAAATTGAGTGCATTGTTGTTAGCCATCAAGACGACGTACGGGCTCGGATGAAGCTCGCTCGTATTCTCTCGTCATCCGTGAATTTTGCAGCAGCAAAGCAGTCGAACACAGCCGGATATTACCGGCGTGCATGTGGTAGTTGATGCCCTTGAGCGGGGCGTTGGAGTTCGTCGTGGACTCGGCCCCCGCTTTCTCCAGCGAATAACGGGAGGCGGACTGATCATCCAAGCCGATAGGTAGTTTTCCCACATGTGGAAGCGGTCTAGATTCGTCTCTCGAAACCACTGCAGCTCGTGCGAATACAGTGCCACATCGTCGTCGCGAAGTTATTGCAGCACCATGAGCCATGAGCAGACACGTTATAGCCGTCGTAGAAGCTCGGATCACATCTTCATCGGGAGATTGGGTCAGAAGGAGAGGTGCACGGTTTGGTATCCCCCCATGCAGGAGCAGTCTCACTCTAGTACCCGGGCATCTCGGTGGAGCTGAGCCAAACCAACGTAATCTCCAACGCTCACATTTCTCCGCTTCTGCTTTATGATTGGTCAATGACGTTGAAGATATCGTTGTGTATTTTCGACCAATGGTTTCCGCCCATTCATCATGGATTCACTTTCACAACGTCTCTACCGAGACAACATGGCGCAGGGGGAGGCGTCGCCGCTGCTGCCCCTGCACTCGGCGGCGGAGGCGACCAGGCAGGCGCATGCAGCGCGCCAGCTCAAGCAGAGGGAGGAGTCTCCGGGCGCGCGCGCCTCGTGGCTGTCGCGCGTCACCTTCAGCTGGCTGGGGCCGCTTCTGTCGCAGGGCGCGGCGCGGCCGCTGCAGGCCGACGACCTCTGGGCGCTGCAGCCCGAGGACGACACGGAGAGAGTGATGGTCAGTCTGAAGCAAGCGGTGAATAACAGCCAATCGCTGTGGACCGCCATCCGCTGCGCGTTCGGCTTCAACATGTACGTGGCGGGCGCGTGCAAGCTGGCCGGCGACTGCTGCGGCTTCGTGGGACCCATCTGCATCAACGCCCTGATCAAGTACGTGGAGGACCCCGCGAGCGCGCTCTTCTCCTCCGCGCACTATGGCTACGTCCTCAGTGGCACGCTGTTCGTGGCCTCCGTGCTGCAGACGCTGTGTCTGCACCAGCACCACCACCTCGTCATCCGAGAGGCCATCCGCGTGCGCTCGGCGCTCACCATGCTGGTGTACGACAAGTCGCTGCAGCTGTCGTCGCAGACGAAGAGCACGCTGGGCTCGGGGCGGATCCTCAACATGGCTACAATCGACGCCAACCGGATCCTCGAGCTGTTCTACATGATCCACTACTCGTGGGCGGCCCCCGTGCAGTTGGCCACCGGCATGCTGCTGCTGGTGCATTACCTGGGCACGGCGTCCTTTGCGGGCGTGCTGATCATGATTGTGCTGCTACCGACGAGTGCGGCGCTGTCGTCGCAGGCGGCGAACATCTCCAAGAAGATGCTGGAGTGCACGGACAAACGCCTCAAGTTCTTGACGGAGCTGTTCCAGCACATCCGCGTCATCAAGTTTTACGCGTGGGAGAGCGAGATGCTCGGCCAGGTGGACGCGATCCGCACCAAAGAGCTCCATTTCCTCAAGAAAGTGATCCTCTGGAACGCGTATGGGAGGGTCATTCTGCAGGCGGGACCCGTGCTGGTGTCGTTCGGAACCTTTGCAGCGTATTCCTACCTTCAAAGCGAGCCACTGACGGCGGACAAGGCGTTCACCGCGATTACGCTGTTCAGCATTTTCCGTCTGCCACTGATGGCGCTTCCCCAAGTGTTTTCGCTTATCTTCCAAGCCAACGTGTCGATCAAGCGCCTCGAGTCATTTCTCTACCTTGAGGAGCACCGACGCAGTCCAATGTCCCTGTCGGCTTCCTTTATCTCGGACCCATCGTTTGAAATTCGGCATGCCACATTTAAGTGGTCAAGCGAAGGCCATGAACTGAACGGAGGTGCTGCCAACGCTGTGGCTGAAAAGGAAACTCCGGCCGCACAGCTGTCCAACATTACAGTTTCGATACCCAAAGGCAAGCTGACCCTCGTCGTTGGCGCGGTTGGAAGTGGGAAGTCAACATTACTAGCGACTTTGCTGGGCGAGCTGCAGCCTGAATACGGTGTAGTTCGCATTCCGTCAAGGTATGTGTCGTATGCTGCGCAAACGCCGTACTTGATCAATGCCAGTGTGCAGGATAACATTCTATTTGGAGCCCCACTGGATACAGCCCGCCTTCATCGAGTGATCAAGAGTTGCGAGCTGGAGAATGAACTTGTGCGGCTACCTAACGGCTTTCAAAGCGAAATTGGCGAGAATGGTGTGACGCTTAGTGGAGGGCAGAAGCAGCGTCTCTCAATTGCTCGAGCTGTGTACTCGAAAGACCAGGAGCTTTACGTATTTGACGACTCTCTTTCGGCGTTGGACGCGCATGTGGCTACGCGTCTTTTCGACCAGTGTTTCAACGAGTCAACAGACGGTCTTCTGGGTGAACACACGCGCGTACTCAGCACTCACTCACTGCAGTTCGCGCACTTGGCGGACTGGATCGTCGTCATGGATAACATGCGAGTCGCTGAGATGGGGACATTTGAGGAGCTAACACAAGTCACGCCAAATGGAAAATTTGCCAAGATGTTGAATTCATTTAAGCGGGCTAATGATGACGCATCTGTCGGGAACGAGGCTAGCGCTGGGGACCAAGTGGAAACCTTGGACATCTCCCGATCGAAGTCACGATCAAGTTCGAGCGTGAGCGAAGAAGCTGCCGCTGCTGGTAGTGGTGTCCTAATTCAGGATGAAGAGAAAACGGAGGGGAACTTGTCCTGGAGCGTGCATTCGTCTTACTTCGTGTCATGTGGAACTATTTCGATTGTTGGGGCACTTGCCCTCCTGTTTGCAACGCAAGTGTCGTCCGTCTCAACGGATTTGTGGCTGACCAACTGGACCAATTCTAAACCGACTGGTGCGGACTTGACGTTTTATCTCACGGTATACGCTTACCTCGGTCTGAGCACTATCGTGCTCGGTTTCGTGGGAGATCTCTGCTGTCGATATGCAGGACTCAGGTACGCACTGGTTGTAGGTCTACTTTGTAATTATTTTTCTGGACTAACGTGACCGTGTTTAGTGCATCAAAACGTATTCATCACACTCTGCTGCACCATGTCATCAAGGGGACGATGCGCTTCTTCGATACGACTCCTGTTGGTCGAATTCTCAATCGATTTTCAAATGACATGAACACGATCGGTAAGACGGGGTTCTTTTTCAACTGAATTACTGAGAACTAATCGTTGTCCTCTTCTATCCTATCCGTGGCAGATCAAAAACTAAACACTGCCATCGTGCAATTTGTGACCATGCTTCTTGCACTTTTGAGCATGTTGGCAATCCAGAGCTCAACGGCACCTATCCTGTTGGTTCTGCTGGTACCAGTGTTCATATGTTATGTCGCTTATCAGAGGTTTTACGGGAAGTCATGTCGAGAATTACAGCGGCTAGACAACATTTCCAAAAGTCCTGTGTACGCTCATTTCACGCAGACGCTGAATGGATTGGTGACGATTAGGACCTTCGAAATGGTCGAACAGAGTCAGCATATGCAGGCGCTGAAGATTAACGAGAACACCAAGGCTTTCCTACTGCTGAACCTGATCAACCGCTGGCTAGGCGTTCGCTTGGAGTTTCTTGGGGCAGTGATAACGTTCGCAGTTGCGTTCTTCGTCAGTCGCGACCACGCAGTGCTCTCAAGTGCCATGGCTGGTCTGCTGCTGAGCTACTCGCAGAACATGACATCGCTGCTCAACTGGATCATTCGGAACAACGTTGATATGGAGAACATGATGAACAGTGTTGAACGCACAGACGAGTATTGCCGCGTCGATACGGAGCCGGTCACACTACTAGCACACCACTACGAGCGCTATACTACCCCCAAGTCGCGCACCTTACAGCTGCGGCCGCATTGGCCTGAACATGGCAAGATCAATTTCGTCAACGTTTGCGTGAAATACGACCCGCTCGCTCCTCCGGTTCTTCATGGCATTTCGTTCACTGTGAAGGGTGGTGAGAAAGTTGGAATATGTGGCCGCACAGGCGCTGGCAAGAGTTCACTCCTTCTTGCACTCTTTCGCATGGTGTCCTTCGATAGCGGGGTTGGCGGTGGAAGCATCTGCATCGACGAAGTGTCAACGACCGCCCTCACATTGACTGAGTTGCGCTCCCGAATGGCCATCATCCCACAAGATCCGGTACTTTTCGCAGCAAGCGTGCGGTTCAATCTAGATCCGACAGGACAGGCGAGTGACAATGAGTTGTGGAGTGCGATCCGCAAGTCTCGCTTGGAAACCTTCATCAAGGGCCTACCTGGCGGCCTCGACGCTGAGGTATTGGAAGGCGGTGATAACTTCAGCGTCGGTGAGCGGCAGCTGATCTGTCTGGGGCGTGCTATATTGCGCAACTCCAAGATTTTGTGCCTGGATGAAGCCACCGCCTCCATGGACCACTCCACAGGTAAGAGGGCTTGCAAACATACTTGTTATGCAGTGGTAACTTTGCTCACCGTACTTTCGATTTTGCAGACGAGTTCATTCAAGCTTCCATTCGCAGAGAGTTCGCGGAAGCAACGGTGTTGACGATCGCTCACAGAGTGGACACGATTTTAGACTACGACAAGATCCTCGTTTTGAAGCAAGGCCACATTGTAGAGTTTGGACCACCCGCGGTGCTGCGTAGTAAGCCGAACGGAGAGTTTGCGAGCATGCTGCAGAAACCGTGATGGATGTTTCACGCTCAAATTGAAGCTCACTTTGTCAGTTTTCTTTTCCTCCCGATTGGATTTGAGCTTACTGTGCCAGCCGCCCGGGCGGTCCAGTCCTGGTGTACTGCAACGAAGTGACGCGGCGCGTCCGAGTTAAATCCACGCATGTTAAATCGTAGCTACTGTGAACAGTTGACAATCACTCTGCCAACTTCAAGTTGAAGTGTCCGCTATATGAAAGTCGGCCGATGTGCTGAGCCTATGAGATGCTGACGGCCAGGCCAGTCTTCGCTATCGTTCCATGCTGGGCACGCACTGCTCGCTGCTCCCTCGAGTGGTGCAGCTCTCCGCTGCTGCTCCGAGCTCGTCTGCTACAACCACACGAGGACCAAATTGGACCAATTTGCTCCGCGTTGACCTGATGGCCGTTGCTGCTACGCTGCGCTGCGGCTGGCTCCGCGGCGTCCAGCGCTCCGACCTCAGTCCGGCCTGTCAGTCTGTCACGCTTGATTCTCGATCAGCGCGGCCTGGATGACGGTGGAGCGGAGGTGCAATGCTTTTGCCCTCGTTTGAGGAAGGTTGCAGTTCGCGGTAGCGAGCACGGAGCATCGTCGCGGGTTGCAATCTCTCGGGCCACACGCCACGCCACGCTGGCGCATCTGAGAGTCACGTGAAACAAAAACTGGATGCGTGCTGTTTTTCCAGAGAGCGCAGCGAGTGCGAGTGGTGCAGCAGGTGCAGTTGTTCACGCTGGCGCTGCTGGCAGGCACGCGGAGCGAGATTTGAGGCGCCCTCGTTTCTCAGCTCGAGGCAGACGAGCACTGCGAACTCGACCGCGCGACGACGGCGCTGTCAGGCAGTGTAAGTTCGAGAAAGCCCAGCGTGTTGGGCTCCGGGCGCTCGCACTGACCGACCTAAGCGAGGCGAAGGCTGTCGAGCCTCGCGGCCAGCGCCTCAGGCCTGTGACGCGCGGCGCGCGACGGCGGCGCCTTCGATTCGAAGAACTGGGGGCTTCAAGGCCCACGTGGGCTCCGTTCGCGTTCGAGTGACCAACGCCACGCCGTTCAATGCGCAAGGCGGGGGGGCGACCAGGCTGACCGCTGCAACCACGATCGCAGTCTGCCTGCGGTCTGCCTCGACTGGCGTGCGCCGATGCATCCGTGTTTAGTGTAGCGAGCGGAGCCCGTCGTGAGTCGCGGGCGTCGCGCCTAGGCTGGCTTCGGCGCCGCTTGCTTGCTTTACGGCTGGCTGGAGCGGGGGAATAAGATTCATCTACGTGCCGTGCACTGCGCGGCATCGACGTTGAACCACGCAGACGAGCGCGTTGATATGCATCATATTGCTGAGGCGCTGCTCGACTTGAGGCGCGGCGGCGCTCGGAAGCAACTGCGGCTTGCTCCCGCTCCCCGAAGTCGAGCGAGCTGAAAAGCTCCACAGCGGCGAGCAGGCTTGCTGGAGTAGTCAGAGGCTCCATGTCGCGCTGCCAACGAGGACTTGGCCCAGCGCAGCGCAGCAGCAGATAAGACAGCAGCAACCCACGCGACACCGCTTTCAACGACGATAATAGCGATACGGAGGCCAAGGGGGAGTGCGCGGCGCACGCCAGCGATAGCTGACGCGGCATCGCGCGGGGATGCGAGCCGAGTTCTCCACGAAGCAGTAGCCCGCTCGCTGTCGCAAGGCGATAGCAACGCCGCTCATCGCTGGCGACTCGATCAGCGCGCTGCTACGGCGTGCATCTGTGCGAAACAGCTTTCGGCTGTGCTGCCGAGACGAACATCCTTCCTGCGAGCAGCCTGCCTGCCTGCCTGACGGCCTTCTTCTTTCCTGCACGTATTGACCGTGAAGCTCAACGCCCTCGATTCAAGCACTCTACGGTAGTCTACACCCCGAAAGGCACCAAGTCGCAGCGTGACAGGAAGCTCAACTCTTCGCCCGCCTATCGATAGCCGACCGACCATATGTCGCCGGGGGCACCGCTCGAGTCGTGACCAGGCAGCCCAGCTGGCTGCGCGTGTCCGCTGCAACCATGCTGCGACGGCCAGGGCAGCGAGGTTGGCCGTCATGAGCCATGCATGACTCATGGCGGCCGACAGCCCAGCGGCTATTGCAGCCTCGCCCTCGCTGCCTGCCGGCCTGCCTGCTCGGTGAGTCCTGCGCCGCCTGCCTGCGCCACCTCGACTAAGACACGCACCTTTCCCTTCGGTCACCACCACCTCGCAACCTCTCGCCCGAACCCCGCCCAGTAACGGAGCCCGTCGGTCGACACATGCAGACCGCAGACGAGCGGCGCTGGCTGGCTGGCTGCCGGCAGACCCGGCGAGGTTGACATGATATCCCATTGCGGCTGAAGCGGCGGGGCTCGACTCTCTCTCTCTTCGATGGAGTCGATCACAGCTCCATATTAGCCTGCACTGCCAGAGCGCGGGGGCAGCAGCTCTGGAGCTAGCTCTGGCGCTGCTATCGGAGGGATACTCGTAGTACACACCCGTTGAAGTGCCCGCCGGCGACTTCAACGTGTCTGGATTTTTCTTATTCGCTGACGTGGCACAGGAAGTCGGATCCGAGATCTCGGCCCGCGATTGGCCGAAAAGCAGCTGGCCGCGCTTCAACTTGGCGCGTAACGGGCGATCCTGCCTAACGCTCCACGACGGCAGAGGCCCGAGCCCAAGGCGAGCTTCTCGGCGGCGGCGGCGCCCAAAAGCGCAGCGCTGCCGCAGCGCAGGCCGCCGCACTATCCATGCTGACTTCGCTTGGGGCGCCTTGTTGCTCGAAGTCGGGGGAGGAGGAGGCCGCAACTTCGAACCCCCTGGGCTCCGATCGCATATCGTGTCCCTTGGAGAGTGGTCTCCGCTCGCGAGCGGATTCTGCTGCACTCGTCGTCGTCGGCGGGGCGCGGGCAGCAGAGCTCGCTCGAGCCGGATCCGGGCCTCGGGAAGCCGATAGCTCGACTAGCAATAACCTTCGCGGCCGGCAGCACCTAGCAGCAGTGCTGGACCGGCAGAATCTGCCGTCACCGCCAGGTAAAGCGACGGCGGGCTTCCTGCGACAAGATAGCGTGCCTATGGGCACCGCTTCTGGCTACCCGATGTACCTCTGCATGCTGCGCCCTGTGTGCGCGCAACCCCCCTGTCTGATGATGGAGCAATAGCACTAACGCCATTAGGCAGCGGCCACCACGGCTATCTCGAGATCGCAGCAGCCAGCTTCCCGCCGAGTCGCGGCGAGCGACGACGCGGGGAGAAGCCCAGCGACGACGGCCAGCCCAGCAGCGCAGCGACGACACCGACACGGAGGGCTCAAGCCAGAGTGTGTACGATCGGCAGGTCCGAGATTGCGTGCGAGGACCAAAAAAAGGTCGACCGCTGGCCCTTCTGCCCCCGCCGTGTATCGCTGCGCGGCCCGCTTGAAGCTGCACCAGCTGCGGCTCACCACGAGCGACAGAATAAGCTCGATGGCTTCCGGCCCGCGGGCCGCAACGCGGCTGGACCGAAGGCCCGGAGTGTCGAGCGGCGGCGGCGGACGTATTTCGTGGCGCCACTGCGCTCGCGCACGCCCACGCTGACTTCCGGGGGCGCCGCAACGGCTTCTGTTTTGGGTCCTGCGAGCGGAGACTCTGGCCCAACATTAGTCCGTTCGGCGACAAAGATGGGCGCGTAGAGTCGGACAGATCAGGCCTCGCGAAGCATAGCGCTAACGTTCGATTGGAAAGGGACTATTTCGCCATACTGGGGCCGAGTGCGCGCGCGCTGAGGCAGGCCCAAAACGGCCTGAATTGCGATTTGGTCCGGGGCTAGGGCTCTGGCGTGCCCTTGGGCGCTGATGCGTGCCGCCCGCAGGTGAACGCCTCATTCGCCGATTACCTGCGCACGACCCCCAGCCCAGCTGGATTCGTCTGTCGGGACTCGAAGCCGCGTCCATTTCCCATTTAGCCAGTCAGCCCCGCGTCGGTCGGTCCTGCACTACTGCAGCGTAGCGACCCCCCCCGACTGCGGCCACCCACCTCTGGCCCCCCACTGTGTCGTTCGCGCGGCAGCTCTTCGCAAAGGAAGGGCCGGCCCCGCGCACGCGCGCCACCACCATCGACGCCGCGCCGCGCCACCCCCAGGAGGAGATCGGAGAGCGCTGGGGCGCGCGCCTCGCTCGCCTCGGGCTGCTGCTGGTGCACTGCCTGCTGCGGCCGTTCCTCGCTTCCGAGGCCGCCCCGCACCTCGCCGCGGACTCGCGGTCAATGCGCCCGCTGCCCGCGTCTTCGACCTCCTCCTCCCCCTCCCCCTCACCAGTGTCGCCCCACAAGGCGCTGGCCGCCGCCGTGCTGCAGCGCCTCTCCATGGACCTGCCCGCCGCCTCGGGCAGCAGCGACAGCCCCACCAACAGCAGCAGCGAGCCGTCCCCGCAGGCGGCGTACGCCAAGCCCAAGTCGCTGCTGCAGCTCGAGACCAAGCGCGCGCCGTCGCCGCCGCCGTCCCCCAAGTCGAGGATGGTCCTCCAGCAGCAGCAGCCGCCGCAGGCCCCCGAAGAACAGGAACCACAGCAGCAACAGCAACAGACAGAAGAAGACACCGCTAGCAGCGACGCCGCTGAACAGGAGCGCGACGAGCTGGACGAGCTCCAGCAGACGCTGCTGCGCAAGTCCACGGGTTCCGTCGCCATCATGACGCGGCAGCAGGAGGCGCTGGACCACCGGAGACACACGTTCAGCGCCATGACGGCCGACGGCCGCGCCAACATGCGGCGGCGCAGCTACGACCTGACGGCGCAGTTCGGCAGCACGTTCCCGCCCAGCTCGCCGCCGCAGCAGTCGCTGCCGCACTCGTTCAAGGCGCACCACCACCTGCAGCACCTGCGCGTGTACGGCAAGAGCTCGGGCCCGGCCAAGCTCATCAGCGAGTGCCACGAGGAGGGCGCACCCCTCGTGGCCTTCGTGACGCCCAACCCGGACACGGTCTGGACGCGCGGCAAGCCCGTGCAGGTCGAGTGGAAGGTGCTGGACGCCGGCGTGCACAAGCTCTGCATCGAGCTGCTGGAGGACGGCCTGAGCGCCACGACGCTCATCGCCAGGGAGGCCCCCAACACGGGCTTCTTCACGTACCACAAGGTGCCGTGGGGCATGGAGTCGGGCTCCAAGTACTTCCTGCGCGTGTCGGCGGCCGACGCGCCCGAGCGCTACCGCACGAGCAGTTTCTTCCAGATCAGCTCGGCCCCTTGACGCGCCGCAGCCCCCTCCCCTATAAAGAAGTTGGCGTGGAGTCGAACGAAGAGTAGCACGAAAGTTAGGAGACAAAGTAGTATGTGAAAGTCTTTATTTAATGTTTAATTGGCCGAAGTCCATCGCAAGCAACGTGTGAACAAACGTGTGAAGGAAACAAGGAGTTGGTTTGGTTGGTCGTGTTTGTCCTTTGGGTCGTTGCCGCCGTGGGCGGAACACGGCGCGTGTTCGAAGACATGGGAAGCTGCACCGGGTACGTCGGAAGTTCGAGAGGCACGCTGCTCTGATACGCGCGCACGTACCGAGTGGCGTGGGGGGTTCGCTCGGCTGCAGAATCTGGTTGAGCCTGCTTGGGTCAAGATAACGCCGATGCCGCGGCCTGGCGAACGTGGCGCGCACCTGGGCCTTTCGACCAGACAAAGGCGTGGATTTTGAGGCCGAGCGGATGGAGCGAGGCGGTGATCGGCGACGCCATCCCGCAGCCCGCAGCCCGCAGCAGCGTTGCATGGACGCTTCGTCTTCTCAGCTCCGAGCCAACGCGGCGGATTTTCCCGGGCGGATCCTTGAAGTGCATAGATCGACCCGGGCGCGGCTGTACATGTCCATGCAGGTTGGACTGGCGCTCGATTCTTCAGTGCATCAATCCCGCCCTTGTGTACATGTAGTGGAGGCTCTCGCTATATACATACTGGATTTGCGGCTAGCACCATGAGCTGCCTTCGCACCGTGGATTCTGGGTACTCAGGGATGTTGCGGATGGAAATGGCTACAAATCGGGTTCATTCGCAACCACTGTGCAGTAAACTCTTGTACACAACGGCCCTTGCGCGGTTCCTATTGCAACACGCTATCTATTAGTGTTGCCGTTGGACTCATTGCCCTCCGTGTACAGATTGCTCAACCTTTGTGCGGCCAACTTCGTACCAACGATCAGAAAGTCGCAAAATTCATATTGCAATTTTCTAGTTAGCAACTTCAGTTACGCATTCAAAGATGGAATTACGGCAATCAAAGTTGGACCAGAGGTCCAAGATCCGTAAGCTGGCGTGCTGCCAAAAGCAAGGGCGCGCGGTTTGGCGCGCACTATAGCCGACGCCGACCGAGGGGAGCTCACTTCGCATTTCGCCTTCTTCTTCGCAGATGTCCCTCCAAGGCCGCGTTACTCGCCTCGAGAAGCAGCGTCCTAAAATCCCGCATTAAGCGAGACTTGGCTCTGGATCGCCACGCAATCTACGATCGCTCGCGTGAGCCAGACAGCAACGGTGAGATCCTCTCCATTTCGGAACGCCAGATGCACATCCTGGAGCGCGCCGCGACCGCTAACATGAACGTGATGACCCCAGCGCTGGTGGCCAGCATGGAGCTGCACTTTCGCGACTTCGTTACCTAGGCGGCGAACAAGGCTCGTCGGACCAGTACAGTAGTAGCCTACTGTACGAATTTGATTGCCGTAATTCCATCTTTGAATGCGTAATTGAAGTTGCTAACTAGAAATTTGCAATATGAATTTTGCGACTTTCTGATCGTTGGTACGAAGTTGGCCGCACAAAGGTGTAGAATTTTCGTTTTTGCTAGAGAACAAAATACAACCCTGATGATGATTTACGTGTTTGCGTATATTATAATAACCCCTCTCAACTTAAAGCTTCGGATCTTCCGCTACAGGGAGCGAGTCGATGTAGTATAAATCGAGGATCAGTAGAGCGTACTACGCACGATGTGCGACGACTTCATTAAGCAGAAATGAGTTTATTTAGTAAAGTTCGGGCTGTTTTGTCGAAAATGTGGTGGATTTGTGTCCCGACTTCATTTGTCTGCGGTGAATACTGCGCACTCACGCGACTTCCTATCCCGTTAAAAACTCTACTAAAACTAAAAAAAATGGAAAAAAACGCGTTGAAAACGTGTAGGTCATCCCAATTAAGGCCATGAATGGCGATATTTTTTCAGACCGCTAGTTATAAACCTTCAATAGCGTAAGTTAAGAGAAACACTGCACACGCGGTTAGATCACGATCGACTACTATGTTGATAAGTGTCGTTTCTTTTTTACGACTCTGGCAATATATTGAAGCGCACATTTATTGTGGTGGCTGTCTGATCGACAATCAAGCTTCAATTCTAGTATGCACTGTTCGATCCCTGCCATTGAGCCTCAGGGTCTCTGCTGAGAACCCATTGATGCGCTTGGACATCCTAACTTGCACGTCACTGTACATTTCGTAGTACCGCTGGAGGTATTTGCCGTCTCCGATGAGATTTTTAACTTGCGGTGGGGTCAACGGGCCGGCTAGGAAACTGTGCAGTCGGGCGTTCATGATGTTGTCCACAGTCGAAGCCGGTAAATGCGACAGCGGAGCACCGAGATACTTGACGTAGAACCGGTAGAAATACTTGGAGTAGCTTCTGAACCTTTTGCCTTCTGGTTTTTTCACCTTCAGAAGTTTCTTGACGGTCTCGGGCTTCAACCCCAGCGATAGATACAGCCCCAGTTGTCCTTCATTATTGATAGCGCTTGCAACCATACCGACAACGTTACCTGCGCTGATTTGTCTCTCTTCTTCTCCCGTCCTTAGGAATCTGGTGGTGCCTCTATTCTGCTGACGAAACGCCGAGAATGGGGCGTCGGGCGGTGACATATGGATTGGTTCTGAGTCCGAAGAGATGCCTTTGCAGTGTGCGAAGTGGGAAACCGAAACCGTGGCGAATAACAAGAGGACTTGGTACAGGCCCATGGTTGCGAGTTCTTCAGGCTTGGGCGCTGGTTGGTCAATTGCAATGTGACATCGCCAGAATAAGATTACGGTTCAATCTGGCACAACTCTATATGTAGTTGCAATTGTGGTTTGACTGCTTGTGGCGATCGACAACGCGATGTGCAGTCCATCTAAAGATACCGCATGGACCATGCGGCATGGTGTCGCACCCCAGTTTTTCTTTGCCCGCCTTCGCTTCATATTACTACTTTGGTTGCTACTGTGGAGCAGCGAGAGCACGGATATCATTCAGACGAAATTCACCACCACCAATTTATAGCCATAGCGAGCATGTTTTTTTGTATTTTAAAAACAGGAATCGACGTGCAAATAAGTTTGGTCATGTTATTACTACTACATGTACGCGAAGTATGTTTATTCTGTTTGCAGCTGGAATCTGAAATGTTTATTCATTGAATGCAGTATGCCGCGAACATCATAACCAGGACTATACTTTATGCTGTCATTGCCAGAGGCGTTGATCAACTCCCCGCATTTCATCTTGACCAAAGTGTGCTTTTTCTCTTACTCAGACCGTAAGCCATGATGGCGCGATTCTTCTACATGCAATCTGTCGGCGGGTCCACGATACTACGACTGAAAATAAATTGCTACATGTAGATACCGTATTTCATCCGAGTAAAACTTATGAATGCAAACCATGTTTTGAAGTATAGGCTTCTTTAGCACTGGTTTCCGGGTTTTCCTAAATCTTATTCAGTTTTACAGATTTGTTGGGTCATCCTTCTCCTTCAACGGTGTGTTTTGCATGACATTGTGTGAATCGTCTTCATCACAATTAAACAGGACTTGGGCAGACAGATTTTCATTTACAATTTGGCTTAAGCAATATCGAGTGTGCATTCCTGTTGTTGATGATGATCACAGTTGTCTATTTAATTTAAGCGGGGAAGTAGCTTTCTGAAAATCCTAAGCCACTGAACAATAGGGGGTTTCAAAGTAACCAAAAATCCGATTTATTTTTTCAAAAAAATGCGACTAAGATTACAGTGGCACCTCCCTAAATGAACCCCTCTAACTGACTATGTGTTCCCTATCTGGTTAGGATTCCTCGACTGCAAACGGGATTATATGGATTTCACTATTGGTGACCTGGGTGGTGAACCCGGGGGGTTTCGCAGTTCGAAGCTAAATGAAGCATTATAGCTAATGAAGGGTAATGTACGCCGAAATAGTTTTAGATGAGGTTCGCCCAGTAGACAGCCTGTATTCACAAAAAAAATAAAACCAAATCAACCTGTACTAGATAAAAAGAAATTAAAATTGCGACGCTTGCTTACATCGTCGGATATCTCGTAGCCAAGTAAGTACTTAAAATAAAACAAGCAGCAGACTCCGCGCGCGCACTTTCCCGTTAACATTATCAAAAACCTTGTGCTATTCACAGGCATCTCCTGCACCCGCTTCGCAGCCGCAGCAACTGCCGGGTAAGGTGATGTGTAGGCAGTAGATATTGGAAGTCTTCTTTAGTTTTGTACCTGTACTAGACCGCTACGTGACGAGCATAAATAAATCGACGAATTTATAGCGCTGGTCCCGCCGGTAGTACATTTTACAGCTTGAACACGCTGCATCTGCTTCAACCTCACAAGTCGGGGAATACATACCTGGTAAGTGCTTTCGGTTCGTCTGCTGCAAGCTCAAACAAAGATTTTTGTTTGATGGGGTAGTTCGGACCGTTAAAATGCTACAAAATGAAACCAAACTCGATGGGCTCTTGTCGAGATCAATCATTCAAAAATTAATCATTCAAAAACAAAACATGCCTTAAAAAAACAAAAGCGGCTCGAGGATCTAAACGAAGCGCAGTTGACTAAGAGGTCGTAACTTTTGCCAGCGTATCGGCTAGCAGCAATATATCGGTGTAATTAGTTTTCACTTGATACATGCATATGCCAAAGCTCTACTTGCCGCTGTGTATGGGTATAAGGCGTTTTCTGAAGGAATCATCATAAATACGGATACATCGTATTCAGTGACAACATGGTATCCTGTCAATCTCAAGATAGTTTTGCTTTTGCCTAAAAGGGGTTCAGCAAATAAGAATAGAAACAGTAGCAAGCAAGCTACCTTGGCTCGCACAACTTTAATATTATTCGTGGAGTCGTGCCTAATCCACAAAGACTCGTTCCAATGAATGTGCAGGAATTCCCTCTTCCAGGATAAATTTACATGACCAATTAATCGGTTTCAGTCTCGTAGTCAACCGGCTCATAGAACTATGCATGTGGAATACGTTTGCAATATCATCTTCTAGTGTGTCTGAAAGAGGAGGTCATACAATACGACCGGGTCGATAGTATCAAAGCCAATGGAGTCAGTAAAGTATTACTTCGAAGTACAATTTTAAGTGTTCTGAACATATTATTAATACATAATATGTAATATTATACAAGTACGACGTAGTGCTGTGATAATGCCCGTATAGTTTATTGGAAGCTGTGATTGGGCTCACGATCAGCATCATCAGGACGTATGCCTAACATTGAGCTCAACGTTGTAGAATATAGTTGTCAGTAGCTAGCTATACGATGCATGCTACTACGACGAACAAGGTAGCACGGGCTGCATTCTTGCATTCTTTCGACAAAAAAACGTAAATGTCGACTTTCTCGGGTTGCATACGATCTTGCCCTTCAGCGCGGCTCAACACCTGGCGATTCTAACGTATATGAAAAATTTGAGAATACTGTGACACGACATAAAATACGCGTCAACTATCACAAAACTATGAAGTACAAAACAGCACATCATATTGGCTGGCGAATTTCTTGTTGTTCGTTGCACGACCTTGTCTACCGGACTTCATCTTGCCAGATATTTTCGTCGTAGTCTGTAGAACCCGTGTGTTCATGTCTAAGCTGGAAAACCTGGTTTGCATCAAAAACAAACTACGGCTAAGCCGATCAGGCAAATGCCCAACGAACAGGCCCAGATTTTAATTAAAGTTTCGTTTCTGCGAGCAAGCCCAGAAATGGAATGAATCAAGTAATCGTCGATTCGGGTCACTTATCCTTCCTTGATGAATGCGGATCCACCCCAGAATTTTTGGGTCGAGAACAAACCACCTTCGAGGCCTAGCATAAAGTGGAGAAGCTTTTTTTTTTAGAATAATACCAGTAAGGCGATCTAATACACATATTTTCTTGAGCAAGTGTGTACGTATCATACTGGTCACCAAGTGGCCAAGCGTGGCTTTCAACGTGCGTGGCTACTCCGTTTGAACTTCTGAAAGTCTTTCACCCCCAGCTTGGCGGAACGGCACACTGCACGAGCTCCGCGACTACGATGTGACTTCAGGCGCAACTTTATTACAGAGCTAACAGGCTACGATTTCAACTTATAATTCTCAATCAATTGTCTGTCTATCTATCTGTCAATCCGAGAGCTGAATTGATTGAGGAAGATCCCAGGTTTCAGTGGCTTGAATGTCGTTCGATGTCATCCGCTAGTCGGGGAAGCTACGAATGTAGCGCGAATGTCGTTCGATGTCATCCAAAAACCTTCCCCAATCGACAGTTCTTCGAACTGCGAATAGGTGTTCTATAACTGATCAAAAACCTCTTTATTCTCTAAATGGTCGCCATTATTGGCGCCTCAACCCTCTAAATGGACGCCGTAGTAATAGATCCAAACTCATATATTTTTTTCTCAATCACTTGCCTGCCTCCTCCCACGTATGCCATTGCTACCACTACTCCCGCCACAACAAATCGAGCGAAGAGAGAAATTTTATTTGGGATGCTAAGTTGGAACAAAGAGTTTGCAGTAACTAAATACTGATAAATATGCTAGCCACAGTATTTGACAATCAGCCTAGCGTACATATATATTTTACGAAAAACTAAATATTATGATGTCGAGACAACTAGGGGCTATGCAGTAGATACCAAGCAAAAGATAAAACTGCAGGCATGGTGGCAGGATATCGGGACAACAAATATTCCCATAACCTCACTGTATTGAAACTCACGTACAACCTGAGGGGATGCGATTCTGCTAATACCAATGAGAAAAAGAAGTAGGAACAGACAATACCGTGCCTACCGTTAGTTCTGTCTGCGTGAAGACGAAACAAAACAAGAGTACAAAAATGCTGGAGGGGTACCAGGTAAAGAAAGCCCTTGTACTGTGCACCGAACATATGAAAATGTAGCCATTAGAAGTGTAGCCATTTCTTTATCTGATAAATTCTTTAACTGAAACAGCGTATTAGACCGAGCGAACTAGGTGCCATTTATAGAGGTGTCACTGTAGGCGAAAGATGCGTCTCCGGAGACTGTTCATGAGTCTTCGGGAGCGCCGCCAATAGATGCACATGGACGAGGAGAACGTGTGGACACATCCGCCGATGACTCGGAGGATCCGACGGCGACGGGAGAGCCGGCGGCAGCCGGGCTCTGGATATACCAATGGCTGGTCAGGGAGACCCAAGTATACTGAGATCAAGTCAATCGGAACCCGGGAGTAATCCGTCTGATGAGAGGCACCAACGAGCACGAGGAGAACAAGAAGGAAAGCAGGAGGGGAAGACTAGAGAGTAGTTTGAGAGACGATAACATTTAATCTCACTTCGGAATTTGCACCCTCAACCACAAGCTACAAACCAACAGGTTAACAGCCGCAACAAGCTCAAGCCCTCCCCGACGACCTTCATGACGACGTCCAGCAAGAAGGCCGAAGTCATCCTGGGAAGCGACAATTACTTCTACTGGGAGTTCGCGATGCGTATGACGCTCCCGAGGAAGGGGCTGCTGGCGCACGTCCAAGTGGTGAAGGATCCGACGGAGATGACGGAGGCCTGGATGCTCAACGACATGAAGGCGCTCGGTCTGATCGCTCAAGGCGTGGCTGTGGAACACCACACGAAGATTCGGTCGGCGACGTCGGCTATCCAAGCCTGGAATACTCTACGCGAGTTCTACAACCGGACGACGATGCATAATCGGGTCACGATG